ACCGGTCGGCGGCCAGCACATGGGCGGGCAGCCGTTCGCGGGACAGCCTATGGGCGGGCAGCCGGCTGGACCGAGACCGGGACACATCGGTGGACAGGGCCACCAGGGTAGGTCCGCCAACATTGAGGTCGTGCCGCCAGCCGGCAAAGGCTTCAAGCTGTACTTTGGGTCGCCGCGCGACTCGAGAAGCTCCTTCACATCCGACGACGGCTGGGAGTCGGAAGGCAGCGAGTACATGACACCCGAGTCGTCCATTGGGTCCAGCTCCCGCCGCTCTCATCACGGGAGGTACAGGAGCCGTAGCCGTCACCGCCAGCGTGAGCGGCCAGAGGCATTTGGCCTTGAGGTCCCTCGTCGTCACTCGAAGCGGGACGTGGATTACATCCCCACCGGCACATCCACCAGAGAGCCAGCCTCACCCGGACCCAAGGCACTCACGCCAGTCGTGGACGTCGACAGGCTGGTGGAGCAGGCATACCGGAACGGCCGAGAGGATGAGGCGATACGGGGCTCCCTTCGACCCAAGGTCATCCAGGCTCCTCCCCTCTTCCGTCGGATAACAGACCACGAGGCTCGGCGAGAGGTCTTTGCGGACGACCTCGACAGGATGGGCGAGGACCTGTACCGAACCAGGCTGGACGACGAAATCCGACAGAGTCGCGACTTGCGCCGGCTGCAAGACGCTCAGTACGAACGGCAACGAGACGACCTGGAGCGAGACCGAAGAATGCAAGACAGGCTCGGGCGGTATGATCCGGCAGACAGGATCCCCCGGACGACTGTCGACGGACGGGATTACCTGCGCTACAGAGACGATCCCGTCGTCGAGCCCAGCAATCCCTTCCTCGGCGGACGACGATCGTCTTATTATGTCGCGCGCTCACGGTAATTGGGAGAAGAATCAGGCCTCACCAAGCCGACGAATCTGTAATATGTTGTTTGCAGCAGTCGCCGAGAAGAGTTTGAAGAGCCATGGCGGCGACTGCTTGACTGTTGTTGAATGGGCTTTGGGTCTTGCCGTTTGACGATATACACGATGTATACTTGGAGCCAGTATCAGCACTATACCACCGGGTTCATGTATCCAGGAGAAAGCAAGGTTTTTTTTTTCCTTCATCGTTTTCTTTAGAAAATTAATCAATGGAGCGATTCAATGCGTTCTGGTGCCATTTTGGTGAAGCGTCGTCTCCGCGTGCCAGTGGGTCGTTGATGAGCAGGTCAGGATCATGGTTGCTGAAGGTCATACTGACAGGGGATGGAGGCACCTGCGACGTGTGAGTGGCATGGGTTGAAGGATGACTAATAATCTGGACCCCCTAAAGTGAGCGACGCGTGCGGCAACCACCACACGGTCCACACCACATCATCGGACGCGACCTCCCCGCGTCACCCAATCATTGCTGAACGGTCTCCCAAATCGGTCCCTCTGCAGGTGCCGCCGACAACGACATCGGCCCCGGGTCTCGTGCAACACACCGTGCATCGACCACCGCCCGAGGCCGCTTCTGTTTGTTGTTTGGCATTGGCACCCTCCAGGGGCTTCCCGCAGCGCCCACCGCCCGCCGCGACCGCGTCTCGCCAGAACGACCGTTTATGACGGCTGGCATCACCAGCCTACCGATTCGATCCTCGCCGACATCGCGCAGCGTCGTTCTCCTCCAGAGAGCAAACCCATACACCCATGCCCGAGCCTGTCCCGCGTCTCTCCATCGTGTCGCGGGCATAATGTTCGCCAGGGCCGTCAGTGGCGGCGCGCCTCCGGCCCGGAGCACGTTGGAGCGCACGCTCTTCCCGTCGAGCAGCCCCAGCGCTGCCAATGGCGACATACGACAGCAGTTTGGCAAGACGGGCTCGCAGAATGTCTCGGCGTCGGCGAGGACGCCACAGTCACTACCGAATCCACTCAACAATCGCTCTACCAATGCCGCGCCCATGAACCGAGGCGGCAGCAAGTCTTCATTGGTTTCGTTATGCGGACAGTCGAATTCGTTCACCGAGGCCGATGTGGTGGACCTCACCGGGCCAGATGTGCAAAAGAAGGTTCAAGAGTTGGTCGAATTCGCAGAGGACGATTTTAGCGATGATGCGGACCTGGACCTGGACTACGAAGCCCCGAAGGCGTTGCCCACGCTGCCCTCCAGACCCATCGTTCGAGATGGCATGCCGCCACCACCGACGCCTTCACAGCCCGAGACTCCTATCCCGTGGTCATCATCTCCAGCGTCGCATTTCCAACCCGCATTGCCTCCGCGCAGTCTCTCTGATGCTTCCGCTGCCACCCAGTCATCTTTGAAGCGCGAATCCTCTGGAGACAACGACTTGCCCGATGCCCCTGTGCCCAAGAAGGCCAAGAAAAGGGTTCTTCCTGCCAGCTTCGGTGTCCGCAGGGAAGAACCCGAAGCGGGCGAGGAGTTCGCCGCCTACGCCGCTCCCAAAACCCCAGCCTCCAAGTCGCGGAGCTTCCTAGACCCCACAGCCAGCGCCCTGGCAGAGCAGAAGAAGCAACACAAGAATCAGCGAACTCAGCGCCTAGCCGAACAAGACGATGCAGAAGAACAAGACCAAGACCAAGATATCTATGCCGCCCCGGTTCCTCCACCAAAGCCTGCGCCCATTTCTTTGAGTACAGAGCAACGACATGTGTTAGATCTGGTAGTAGAAAAGAATGCAAGCGTCTTCTTTACTGGCCCGGCCGGTGCGGGCAAGTCGGTGTTGATGAGGGCCATCATTCAAGAACTCAGAGAAAAGTATAGGCACGACCCCGAGCGAGTCGCCGTGACGGCCTCGACGGGTCTCGCAGCTTGCAACATTGGTGGAATGACGCTTCACAGCTTCTCAGGTATGTAAAGGCGACACGGTCTTGTTGTTTGACTCCCGGAGAGACTGACATTGGCTAGGCATCGGTTTGGGCAAGGAAAGCGCCACAGAGCTGGTGAAGAAAATCAGGAGAAATCCGAAAGCGAAGACACGGTGGCTCAAGACCAAATGTCTCATCATCGACGAAGTCTCCATGGTTGACGGAGAATTGTTCGACAAGCTTTCACAAATCGGACGCACCATCCGAAACAACGGTCGCCCTTGGGGTGGCATCCAGCTCATCATCACCGGTGACTTCTTCCAACTGCCGCCCGTGCCAGACTTCGACAAGAAGCGCGAGGTCAAGTTTGCGTTCGATGCCGCTACCTGGAGCACATCAATAGACCACACCATTGGTCTCACACAAGTCTTTCGCCAGCGCGATCCGGACTTCGCTCGGATGCTCAACGAGATGCGACTGGGCAAGATTACTCAGGAAACGGTGGATGCGTTCCGAGCTCTGTCACGACCGCTCAAGTTTGACGACGGTGTCGACTCGGCCGAGCTCTATCCAACACGAGCCCAGGTCGACATGTCCAACGAGAAGCGACTGAGGGATCTCCCTGGCAAGGCGTATCGGTACGAGGCCATGGACACGGGCGATCCCAAGATTCGTGACAAGCTTCTTGCAAACATGATGTCACCGAAGTTGATCGAGTTGAAGCAAGACGCACAGGTGATGCTGATCAAGAACATGGACGACACGTTGGTGAACGGGTCTCTGGGCAAGGTCATCGGCTTCTCCGACGAGAAAACGTTTGAGGTGTCGAGCGGCTACGACTCAGGGGACAACGCCATGGCCAAGGCGAAGAGGAAGCTGGCCGCGTTCAGCCGCAACGACGAAAAGCCGACGCAGAAGTACCCCGTGGTGCAGTTTGTGACGTCTAGCGGCGTGCCTCGCGTCATCCTCTGCCAGCCGGAAGAGTGGAAGGTGGAGCTTCCCAATGGTGAAGTCCAAGCAAAGCGAAGCCAGCTGCCGTTGATTTTGGCCTGGGCTCTGTCCATCCACAAGGCCCAAGGCCAGACGCTGGAGCGAGTCACGGTCAATCTCGGCAAGGTGTTCGAGAAGGGCCAGGCGTACGTCGCGCTCAGTCGCGCCACGACGAAGCAGGGGCTCCGGGTCATCGGTTTCGACAGGTCCAAAGTCATGGCTCACGATAGAGTCGTCGAGTTTTACGGCAAGCTTTACTCTGCGGAGCAAGCGAACGGCCTGTTGAAGGCCAACAGCATCATGGGCTTTGTGTCGAATAGGAGAGGGGAGCGCCCGGCGCGGTCGACCCCAATGATGGGCGCCTCCGCGGTGAGGAAGAAGGTCGAGGTTGTCAACTTGGACGATGATGAGGAAGCGATGGCATCGTATGGATATTGACGGTATTGTTTATCCCGGCGCATGCGCAACCGGCATGGGTTCTTTTTGGCGCAACGTGGAGCGATTATGGCACAGGCGACCCAGCTCATGCATGTACGTACTGTATGCACAATATGAGGAAGCATAGATGCATTGCTCAACCTAATGCGCGTGCGTGCACAACGGTCGATGTTGAATGTTGTCGATGCGGTCTGTCGCGGCCCGGGAGTGTTATCGATAAGAAAATGTCCAGCATGCGGGCTTGGGGATGGCGGGCAGCAGCAGCGGCACTTTCTTAGCGGCAGCGGTAACGGCAGCGGGCGGGCAGGAAGAGGTGGGAAGCCGGAGCCACTCAACCTCTCCCACTTGGGCTCGCCGACGCTACTTTTGGAACCACTCAACCTTCACCCACCACCTGCTGCGAAACTTTGCGCGCGACGCATCCCGCATCCTGCGACGGCGCTCAGACGAGGACGACCGACACCCCTGGTTCCTTTCCGTTCCGAATCTTCCCACGTCTTGTCGGTGCGCGGCTCAGAGGCCCTATCGGCATCAGGTTCTCAGGGTCGCATTCGGCAGTCTAGGCCACCCGGCCAACGAACCTCTCTACGCAGACACGTGCAAGGCAACGACAACGCGAAAGCCTCGAATACGCCAGCAGCTCTCAGCCCTTAGCAGCTTCAGCGGAGGGCTGGGCGCATCTTGATGACGGGATCGCGAGTCGAGGCGACGGAGACTCCTGGCTTCCCTCTCCCCTAAGAGCGCGTTGGCTTGGAACGCAACGAGCGCCGGCATCATGGCCAACCAGTTCATCGGGTTGCACATGAAGGTTGTCCTTCGGGACCCTTCTGGGTATGCTCTCGCGGGCACGGTGAGGGGCGTGGAGGCAGGAAACAGCCTGACCCTCACAAACGGTTCGTCGTCCGTGTCCAAAGGGCGAAGGGACCCTTTCATGCTAACACCAGTTGATGGAACAGTCTACAACTTTGTCACCCAGCAGCGAGCAGCACACGTAACGATCGATGCAGCGAACATCGCCGACCTGTCCGAGGTGCCATACGAGGCCGCCCAACCCGCGACTTACTCCGTGCCTGTGCCCGACCCCATCCCCATCTCTCCCGCCTCGCAGCTCCCGCCGCAGTCGACCTTTGTCGATCCTGCAATCCTTAGTATGGGAAGGCGGCCTGCGTCCGGGACACCAAAGGCCTCCAGTGTACAATATCAGTCCGACAGGGGCGAGAAGCAGACGTCAGATCCGATGCCCACGTCTCGCACGCACTCGGATCATCAGCTTGGAGGCGCACGGACTGACCAGAGCATCCTGAGCTCCATCCAAGGGCTGACTGTTACCACTCCATCGAAGAATCAAACCCTCGGGAGGCCCGTCGAATCCCGTGACGCACAATCTCAAAAGAAAAAGGCAAGGGGCGGTCGGAACTCAAGACAGCCAAAGCCGGATCAACCTGTCGATGGCACGCCCATGGCCGCAGTTCAAAGCGCGCACGGCAAGGGGTGGAGGCAGACGCCCATCCTGGAAAGCACGGCGTCTTTCCAGCCCTTCAACTCACTCAAGCGGCAGGGTAAGGGCCGAAAAGGTCTGCAAGACAACGGCTGGGCGTCGGAAGAAGTCACCGAGGAGATGGGCGACTTTGACTTTGAGAACAACCTCGCAAAGTTCGACAAGCGCACCATCTTCGACCAGATGCGCAAGGAAGACCAAGTTGACGACGCCACTCGCCTGGTTGCGCACAACCGCAAGCCCAAGCCGGGCACGGCTGGAGGCAAGAATCTGCACTACACGGAAAACGTTTTGGATCTGCCTTCAGCCGCAGCCCAGCACGCCGACTTTTGGAACAGCGAAGCGGATGTCGGGGTGAATGAGGAGGCCAGGCTCAGTGGTGTTGAGAACAGGAACGGGCAGGGCAGCGGTCGGCGAGCCGACAGCAGATCCGGGCCGTCTCGTCGGTCGCAGTCACGCAAGGCTAGTGCCGTTGCCGGCAGCCAGCCGCTGAGTCGGGTGAACTCTGCCGTATGCTCCCCACAGCCGTCCGGCAGGGCATCCTCCAGGCCGAAGGATGTCAATACTGACCAGAAACAGCAACAGATGCACCAGCCGGGGCTCTATCTGCAACCGTCAAACCGCCGAGTGGAAGCGATATCGACACTACAGATGCTGAACCTGGAGAATATTGCCGCCAACGAGCTTGGCTTCAGCGAGGCTTTGATGGCCGAGAACGCTGGCCGGGGAATCGCCGAAGTGGCGGTCAATGCGCTCAAGGACCCGGCGATGAAGGTCCGGTTCGAGCTGGCGGTGGCGAGCTCGGCAGTGGACGCGTCCCTCGGCAGCTCGGCAATCGTGATCCTGGCAGGCAACAACAAGTCTGGTATCCGAGCTCTGGCGGCCGGGCGACACCTGCGCAACAAGAACCTGGACGTCATCATCTGCCTCGTGGGAATCGAGCGGGAGAGGGACCTGCTGGAGGACCTGCGGCGTCAAATCCAGCTGTACCGGAACTTTGGCGGGAAGGTCCTCAGCAAGAACGACTTTTTCGAGCACCTGAGGAAGAGCTCCGCGTCCGGCTCGCCGGTGTCGGTCTCGCTCATCATCGATGCGCTGCTGGGCCTGACCATTTCCTTTGAAGAACTACGGATAGGGGATCAGGCCACGGTTTACGAGCTCATGGAGTGGGCGAACCGCAACGATGCGTTTGTCCTGTCGGTGGACGTGCCGACGGGCATCGATCCCACGACGGGCAAGATTGCCATCATCGACGGGAGCCACCTTTACGTCAAGCCGCGGTACGTGGTGGCGATAGGGGCGCCGAAGCGTGGACTTCTCGAGATCGTGACGCCCCCATCCGAGGGCGACGTCGGTGCCGTCAGCACTACGGCGCACGAAGACCAGTGGCGGCTGTTCATCGCCGACATGGGCCTTGGACTCGCCGTCTGGCGGAAGGCGGGGACCAAGATGCGGCGCGGCATCGACTTTGATGGGCGGTGGGTGCTGGAGATGCGGTACCGAGGGGCCGAGCTCAGCTTCGACGAGGACTGAGCAGGCGCCTTGCTGGGAACGGAACGGGACATGACAGGTACGGCAACGACAACGGCACGGCGCGGCAACGGCACGGCATGAGGTTTGGGCGCGGAGTCCCGGTTGAGAGGCATGATTTTGAGCGAACTGAACTTGCTAAAAGGGAGGGAATTGCATACCTTGGCGTTGGACTGGAGGAGGGCGGCATTACCACTGAGGCTCCTTGTGCAAAGGGGGGGTGTACAGTACAGCAAAACAGAGGTATACGCTTCTTTTATCATGCTTCTTTCGGGTGAACAATGATGGGTGATGCTCCAAGTCGGAGGGCATACCAACAGTCAAGTGGGTAGTATCACCGTGGCACTGACTGGTGATATGGGAGGCGCGAGAGGCACGAGAGGCATTAGCTACATGCGACCTCTTGGTGGTTGCTGTCTCTCAAACCCATCTCACTCGCCAAACTTGCTCATACACGCATAGAGTAATTCAGCAAGTGCACGCACAAAGCACAAGCCGTTGACTGTTGGCTGGGCCGTACACACATACATGTCAACAAACAACAAAAAACCGAGCAAACTCATTGCACGGGCCACCACGACGGATGACGGGCCGGGGGTCCTCCCGCGAGTCTCTTCAACAAAAAGGACGATTCCCGGGGAAAGGGGAAATGGAAGGCCAGGGGGGGTTGACAAACAAGGTTGAACTCGACAGGGCATGCCAAGATGGGGAAGGCCACGCAGCATAAGCTTTGCCAAGGACCGCGCGGCTTGGCGAGGGGGCGGCAGCGGCGGGGGAGGGTGGCGCAGGGTGATGATGTGCGTCGTCGTCTTGCGATAGGCAAAATTGATGATTGATTACGGGTGCTGCTGCTGCAGTGGGTTGAGGGCGAGTGGGCTGCAAAGAGTATGGCTCGCTCTCGCGCCACGCAGGGTGCGTGGCGGGCCGTTACAGGACCCTTGGAAGATGGTTAGGGTGGACGTTGTCTGCGACTGGGGGGGCGAAGGAGCCTGTGAACACCCCGGCGGAAGGTTTGACTGTACCATCATGCCGGAACGTTCGAGCGTATGGCGGCGGGCTTTGTCTCCGATGGCATGCCTTCGGGGTCGTCCGTCCACGTGGCGGCGTAGGCTGGGCTGGACTGGGCTGGGGAAGGGGAAGGGCATGGAGCATGGAGCATGACGGGAGGGGTCCAAGGCGCGGCGCGGTGCCGCGATAGGGGATAATTGCGAAAGCATCATGCGGGTTCGAGGTGGTCTCTTCCGATGAGTGGGCGGGTGCCGTACGCTGCTCGCTGCACATACTGAATGCAGTCCCCAACGCGGTCCCTGTAGCAAACAAGGTTGCTAACGACCAGGGAGATGCATGAAAACTTGCGCTTGACGGTGCGGCCGGACTGAACAGCAAGTGTCGACAAAAGCTCACTTCCAGAGTTACGAGGCAGAGACCGCTCTGCGAGGGGAGACAGCGACTGGCGAGACTCGAGAAGGCTTCCACGAGCCGGGCCCGGCATGACCCTCCGAGAAGCAAAAGACGTTGGAGTATCCGGTGTGGCCACGGATTATTATTGTACGGAGTATATAATCCGCGAGGTAAGGTCCTCGCCACGCACGCGGCATCACATGAGCAGACGTCGTGCAACGCGATCGCAACAGGGCCCAGGCGAGTCATGAGGGCCGTTGGTGGGCAGCGCAAAATGGAAGGGTGCACAGGCGACGCATGAACTGCATCTCTGCATCAGCGAATCGCCCGACCGCCGCCCGGGGCGATCCGCGCGTCGACGCGGGTGGGTTGGTGACATGGAGCGCGTCTTGCGCACTGTCCGGCGGGCGAGAGCTGCGGCGGGCGGCGGCGACGGGCAGGCCCCATGGGATCGGCGCTGTCGAAGCGACTTGACGGCATCACCTGCATGACGCGGGGATTGCTTCAAAGAAAAATTGCTTGAATTCAACTTATTACAGACACCTCAGAAAAGACACCTTCAACGCCCGTCTTCACTGTCGCCGACAGCCCAGTGCCAGCGCCCTGCACACGGTGCGAGCAACCCCCCAACACAGCCCGCCATGGGAAGCACCTGCACCAATGCACCACCACCTGCCCTTGGCACCTCGCTCACCTCACTGCAGGTGCTCGGTGTCTTCGCCCCCCGGGGCAGGCCAGCCAACAGGCCACTTCCCGCCCACACCCCCCTAAAAACCCAGCCTAAAGCAACCACCTACCTCAGAGGGCGACGTTAACCTTGCGCAGCCCGAACCCGAATGGATGGCCGTTCCGCCGTCCAGCAGCCACCGCCATCAAAAAAGCCACCACCGGCCGTTTTCCCACCCGTCCGTCCCCCCCCAAAAGCCCCCCCTCTGCCTCTTCATCTCCCAGCGTTGTGGAATCAAACGTCCGCGATCCACCACCACCGTTGCCCTTCCTCGACGACGAAACACGACGGCCACGACGACTTCTCACCATCTAACGGCGCCCGAATCGTGAGCCCGCATTCAATCTCCGACACGGCACGACGACGCGCTGCGCGATTCCAGTGACAGTTCTGCGACGGCGTGTTTCCCTAGCGGGCGAGACCTCTCGGCGCCCAGACCGTTCCCCAAACGGGGGCGCTCGCTTCTCCCCACACGCTTTCTGTCGTGAGGCACTCGCCACGTCGCGACGAGCGCAGTCGGCAGCCCCCGACCAGCCAGCGACGACACACGACGGATTGTTGACGCCCGCGTCAATCGATCGCATATTCCCTCCCGATCCCCATCCCGTCTGCGAAATCGATAACGTGGCGCCGCGACTTGCACGAGCACGGCCGTTGCGATCCCCAGAACCTCGTCTTGACCCACGGCGACGAATCCACGCCGCGACGAACGACGTCCCATCGAACCGCGCCTAGGACATCCCCCATGGCCGACAATCCATAGTCCCGCGCGACCTCTTCTAAATCCTTGTGCGACCAGGCACCACCCGTTGCCCGTCTCGCAGGCCAGGCCCCATCCTCGAGGAGGCGGCCCACTGGGCCCCCGACTCACCCAGCCATGTCCTCCGTCACGCTGGCTACGACGGCCCTGACGGCCGCGGCGACGTTATGCACGACGACGCTCATGCCGGCGAGCGGCTACATCACCATGGACAATGGCCCGGCCTCCATCACCCTAGCCAAGGCCATCGTCTACCAGGTGCCGTGCCCGACGGCCAAGCCCCTCAACGGCGTTGCCCTCATTTCGCCTGAGGGCTCCGGCGACTCGAGTCTCAAGTTCCACGACCCTCACCCGGACCCCCGCGTGTCTGACTTTCGGGACCCCTTCTACGCCTCGACGTTTCCCATATGCTACGCCCTCGCCGCCACCACCGTCACCGCGTACATGCTTCTCATCATGCTCTTTGTTACGCCTCGTTCTTTCCTGGACGGGGGCGTCGTTTACCTCGGCCGCCGGCGCGGCTTCACGCACACTTCGGCTGGCGCCGAAAACATTGGCGGCCGTCCGTGGCTGCAAAAGGTCGCGACCTTGACCGTCGCAGTATCGCTCACGATAGCCACGCACGACACCTTCAAGATTGCCCAGCGGCAGTATCAATGGGGCGCCCAGAACGCCACGGTGATGCAGCAGGGCGTCATGGGCAGCACCGAAATCAGAGTCATCCGCCTCATCTCCAACACATTCTTGTGGCTCGCCCAGGCGCAGACCTTGATCCGCCTGTTCCCGCGTCACCGCGAAAAGGTCATCATCAAGTGGGCGGCCTTTGCGCTCATCACCCTGGACCTTATTTTCAGCGCCCTCACCAGCTTCAAGGACAACGACAACAGCATCAACCCCATGGCGGGCAGCTTCGATCATCCGATACCTGCGTTGAGCTACCTCTTCCAGCTGCTTCTCGGCGTGCTGTACGCCGCATGGGTCATATACTACTCACTGATGAAGAAACGATATGCATTTTACCACCCTCTGATGAAGAACATGCCGCTGCTGGCCATCATATCATTATCCTCGATCCTTATCCCCGTCGTCTTTTTCATCGTCGACATCTCGAAACCCGCATTGGCGTCATGGGGCGACTACGTCCGCTGGGTTGGCGCCGCCGCAGCTAGTGTCATTGTGTGGGAATGGGTGGAACGGATAGAAGCCCTGGAGCGGGAGGAGAAGAAGGATGGCATCCTCGGCAGGGAAGTATTTGACGGAGAGGAGACGCTCGAGGTGAACGCGTCCGAATTTCCGTGGCTTCGACACCGAAAGAATCACAAGGACGACCGGGGCGGCGGCGGCGGCGGCAACGGCGATGCGAGTCGGAACGGGGGCGCTCAAGGTGGCAACGCCACTTCTCGCGACCACGGCATCCTGCGTGGCAGTGGCTGGCCTGGAGTGTCGGTCGCGACGTCGAGGCAGCGGAGCCAGGCGCGCGAGCCGCGCAGATCAGCCGATCAGCCGACGCAGCAACGGACGTCTGGTGGCATCCTGCGCCCACCCCTGTGGCCGAGCCGCCCTGCGCCAGCGGTAACGCCCGTGAGCAGGACCGATACGCCGAGCGCCGCGAGCACCGTGTACGCGGTCCGGTACCAGGGCACGTCGGAGGCCACCAACAGGACACCAGACCTACCGACCAGGACGCCAGATCCGTTCCCGCCGCACCTGAGCACAGCGGATCTCTCGCGGCAGAGCAGCATCCCCCAGAATCATGGGGGCGGCGAAGATGCGAACGTTGCCATGGCGGGCCACGCCACGGCGACACAGAACGGACACGCCGTGTCGCCGGCTCCGCCACCTCCTCCGCCGCCGCCAGCTCCGGCGAGCAGGTCAGCGGACCTGGAGGCGAACAGCCCAGCGCCGTCACGATCAGGGCGCCGGCGGGCGCAGACGTTAACATCGCACGGCGACGACGAGTCGCAACCCGAGACGGTCAGACAGGTGCAGGACTCCTTCATCCGGGCACGCGACGAGCCCGGGCGATGGGACTTCAAGTCGAGGCTGGAGATGTTTGCAGCAAACCAAGCGGACAAGATGCGCGAAAGACTACGGCCGTCAACGGAGACGGTGGACCTGCCGACGCAGTACATACCGGCGCCTCCGCGGCGTGGCGCAGCGCTGCAGCAGGTGCTCGAGGAAGGGGAGCTGAGCAGCTCGAGCCTGTCCAACTCGGGAACCGGACAGGGCCACAGCAACGGAAGCTCGGGGAGGCGTGGCGGCGGCTCCGACGAAATGGCACAACTCGGGCGGCAGGACAGCTCGACCATGTCCGGGTCGCACGGCCAGACTTCAGGGGCAAATCCGCCGCTGTGGCCAGGCGTGCGGCGGCGGGTCTTGACGTTTGAGGAGGACGATGATTACTACTCGTACGATGATGAGGACGAGGACTCGCTTGCCGAGACGGCGTCGATGGAGTCGGAGCGGCGCGACTCGGACGATGAGTCGGGCGGGCACGCGCGCGCGGCCGGGGCGGAGCCGGGTACGCGGAGAGGATGACGGGGGATCGGGGTCGGTTCGGGAGGAGGCAGCATGTATAGCCATTTTGGCTGATTGATTGCATTTAAGAGCGCGGCGTTTGGGCTTGTACGCCCGGGACACGGAAGCATGGGATAGCCTGGTCGACTACGATGCGACATGGTACATTTTGTACGTGCGTACATGCACTTTGAGGCGCCATAGATGATACGACTGCAAGTATAGGAAGCAGATGCGGTGTGCAGTCATTTTCACCAGAGACTGTGAACGTGGGTCGATGAAGACGGTCAATAGCACGAGACGGGATGATTTGCAGAGGCTGGCGTCGGCACGGCGCGGGGCGCGGGCGGGCGATGCGGCCATGTGTGACACTCTGACGTGACGGGGGGCCGTCGGGCGCAATCCACCTCCCATGACACAATGAGAGGGGCATTGTTGTTGTGATTTCTGTAGTGTGTGTTGTTGGGCGCGAGAGCTTATACGGCGTGACGGACGGACGGACGGACGGGAAGTGCCAGACACGCGCGGTGGGATGCGAGTGCCGAGCCCGCGATGGGGGATGTGATGGGACGGGATGGGCTGGGATGGGATGGCGGGAGCCGCGTGCGCGCAGCCAGGGGCGGGCACGTGAGTGAGGGGCGGGTGATGAGGCAGTTGGCGGACGTCCAGACTGGCCGCTGGTGATTGCAGAGCATACGTACGTACTACAACAAATGCATCTTCTGAAGGGAGCACTTGGTTACAAGTCACTGTGGTGTTGTCAGTGCCAATGCTGCTGCACACGACACGACGGCCCCTGGGAAAAGGAGAATTGCAATGTCATCCATCCATCCATCCATCCATCCATCCATGGCTGGGTTAAAACACGCCCGACAGCCACTAAGACCGCCTGGCGGGGCCCAATTACCTTTGGCCGGCATGTTAGTGCACTGGAGCACCCGCCCAGGAAATGGGTGGGCGCTAAACCAGACGTCCTCCACCACAACTCCGTCTCCGTCCCCCGTCCACCGTCCCCGGTGCCGAACCTGCAAGTCGGGGCGGGCGGCCTGCTAAACTTTTTTTTTTCTTGCTGCTGCGCCCTGTAATTTCCCGACTCGCTGTACCCTTGCCTCTTCCGTCATCGCTTTTCCTGCCCGTCCCGCCCCTGCACCTTCCCGCTCTCGCTGCTCGTTGACGACACCGAGACCGAGAGAGAAGGAGCGAGAGAGAGTTCCGCCTACCACGGACAGGAAAAGAGCAAGAGTGAAAGAGAGGAGGGTAGACGGAAAGGGCTACACGCTACGTACCACTGACCGACTGACTGAACTGCACGTCGTCGACACTCCATCTCCAATCCCGCCGGCCTTTCTTTGCTCCCTCTTTCCCACACCCATCACCCTCGTGCTGACGGAACGCTCACCACCCATTCGTTCCGTCCATTCTTACATACTCTCTCTTGCGCGCTGTGCCGTACCGTGCTGCAGTGTACCGTACAGTACCGTACTGTTCGCCGTGCTGCATTGGCTCAGACGCACGCACGCCCTCGCTCACACGCACGCGCGCACGCGACTTGACTCGACCCGACACTGCCGGCGGGTCAACTACTGGCAGTCGGCACGGAGAGATTGGCGAAAAAACCAGGGGTCCAGCTGGTCGCAGGACCGTCCCCATACGTACATTATTACATCTGCCCCATCCATCGCCGCCCGTCGTCCATCATTTTTCTGCTACCCGCCGTCCGCGCGCCCTCGACTCTCACCTGCACAGCCCGCTGCTGCTCTTGACGTCGACGACGCCCGATCACGTCTGCACGCGACCCGATCAACCGTGCATTGGCGCTTCGAGGCGTCCAACGCAACACCCCGCCGTCGTCGTCCCGAACCCGCCGCCGGGTCAAGCCCCCCCCTTGGCTGCCTCCGACCGACCCTACGATCCTGTTATCCTCCCCCACCGCAGCCAGCCCGGCCCAGCCCAGCCCAGCCCGGTCCAGCCCAGCCCAGCTCAGCCAGGCGCATACCCAACTGCGGCTGTGAGACACGGGACCTGCGAAATCGTGAACCTCCCACGACCCGCACCGAACCCCCCGGGCTACACTGCAGTGCAAGCGGGCAGTCTGGCAAGATTCGCTGCTGCCAGGGCACTCACTTGACGTCGCACACGCTTCGCCCGCACTCGCATCCCACGCACCTCACGCGCGACGACGCCGTCCACGGGCAAGACCCCCCGCCGCAACAATGTCTGAGCCGTTTCCCCTCCTAAACACCTCGGTCGACCAGCTACACCTCGCCGACGCGGATACGACGCGCCGGCGACGCAAGAGCAGCGGCCTCGGCGGCGACATCCGCGCCGGCGACACGGGCGCCCCAGCACTCGCCTCTAGCAGCGCCAGCCTCGACGCCGGCGATGGCGATGGCTCCTCGCCGCCCGCCTCCCCCGTTTCGCCCTCGTCCGCAACCCATCTCGCGGCTGCCTTTGGCGCTACCGGCGCCAGCAATGGCAGCGCGTCCAAGCGTCTCTCCAAGCGCCGCCGCGCTCGCGGGCTCGTCTCGCGCATCCGCCAGACCATGGTGAAGCACACCTTTGTCCTCCCCGCCTGCATCCTCCTCGTCTTCCTCACCGGCTACGCCATCAACCCGACCGAGGCCAACCCGCTCCACCGCTGGATCTTCCTCTCGTACCGCCTGCCCCAGGATGACCCGTCCAAGCCTGTTCAGTACGGCAAGGGCCCCTGGGACATCGCCTTTGTCGCCTTCTACACCGTCGTCCTCTCCTTCACCCGCGAGTTCATCATGCAGGAGCTGCTGCGCCCTCTGGCGCGCAAGACGGGACTTGGCCGCTCAAAGCAGGCCCGCTTCATGGAGCAGCTATACACGGCCATCTACTTCGCCTTCCTCGGTCCCGCCGGCATGTACGTCATGAGCCGCACCCCTGTCTGGTATTTCAACACGCGCGGCATGTACGAGGACTTTCCGCACCGCACCCACGAGGCCTGTGTCAAGTTCTACTACTTGTTCCAGGCCGCCTACTGGGCCCAGCAGGCAATTGTTCTCATACTTGGCATGGAGAAGCCCCGCAAGGACTTCAAGGAGCTCGTCGGCCACCACATTGTCAGTCTTGCCCTCATCGGCCTCAGCTATCGCTTCCACTTCACCTACATGGGCATCGCCGTCTACACCACCCACGACATCAGCGACTTCTTCCTCGCCACCTCCAAGATCCTCAACTACATCGACCATCCCATCGTCGGCCCCTACTTCTTCCTCTTCATGTGCGTCTGGGTCTACCTCCGCCACGTCATCAACCTCAAGATCATCTGGTCGCTCTTCACCGAGTTCCGCACCGTCGGCCCTTTTGAGCTCAACTGGGAAACGCAGCAGTACAAGTGCTGGCTCAGCCAGTACATCACCACCGCCCTGCTCGCCTCGCTCCAGGCCCTGAACCTCTTCTGGCTCTTCTACATTGTCCGCATTGCCTACCGCTTCCTGCGCGACAAGACGGCCGACGACGACCGCTCTGACGACGAGGACGAGGATGAAGCCTCCCAGGAGAAGCCCAAGCTGCAGCAGGACAAGAAGCGCGATGTGCCGACTCTCGAGATTAACGGCAAGGCAGTCGCTAACGGCAGGTCCAAGTAGACGCTTGTCGATGAATCTGGACCGACTTTGCGAAGTGAGTGGGGAGCGTCGTCCGGCGCAAGCCCGGGCTTGATGAGCCTCGCACGTGAGCGAGTCATGGCCAGTCCGAAGGAGGAAGAAAGGGGGGTCCATGACATTAATGAGCGATTGGAAACACACACACCAGGACTAGGAGCCAACTCGGCATGCATCTCTTCCCGGCTTTCCGGTCGGCGACAGACGCCCCGAATTTGGCCCGTCCTCCAAAGCATGAGAACCGGCGTTGCTTTTGCGAAAGAATAATAACGAATCATGGACACACACTCGCTATTTTTGCGACTTTTATCCGCCACCCGGCATCCCCGATCCTCGACGGGCGACGGGGTCATGGGGGTAGCATTTGGGACGACACACCGGGCCAGCAGCGCTTCGCTCTTCGGACGTCATTTCGACGACTAAAGGGCCTAGCGAAAGGGGAGGACGGTTTGGCACCCTGGCCGGAGGAGACGCAGAGAGCGTCAGTGGAGCTTCTCTTCGCGAGATGCTCTTCCTCCCGCTCGTCTGTGGGGTTCTCCATCTGTGCATCGATGAGAGGGTGGCCAGCCTCGTTATATATGGGCGGTGTCTTTGTAAGCTTCGCGTGTACGATACTTGTCGTCGGCACGGATCATAGTGTCGCACTACATAACAGGTTTTAATATTGACCCATTACTTCTTTGTTTGACGTTGCCCACCAGCCTCGCGTGCGCTTGGCCCTGTGTCCATTACGGGGCCTTGGGGTCTCATGTGTCGCCTCTGGTCCGTGGTGAGCGGGCACACGCTCCATGACGGTGAGCATGAATGCACCGAGTCACACAACTGCTACATTATGCACGCCGATACTGAAAGAAGGGGGGGAACAAGATTCAGTCAAAGTCTCAGCCCGGATGCGCCCGGAGCCGCGCCGTCAGATTATACGTAAAAGCAAGCTCGAGTCTACCTCCTCTGGAGTCCATCATCTATACGTGCGGTGGCCTAAAAGCCTCCTGCAACAACAAATCAGCCGCCCCAACCAGGCCCGTTTGTGATGTGGTGGTGGTGGTGGTGCATGCCGTCCCTCCCTCCCTCCCTCCCTCCCTCCTCTCTCGCCCTCTCTCCCGGCCTCTCTCCCGGCCTTATCCCCTTGCGCCTCCCTCTTGCAATTGGAAGAACCCGCGGGGAAACGCAAGAGGTGAAAGGGAAGGGGGGAAAGCCAACCCGAATCAGAAAACAAAAGCCAGCAGCAGACCATGAGTGGGAGACTGAACCAAAAACAGCAAAAAGTAGACGAAGAAGAGAGGGGGGAAAGCAAGAAAAGCCAGAAATCACATGCTACCCGCTTGAACGCCGCTGTCGTGCCCTCGTGCTAATCGCTTGCCTTGCCGTGCCGTGCCGTGCCCGCCTGCCTGCCCAACACGCCCGCCAGAGCCTCCCAGTAGATCAAGGCGAGCCATGTGTCCTGTCCGTTGCGTGTGCGAATTGTTTTATTCCCACCAGCCCACCAGACCATGAAGAAGGAACGAGAAGAAAACCAAGCCAAACCTCCCCAACAAGAACAAAGATCAAGCAATGCCTCCCATCGTCGGCGTCATTATAGACTGCGCATCTTGCGATAACTGTCTGCTCCGCGCGGACAGCCACGCTCAGGCTCCTGAAGATACCGACAAAATCAAACATTACTGGGCCCTTCATTGCGTTGGCCCATTCGAAAAATATTAAGCGAGCGGCTTTACGGGCCGGTCCTGCGTTTGCTGAGTTGCCGATGGAGAATCCGTTCTGCGACCCCTCGTCAACAACTGCGGGAAGGAACCCAATGCGTAACAGAAGGCTTCGAAATAACCACATTGCAGATGCCTGGGTCGCGTCGTCCTAGGCATCGGCGTCATGTTCCAAACGAGAGTATTAGGGTAGGTAGAAATCCACAAGCAGATGTACGGAGTCGCTTGTTGAAAGATGGGTTTAGAAATCAACAACACCAAACGCCTTCAATGCCTCTTAATGCCGAAACCGTTCCCTAGGTGTGTCGTAGAACCGATCGTGCGCTTTTTCCGAAACTTTGGAACTGGAAATGTGGCTGCGAATAGCAGCCTGTGCTCAACGCGGCGCTGTCGTCAGATATCGTAGCGAGTTTGACGAAGCCAGGACGCTCGCTTCAGGCGCCCTAACTTCGAGGTTCGGGGCGTCGGCCATTGTACGTCGACGCACCGTCGGAGCCATGCTCCGAGGAGTGGTCGTCTTCGTGTGTGGACTCGGCATCCGAAGACGACGCCGAAGTTCCAGACGATGAGGACGAGCTCTCTTCGTCGCCCTTGCTTTTGGACGTCTCGTTGTCTGACAGGGTGCCAGATGAGCCCAAAGTATGATAATCGTCGCCGTGCTCCTCGGCGGCGTTCTTCTTGGCCGCCATGTTGGCCCGCTTCAGTGCCTTGGCCGCCTTGACAGTCGCCTCGCGTGCCTTGTCCAGGGCCTTCTCGGCCCGGATCTGCTTCTCCCACATGGAGGCATACCTGCCCTGAGCTGCCAGAAGCTCCTCGTGGGTACCCTTCTCGACGACTGCTCCGGCGTGCAGGACAATGATCTGATCGGCATGTGTAATGGTAGATAACCGGTGCCTGCGACAGTCAGTGTTTAGGCTCGTCAACCACCTGGGTCAGACTTGGGTGGGGTAACTCACGCGATGACAAGCAACGTGCGCCCTTTGCCAATCTTCCACACGTTGTCCTGGATCTCTTGCTCGGTGTGTGTGTCAAGCGCCGAGGTCGCCTCATCAAGCATGATGATTCGAGGGTCCTTGAGGATGGTGCGAGCAATCGCGACACGCTGTTTCTCGCCGCCGCTGAGTCGCATGCCCCTCTCTCCAACCTGCGTCTCGTACTTGTCGGGGAACGACATTATGCGCTCATGTATGCTCGCCGCGATGCATGCCTGATACACCTCCTCGTCGGTGGCTGCCGGATTGGCGTACTTGAGGTTGTACATGAGCGACTCGTTGAAGAGAGTCGTGTCCTGCGGCACAACGCCGATATGCTGCCTCACAGAGTTGATCGTGAGGTCCTTCACGTTCTTGCCGTCTAGCTCAATGCTGCCCTCATCGCAATCGTAGTAGCGGAACATGTGGCGGAACAGCGTCGACTTGCCTCCGCCCGATTCGCCGACAAACGCCGTCGTGGTGCCCGGCGCGCAGTCGAAGCTGACATTGCGCAGGGCTGGCTTGCGCCGGTCGTAGGCGAAGCTGACATTGTTCCACCGGATGTGCCCTTGGAAGTTGGTCAGAGGCTCGGCGTGGGGGGTATCGACCACCGTGGGCTGAATCTTGAAAAGCTCGAGCAGGCGCTCGCCGGAGATCATGGCCTGCTGAACGGTGCGGTAAAATGTGCCGAAGAAGTTCAGGGGGCCCTGGAGCTGTGTCAGGTAAGACACGATCATGAACCAGTTGCCGGGCGTCCGCACGCCGACGGCGACTTGCCATCCGCAGACCATGGCGGCAATGATTCTGCCCAGGTTGAAGACCAAGGTCTGGCAAATGTTCATCATGACCATGCCCATCTGCACCTTGGCCTCGGCAGTCTGGAACACGCCGACCCTGTCCTGGTATCGCCTTGACTCGAATTCCTCGGCGTTGAAGTATTTGACCGTCTCGTAGCTCGAGATTGAGTCATTCTTGACGGCTTCCTCCTCGCGATCAGCATTGGTCATCAGTCGCCTCTGGTCCGCCCTCGTCGATGCCATCTTGATGGTCATGTAGAGATACCAACATGTATCCACCAGGTTGATCTCGGCGTAGAAGGCACCGTAGTAGTGATAGAAGACGTAGATGGACAGAAACAGGTCGAAGAGCATCGGGACGACCTGGAAAGTCACCTGCTCGAGGAACTGATTGATGGCGGACCCCTTGTTGAGGGCAGAGAGGACCTCGCCGGTGCGCTTCGACAAATGGAAGTCGAGACTGAGCGAGTGCACGTGGTTGAATGCAGCTGTCGTCAGCCCCCGATACGAGTACTGCGAGACCGGGATCCAAAGCAGCGATCTCAACGACCCAAGGAGCCCTGACTGGCCCTGCATGATCCAGAGCAAACCAAGCAGCACGAAGTCCCACAGCGGGAAGCTTTCCACGGTCAGTGGCTCTCCACGCTTCACGTCGTTTATGACAGCATCGAGCTTGTCAACGACACGGCCAATCTGTGTCGGTACAGTCATGTTGACCAATCTTTGCAGAATGACCAGCCCGAAGCAGACGAGGACGTGCAGCCGCAGGACCAACGAGTCCTTTGGCCACAGATAGGGGAAGAATAGCGAGTATCCCCTCATGTATTCCCACCACGTCCTGTGGGGAAGTTTTTCTGGGCGATAGAATCCGGCAGGCTCATCCTTGCCGGGTCTGCTCTTGCCGGCCGGCTTGTTCGCATTTGACATGGACCGGCTGCGTCGTCGGTCCATCCGGTCGTCGGCGACGCGCTCGGCACGTCCGTTCTGGGCGTGCCCATTTTGTGTCTCGTACGATGCGTGGGTGGAGCCGTTGAGCAGCAACGGTGTCGATTCCGTTGCTCGGCCTTCCTCGAGTGATTCGTCCCCTCGGCGAACCTTGAAGACCCACGCGGCACAATAGAGGGAGATGCACAGCAACAGGTGCAGGATGCGCACAAAGTACAGAATCAAATCGATCTTTGTCCAGTAGTCGATGCAGCTGGAATCTCCTTCGGAGTCGAGCCTCCGCGCAGATCGGGCGAAGTGGCAGTCGGCCGCGGCAATGAAAGTGGACGTCGATAAGACGATCTCCCCAACGAGGCCAAGAACCCAGACAATGAGGTGGACGACGTTTGGCCCCTTTCGCCAGTCGAACAGGGAGAAGAGAATGTAGAGGTAGAAGAAGGTGGCACCGGTTAGATGAACCTGCTCAAGCGCGTCAGTGATCCAGGCTTGCACGGCCATGGCCCCTCCAGCTCGAGCAGAAGAATTCGGCTGCCACGAGTGTCCAGCGCCACGGAGAAGTATGTTGGTGGATGGTCGGGTAACATACCACGGTCCATTCGCCAGCCCAGGGCAGCCCGTCTCTTGACCATTTATAAGGGTTCTCGTGGTAGAATGCGTGTATAAAGGTGGCGGCGCCGCTGGCGACGTAGGCGAGAAATACGACACCAGCGAGGTAGCGGAACACGTTCTTCGCCGCGCGGCCGAATCGGGGGCCTATCTTGCGTTCGCCGTTGTCGCGCTTCTTGCGTTTCGTTATCGGCAAGGGCTTCCCTCCAGGCCCCTTGACGAGGGGCTGCACGAGGTCCTCGTCCTTCTTGGCATTGTACACGCTGTACCAAGCAGCGCAGCCGATGAAGGCAGCGAGTAGCACCACAGCATAAAAGTACTGTGTCTCCCGCAGAACGAGGTCTACCGGACTCGAGCGGCCATTGTTGGAGCCTGGTCGTTGCGGCGGGGGTTTTTCGTCGTCGGCCGCCATGGCGGGACTAGAAGAAGCGAGAAACAGCGTCAGCACCCACACACCTCTCTTCAATCTGGCTATTGGAAACGGTAGTGGCAGGTGGCCTTGGTCGTGGGAGCGCGTCGTGGGGTGCAAGATGGTCGGTGGAGGGCGAGAGCGGACTGGGCCTGGCGAGGGAGCCGCGGACCAGAAGACGCCCACAGCAGCCACGGGAAGGAACGAAATCGCTGCCGGCGAGGGCTGTGAATGTGCTTTCGCCCAACCCTGCGGCTAGACGGCGAGACTGATACGGAGTTGCGTGCCGCCGTGATGTGGGACAAGAGACACGCAAGGCACCGTCGGCCACCGCCACGACGACCACGCAGCAGGGGTATCGCAGCGGACAAAGCGATGACACGACGTACAGAGGGTCGAGCTGAGCGGATCACCTGGAGTGAACCATTGCCCTGCCCGTGGCAATTGGCGGCGTGCGAGTGCGGCGCTGTACTCTGCTCTGCTCTGCTTTGCCTTGCTGGTAGCGAACGACGAGGAGGGGGAGAGCGGCCGGCGAGACACAAGGCGGGATGTGCCTGCGGGAGAGGGCTTCGTCGGCAGAGACGAGGCGCAAGTGCGCAAGGCAGGCAGGCAGTTGTCGAGGCAGAAGAGAGGGATCAAAAGAAGGAGGAGGCGGAAGCGGAGGCGGAAGCGGGAGACGGGGGAGGAAATGCGAGCGACGGACGGACGGACGGACGGTTGGAGTTGGAGTTCTGGATCACTGTTGTCGTCGTCGTCGATTCGGGCGTCGTACTTGGCGTTAAAAGCCGGGCCCTCTTTTGCTCATGTCGGGTCACTGCCACTGCCACTTGGGCGCCCACACCACGGCGCACGCCTCCACTCCCACTCACACCCCTCCCCTGCTGCTCCTGCTGCTGCTGTTGCTGGTGGTGCTGGGCTTGTGGTGGTGGTGGTGGTGCCTCTGCTGCTGCTGCTGGTGCCGCCGCCGCTGCGCTGGGCTGCTCCCTGCACCCTGCGCGCGCGCTGGGTGTGCGAGTGGGAGTGGGGTGGAGCACCAGCACCCTAAAGAGGGCCAAGAGGGCCCTGGACCCCCCCGGCTCGGCCTCTGAGGTGCGGTGGATGGGTGGCTGCTTGGTCCCCAGCTGCCTCTGCCCCAGGGCCGCCGCCTTCAATGCCCGGGTGCGTGCGCTGTGGTTGGGGGCTCGACGTCGCTAGCGCAGCACCCACGATCCAGTAATCGGGTGTCAGTCGCCTGGTGGAGGGGCGCCGACGGCAGGGTGGAGGGCCCGCCGCGCAGAGGGCCCTGGATGCCTGGGCTTGCCTGGCCCGCTGGGTTGCCAACTCCAGCGCAGCCAGTGGGCAGCACCGCTCTCTAGCGCAGGTGGGAGGATGGGCTAGCCGCCTGGTGGGGCAGCTGACTCGACCTGAGTGGCGAACGCCCCTCGGCAGCGACAGTTGAGGGCGCGAGTCCCTGGCCGCGAGGCAGGCGACTTTATGACCTTAACCTCGAGGGCGGCAGCCTTCCTCACCTGAGGTCGTCCCGTCCGATGCAGATGCTTGGTCGATATTGTAGCTCGTCCCTGGGCTTGGTGGTCCCCGTCTGCATCTGCCACGCAGGATCGCAAAGCTTGTCTCTTCTGCACGCCCGTCTGTACTGTTCGTAGCACTTCGTGTGGCTGCCCGGCTGCCGGGCTCGAGTTGAAGACGACGGCGAGGCTCTCTGTTTGGCTCCTCGGGCGGATAACGGCAGCGGCGAGCGACGCGTACGAGCACTGTAGGTACGAGGTACCGTACGTACTCCGTACGGTGCGCGCGCAATGCTTGCTCCGTTCACTCCGTTGTGCCTGACGCTCCTCTCCACGCCGGCGAGGGCCCAGAGGCGAGATCCGCAGGCGGGCAGCTGCTCGTATGTCCGCCAGGCGTTGGTTGGGACCGTTAGTTGGCCGGCGGCGGGCTTGGGCGTCTGGACCTTTGGACCATTGACCCGGCAGAGGCCGCCCAACAGACAGGCAAACTGCAATGCAATTGTGTGACCCGACCTGCGGCGCTGCGAAGACACGCAGGGCACGCGCGGAGCTCAACGCGCAGGACGGTGCTCTCACGAGGATGGCTGCTGAAGCGGCTCACGGTCCCGCGACGGAATGCGATGTCGCCGAGGCTACCCACTGCCCGCCAACCCGCCAGCCGCGGAGCTGTCGCCAGGACGAGGACCGGGAAGTGGAGGGGTTGCTTTAGTCGCCGTCGTCCGTCCGGCTGCTGTTGCTGCTGCTGCCACTGCTGCTGGTGGGGAACGGAGCCAGAGACCGAACCAGGCTGCTTTTGGGCCTGCGGGAGGCGAACCTGACGTCGTCCTGCCCCGTGACGGCCCAGGCGAAGTCGCACCACGACCCTCCCAAACGGGACGTGTGCGTGCGCGTGCGCCGGTGCGGGCGAGGCAATCAAGAGCTGATCCCGTGCCGTACCAGTTCGTGACCCCGGGCCCGAGGTGTGTGCACGCTGAGACACCCAGACACCTGCTGGCTCCGGCGATGGTGGGCGAGTTGGTCGCCGGGCCTGCTTCTTCCGACAGGTTTTAGGCTCAATTTTCTCCCTCCTCTGGCGGAGGCTGTGACAGCCCGCCGGTCTCATCTCGAGCACGGATGGGAGGGCATGGGCGCGACTTACATGCAGCGGCGGTCCGAGTTCAGGCCAGCCCAGCGCAGAGGCAGCCTGCGGGCCCCGTCGAAGTCGCGGGCGCCGCAATCAATGGGCCTCTATGCAGGGGTGAATCTCCGTCCTTTGCGACTATCCCGAGCGCGTCAAGTGCCCGCAGAGAGGAGCCTTGATCGAATGGCAGTCGGGCAACCGCCGGCGAAACGACAGTCGGCGGCGGCAGCGGCGTCAACCAGCAAGATTCAAATGATGGCGACGAGCAGATAGGAAGGCATTGATGTCCAAGCCAGCTGTTCCCCCTCAGGGGGAGGCATCTACACGCGTATATATACACAGGCGTGTGTATTTTCGTATACGAAGCATACACCCAGCCAGTCTATGTCGCTCCTGGAGCGGGTCGACGAGGGCCTTGTGCTCTCGCCCACCCAAGGCAGCCGTATGCACATGATAAGTGAGGCCGGCCATGGTCGTCGCGGCCACACTGGAAGCAGCAGCCGTTGCCATCTCGCTTTGAGAGCCGCATCCCGGCTGCCGGCAGGAGGCGCGACATGTGCATGGCTGCACTGTATGATGACGGAGCCGTCGACACGATGCTTCCTGTTCGTCTTCTGTCCGCCGGGTAGTTCGGGCACCGACTGCAAATCGGCGAGCACAGGTGTCGAAGCATTGTGCCGTGCGTGGCCATGGAGCACACGATAGCAACGGCAGCCCGACCTGGGTACCTTAATCTATGTCCATCGTCGGGCGTCTCTCTCTCCCTCTCCCTCTCCCTCTCGCCGTCGCTCGCTGGGCTCGAGAAACGTCGGACAGGCGTCCGGCTGGCTGCGGCCACGACCCAGCAGATTGGGCCGACCCTGCACCTCGTCGCCCAAGGGCCACTTGGCAGGCCGGCATCCATGGTTGCTTGGCCGCTTGCCATTGGGATATCCGGGATCCGGGGCCACCGTGCTGCATCGTCCTGCAAGCCAGCAGCCCTTCCCTGTCGTCTCCGATGGCCGCCTGGTCCTTGTCGTGTGAATGCAGCGCCGCGTCTGTCGCTGTCGTGTCCGCATGGCTGCATGGAAGGCCACCCACCCCTTGCCCCCATCCGCACCAGGCCAGGTGTGCCCATATGCACCGGGGGGCGCCTGCGGCAGAGGGCGTGGGACCATGCGGCGGACGGAGGACAATCGTGGCCACCATATTGCCGCATGTCGGCGGCTTGCTTGGATGCACCCCCAACAACATCGAAGTTCTGGAACGAAGCATGGTCCAGGCTGGCCTCGTCGACACTGCCTCGTGCGTTTGCGACAAGCTGGTGGCCCAGGACCCGGCGATGCCATGGACCGTGCTGGCGCGGCCGAGGGCAAATGCACCCGGGCGACAGGCATCAACTGAGAGGCCCGCCAGGGTGGTCTCGCTGTTGCTGCCGGCACAGTGCCTCAGGCGTGCCGCGCTGTTGCAGAGAGAGTGCAGACCACGGTGAGAGGTGGTCCAATCTGTGTCACGCCAGGCTGCATGCACGTTTCTTCCCCGGAAAACGCCACGGTGCCACGGCGAGAGAAGAGACAACAAGCGGCCACCCCGGCCCGTCCTCCAAGATCCAACCATTCACAGCCGACGCCGACCACCAAGTCGCATGTCCCGCCCTCGCTTCCGCCGTGCCGCTGCCGCCGCCGCCGCCGCCGCCGCCGCCGCCGTCGCCGTCCCCGGCTTGCCTGGCATCGGACCGCCGCACAGCAGGCTGGCAAGGCGAGACGCGAGGAGCCTCGCTGACGTAGCAGCATCTTGTTGGAGAGATGCAGTCGATCTGGGCCAGAAGGAAGCAAGTGAGACGCAACGCGGAGGTTCTCGGGCTCACCCCCGTCCGCCAAAATGAACAACGTCAACCTTCTGCCATTCGGTGGGCACCATGCCTAACATCACCAACCTGAACCTGACCTGTATCCCTGCCCAGGAACGCGCTCGGTACTTGGTTGCTGGCGACTCCAGGCGGTCGCACTTCACGAAAGTGATGGCAGGTGCGGTGCGCGATCGACCGAAATCCGTAGTCCCTCATTTCGGATCTCATATCCCGGCGCCGGCGGAATCACCGAAACCCCAGAACGCAAAGGGAAACCGGGACTGTGCCGTCACGCCAGGCTGCCCGTTTGGGCAGTCGAGAAGTGGCGGCGCCTGCTTCAGCATGCCGCGGCTTCCTTGTACGTAAGGCTACAGTTGGGTGTCCGGAGCCCTTGTTCCTTCCAAGGTTGTTGAGGGCGCGAGGAAGTCGCGAGCACGGCAGGACTCGGTGCCGGCTCATGCATGGGCGGGCAAGAGCGAGCACCCAAGGGCCGCTAGGTTGTTTCGTCGCCGTCTCGTGCCCTTACGTTACTGTACTTTTCTACAGTGCTAAATCCATGCACACAGCCCGGCCATTCAGGTTGTGAGCATGACGGGAGGCATGGCCCTGTTTTCGACCCAGTACACACGGAAGAAGCTTTCTACTCGCTGGCCGACGGACGCTGTCCCCGGACACGTTGTCCATCGACGATGCCGAATCGACGAGCAAGCTGTACTTCGTAATACTAGCCGCGTCCATGCCTTTGGGCGGCGACTGGGCAGGAGTCGTACTTCGCGGGACCAATGCCAGCCTTCACCGCCGGCGACAAGGCGAGGAAGGTGTGGTGCACGTTGCCAGAAGCCCCTGGGCCGCCGCCGCCCCTCCGTGTGCAACCATCAGTACCATTGTCGGCCCCTTGCCCGCCAACCCCGGTCCCACGCAGAGCGACTCGGGAGAGCTGCCGTCAAGCAGTGGTGTCCACCCAGCTCTCACTTCTCATCATCAGCCTCTCACCTCGCTGCCCGGCACACCGATCAAGCTCACGCGGTCCCCAGAAGCCAGCATCCGCCGGCTATCTGTCTCTCTCCCTGTGGATGCTGCCGTAACCGAATCCCTTGTCAATGGGCACCCGGATACTTCGTTGCTCCCGGCTCTCGGGTCCAAGCGTGGCAGGCCCAGATACAACCCCAAGGCGTGCTGCTACGAAGCAGGGGCTGCAGGCTGGCTTGGATCGTTGGCACTCCTGCCAAGCATGGGGCACTGATACCCAGTCGAACCGCCGATCCTCTCCGAGCCCACGCGGTCCCGCGAAGACACGAAGAGACCGCAAGCCATGCGTCGACGAAACTGCACCTGGGCTGCACCCAACAGAGGTGGTCGGGTGTCGAATCTCGCCGTGTTGAGGTCGTCGAACCGGGTTTCAGACATTGGCTTACAGATGCTGCAGTAGCTGGCATCATGGTGGCACTGCATGGCCCGGAAAGCCGGAACACGGGCTGCGATGCTCATGTTCCCCGTCGTCCCCATGGCGAGCCGCAGCGAGTTGTTGGCTTGCTTCCAATGGCCGGCACAGCGTTATTGGTCGGTTTCCTTTCTGGCAACGTCAACGCCCAAGTGCGCCTCGTCGCCCTCGTCTCGATTCGATATACACATCCACAGCACACAACTTGTCCGTAGTTTCGGGCAGGCCCTTCCAGCCGTCCGCGGGAGGGGAACTGGAGGGGTCGTTCCGCGCCTCGGACACGATCGCCGTCCAATGCCTGACGCCACGACTTCGAATCGCTCAATCTGGGCGCTAAGAGGCCCTCCCGGGTCCCGCCTCGTTTGGGCGGGACGCCTCCCGAGGTCCCGAATGTCACCCCTCCAACCCCAGGCTGTGGCTCCCCGCGCTCGCTTCCCATTCCATCGCAGCTTCGGACGAATTCGATGACCACTCCCTTCCACTGCCGTTCACACCGCCCTGCATATGCAAGCTTGGATGCTGTTTAGACTCTCTGCGCTCAGTTACCTGCCGACTTGTCTCAAATCCTGAGCAGTCGCACCCAGCCTCTGACACCACAAACTCATAGAGTTTGCTCTATGCCTGTATTAAGTACTCAGTCACAGTTTGAAGGCATTACAGCAAACGAGGGACACATCAAACAAGCATGGGTGTATGTACTAAGCTTCTCGGCCAGGCATGGGCATGAAGATTCGCAGTCTGGGTCATGCAGAAGCCACTTGCGCAGTCAACTGGTCCTTGCCCATTCAATCGTTTGAAACGATTTGCTAACGGAAGAAGCCATCTTCGCACCGGCTCTCTCGCTGGATGGTCGGCGACCCAGGCTGGCTGGCCGGCACTCAAGTGGAGGTAGCCGGAGAAGTGCATGTGCGGATCCTGTCTCCGATCTGGTGCAAGACCTGCATGGCGAGCAAATAGGAAGCAATACTCCAGGCAAACACGGGCTTTGGCTGATACACGCAGACGAGGTCCGCGCTGAACTCGGTCAGCAGCAAGCGACTGGGCGGGCAAACTGGCTGTCGACTGCGTCGCAGCTGAGTCCTGAACCCCTGGATGCATGGCCATCGCTTGAGACATTTCCGATCTCTCGTTGCCTCAAGAACCCGCCAGTATGAGGAATGGCGTCATTGACGCACAGTTTCCGGTCTCGCGGGCGAAGAGGCACTACACCAGCTCAAGAACGAGCCACATTCGGGCGCTGGGCATATGCGAAACCACAGGGGCTTCCGGGCTGATGGGGAACCGTTGGCCTGGGTGTTATCCCAACCAGCCCGTATCGTGGGGATGGCGGTTGTGAGATCCCTCGACTCAAGCTACGACCGCTGGTCCCACCTCAATATTGCGCATCTACGGCTCGTATTGCTGGCCCACGGCGCAGCTAGTAGATAGCGCGGCTGCAGCGGTCGTTGCAGAAAGGTCAGCCAAATACGCCCCATGACAAGTCGGGCGCGTTGGGATCCAGGTCCCCGACGCCGCAAGCCACGCGAGCGCAGGTGGCAGTCTCGCCGCCGAATACACAGCTCCACCCCACCAGGCACTGCGATGTCACATCTGGAGAACGATCAGGCGCTTCTAGCGGAAGCGCACTGCTCAATTTCTATCCTCGTGACGTGAGACGGGAGGGAAGTACAGGTCAAATTCGGCGTCGCATCTGCGCGACTACATCGAGTGCGACAGGAAGTACACCGGCTGCAAGTAGGGAGACGCGCGTCTGGTTGTACGACATGAAGCGACGCATCCCGCCCGCAAGACACATTAGCAGCCGAGGGGAGCCGCCCTATGCCCCGTGTCTCGTGCATGCGAGGCACATACAAGCAAGTGCTTCCCGCAAGGCTCTCCAGATAGCCGCAAAGACAGTCATCTGGACACGCCTGGTACTCCCCAAGGCATGTGAGCGTTCTACCAGCCTCGAGGAGACCTCCACCTGTTGACCGCGGAGACGCTCCGCGGTATTTCTTCGGTGGGCACTCGTCGGGGGATGCGACTTGTTGGCTTCCTTTTGCCTCTGCATTTGCGGCTGACGGTCTTGTTCCTTGTTTTGCGCTGCAAGAGACTGCTCTGTTCTCTCTCCCCGCATGGGGGCGGACAGAAACCTTTCTTTTTCCTAAAGAAATCAGACGGACGCTGCTGATGGAGCCGATTCTTTGTCCGATGCGATCCAATTGCTTTCTTGGAGCTTTCGCAAAGTGCCCGTGTTTAGACCAGGACTAGGGTGCGAATGAGCGACGTGATGGCTGCAGCGGCGTGCTTGACCGCCAGCACGGTCGTTCATGATTGATCGCGGTTCGGGAAGCAAGGGACAGATTCACCGCGCCTCTACAGTGGTCTTCTTGAAACGCAACTGCTTTCTCGTGTAACAACTTGGCATTCAACATGAAGAGCGGTTCAAGGGCACACGTCGGTGTGTCCCTCTCGAAGCATGACGGCGAGAGTCCTTTCATGCGTATGAAGCCGCCAACAGCGGACGCCATGGCAGCTGGTGCGCCGAGTATACGAAACGAGAACGGTGTTTTGGGCAAGAATTCTTGCAGGGTACTGTGGCTTAGAGGCTGTCGCCTTTGACCACCAGGCCGTCCGTCCCTGATGGTTGGCGGATCCGTGTTATATCGTGGCAGAGAGTGCCGCATACTACCCAAGGGATCTGCGCGGCCCGTCAATCCTGTCAACCGTTCCTAGAAGTTGCCCCCAGCCCTCGAGGTAAAATCAGAGGCGCATCTCTTCTATTGGACGGGCCAGGGTTCTTGCAGCAACGCTAGAAGCTCACAGAGCGGTCAGCCGGCGCAGGGTCGGCGATGTGCTCGCGATGGGTGTTGCGAAACGGAGCGACTGCGAGTGCACCCACCGCGTGCAGTGGTATGGTAGCCGGGCACACCACGAGAGGGTAAGGACGCACGCATAGCTTCTGAGGCTTTTCCTTCTTCTCGCTGCTCCGACTCGCATCGGGTGATTCCGTTGCCGAAGGTGGTGGTGTCCTCACCGCCCAGACGACGTTGACCGGTTCGCTAGGCGACATGGGTACGGCAGGGCAGGTAAGCCGACGGTTTCTGATGCGGGCAGCCATCTTTATGCCGCAGCGCAACGCCCCCGCGACGTCGTCTAGTCAGGAAGGAGGGGAGGACACGTCTGAACCCCCTTCGCGGAAGAGGGCTCGAAGGGGCGCACGCGCACAAGGGTCCGCCCGCGCCCGTGGTGAACAGCCCTGCTTGGCCGATGACGAGATGTCGGTGAAGGGGGGACAAGCGAAGCCGGGACTGCTACGTGCCAACTGAAGCCAAGACGGCAAAACCACCAAGGCGTGTGCGATGGTCGCTCCCGGCCTAGCGGCCCGGCCCGCGATATGCGATAGGATACACATGGCCTGGAGCCCACTCTCCGGCGCTAGGTCGGTGAGGCAGGCAGCCCTTGGTAGATCAGGGCTCTGTTTCCCCCCTGGTGGTCCCGTTGGGCTGATGCTGCCACACCCGAGTGAAATAGAGAGGGAGGGGGACTTGCCGGGGCGGAGGGGAGGGAGCGTCGGGCGTCGAGGGCGATGGGATGCGATGTTACTTGGGCTCACTCGCTCGTGCGCTTCGTGAATGGGCGGTACTCGGCGCGAGGACTGCCAGAGTGAAGCAGGCGGCCTTGGGGAGTCGTCAAGACTGACTGTCCGCCTGTGAGGGACACTTGCCGTATGTTTGTGTGCTTCGATTATCGTCCTGTTTGGACGGCCCTCATGCCAATGTGGCGGATGGTCGTGTAAGTGGAGTGATGATGTTGTCTGAGGACTGCGACGATCCGCAAGGCAGGCTCGTCTCCATTGTCGTCAGCACATTCGAGCCAGTCAGCCCAGTGCTTCTCGTATCTGCAAGATCACGACGAGAAGGCAAGGTAGACAAAGTGCCATCATTCCCCTGTACAATGGTTGGACGTTGTTCTGAGCGTTTGACAATTTCGGTGTAGGGTAGTCAAGTTTGCCAACAGGCCCACGAGCAAGCTTGGGGGAGCTCCAAAGGGACAGCGGCTCACGGCTCCAGAACCTTGGAAGACCCGTGGACGTGTAGCGCGTAACTACGGCCCCACCGCAACGGCCCCTCCCCGCACTGCACCGCTCGGCGCGCCTCAAATCGTCCAGCTCCACTTGGGGGAAGGTTGACGGGGGCTTGGGGGAGGGGAGGGGATGGGAGGGGAAGGTACCAAGGGTGCTTGGGTGCCCGGGCGGGCTGGCGCTGCTGAACCGCCTGGGGCCTGACGGCTGTGCCGGCTTGGTAGGTGATGGCCCGTGGGTGTTTGTGGCCCAGCCCGCTGGTGGCGCTGTTTCCAGGCGGCGACCTCCCGCAGCTCCAACTGGAGCCCTCCACCTCCCCCCAGTTCCATGCCCAGGTAGGTGCCCTGAAGAGCAGCCCCGGGGCCCATTCAGCCTCGCCTGTGGCCTTCCCCAGTGGGCCCTGGCAGCGGCTACGCCCCTGTGCCCGCCCCCCCAAATGGCCCGTTGGAGGGAGCCCGGAGGGGAGGCGCGCCCCTCTCCCCTGCACGCTCTCAGCTGCCCTGCGCCGAGCATTCGTCGACTGAGGTGGTGCCCGCCTGGGGCTCGACTCGTGCCTTAGCCCTTCAGCCTCGTGCCTCACCCTCCGTCATCATCAGCCCGCCCAACGGGGGAATTCCAACCAAAGACCAATCTTGCTTCGCATTGCTCCGATCGCATTCGTTTCAGAGGCCCATCTTGTCCCTTGGACGGCTCGCAGGGAAGCCATCGTGCTCGAAGGATTTCTTTTTTCGCGGCTCTGGTTCGGCAAGCCCGATAGGCGACGCCGCAGTTGCGCCTCGTGAGTTTTTCCCTTGGCCTTCTCGCCCCGGCGGCGCTGGGGCGCCGGCCGGGCGAGTACACCACGCCGGCTTGGAGCAGATGAAAGCACCCGCTCAGCCGAGGTGCGAAGGATGAATGGGTGCGAAGGACGGATGCTGATGCTTTTCATCCGTTTCAGTTCCTCTAGGGCCGAATACGTACGACGCCTCGCCCTTTGCCGGCTTTTAATTCCCCCAGCCCTTTGTTGCGACCTAAGCAAGCAACGTCGATCGCCGAGCGACCCCTCGAAACCACAAAGCCTACGTTTCGCAAACCTGCGATCAGCGGACCACCGAAGCTCGCAACGGCGATTCGACCTCGCGCTTCCGTCCACGGACGTCGTCTTGCTCAATTGGCCCGGAACAAGTCCCGTCGCGCCGAAAGAACTCGCCGAGGTCGTGGTACGACTGGGCCGATCGCCGCATACTCTTTGCTTGCGGTAGCCTCGAACGGTCGATCAGCGGCCATCCTCCTTCACCATGGCTCAACAACCGTCTACGCCGGTCAAGGTGCCGTCCTCGGCCGCAAACTACACACCTGCCACGCTGGACCCGGACCTGCGGTCGCAAATAAACACCGTCCTGCTGCGCGATGGCCACGTCGCAAAGTATGTTGCTGCCCCTCGCTCGCTCTGCTCTTGCCTTTGCCCTTCCCCCTTGCGGTTCCTGCGCAGATGTTGCTGTTGCCTGACGGCTTGTGGAGGAACGGCCGGCGGGAACAAGGGCTCCTGAATACCTGGCATACCGTTGAGTCGTATGAGCCGCAGCTGACAGTTCGAACTAGGATCCAAGAAGCCCTCCTCCACGCCCTCAACGCCCACGCCTCCAACTGGCCCACCGCCGTCCAGAACCACGCCCTCGCCCTCCTGCGATCCGGCGAGGAGACCACATATCCCGCCCTCCTGCGCCGCGTGCTCGAGGACGTCCGCGCCGACTCCGCCACCTCCTCTTCCTCAGCTTCCACGACCAAGAACGGCAGCAAGACGCCCAACGGCGACACCAAGAAGGTCAACGGCGCGGCGGACCCCGCGGGAGACAAGCCCAGCCTCGCCCTCCCGGATTCGGTCGTGCAGGAGGCGCTCAGGGTCACAAGGGAGAGCCTCGAGGCCGTGTGCGACGTGGACGAGGCGGGCAGTTGACTCTCAGTGAAGTGATGGCCGGTGACGCCCTCCAGTGGCGTGCTTGCTGGGAGAGACGAGTGAAGGCGACTAGATGGCGGAGATACTGATCGACCAAGGCATGGGTGGCTGATGATTCCGGAGGAGATACCAATCAACCAAGGGATGAGTGACTATCGGAAAGATGGACTAAAAGATGAGGCAGCCAGCATAAGGAGCAGCAAAGGGGCAACGGGGGCGACGCAGGAGAGCGGAGGGTCTAACCTGCGCGCAATGAGCATGGCCAAGGGGAGCCGATGAATGAACAACAACAATGGGCCTCCCCAGCTCGAGACGAATCAGCTCGACCTCATACACACACACACGCAGACGAAGTACACACAAACCACCTTCGCCACCACCACTACTACTACCACTACTACCACGACAACACACACACGCCGACACACCTACAGCACGGAACACTTCATACGCGACACACACACGCGCACACCACGTTCGGCGCGCCAAACAAGGCCATGCCTACATACCGAGAACTAGCAAAGCCTCCAACCTCCTCCGGCCCCCTCCTCCCAGGAAGGGGACTCTTGAGTCCGCAGTACCTTCACCTTGGATGCAGCAGATACGGAACATGGATGAATGGGGCCTTGTCGAGGCACACAAGGCAACGGGCTACATGAACGGCTACATGAACAGGGACGGGGGCCATGAGGAAACATGGCATCAATCGAACGGTTAGGCTCAGTACCAGGACTGAGGGAGAGCCCACGGATGATGAGGCCCCCCACTTTACCAACCACCTGTATCCTAATACATCACGAATGAATCGATGCTGGTTTGAGTACACGTCAAAATCAATTTGCGTCATCTATCAAACTGACCTCCCCCTTCCTCCATTACCGCAACCAGTGGCAAGGCACGAGGAGACGATGGTCTGCTCTGCCACGCCGACTCGCAACCCGACGACCTCACGTGTTTTTTTGTTCGCGCCGAGTGGCAACAGTCTGTCTAGTTGCGCCTGGGTCGGGCGTCAATCGTGTCCTCCGCCGCCCTCTCTACTACCATTTCTACCAACTCCTAGAGTCCAAAAGAACGCAGCAAAACAAAGGCGTCATGGGTCGAGATTGATGCCGTCCACAAGCTGTGTGCCCCAAGATGATGCACATGTACGAGTCGGAAACCTTAGAATACAGGGACCAGCGTCGTGTCCGCAGCCGAGAGCAACCAGTCAGGCTTAGTCGTAGAGATCATCATCGTTGCCGGCGTCGCCAAAGCCATTGCCGGCATCGCCACCAGCCTGGCCATCAGCACCAGCCTCGGGGAACTTGAAGAAGGCGCCGGGGCCGGCGTTCTTCATCTGCTGGGCGAATGCCTCGTAGCGGCGGATCTCCACGTCGGTCACCGACCGGCGGGCCATCTGCATGGCCTCCTCGAAGTGAGCTCGGGTCAGCTCAGGGACGGGGTCCTCGGCATCTTCATCCACATCCATGTCGTCGCCGGCAGCCTCACGAGCCTTGGAGCGCTCGATGTCAGCGTTGATGGCCTCCTTGATGGCGATCTTGACGGCACGCTGGGTGATGAATCCAAGATCGGCACCAGAGAAGCCGTGCGTCTTGCTGGCGATGTAGCCGAGGTCGATGTCGGAGGAGACGGGGGTCTTGCGCAGCTGGGCCTTGAGGATACCGAGACGACCGGGCTCGTCGGGCAGGGGAACGTAGATGAGCGAGTCGAGACGGCCGGGACGGCACAGAGCCGGGTCAAGCTGCTCGGGCCTGTTGGTGGCGCCGATGACGAAGACGTTCTTCTTGGAAGTCATGCCATCCATTTCTGCCGGCAACGTTAGTAAACTGAAAACGATATGGCAGCGTGAGCAGGAACTTACCAGTCAGGAGCTGGTTGACAACACGGTCGGAAGCACCGCCGGCATCACCAACGGAGCCGCCACGAGCCTTGGCGATCGAGTCCAACTCGTCGAGGAAGACGACGCAAGGAGCTGCGGCGCGGGCCTTGTCGAAGATGTCGCGGATGTTGCTCTCAGACTCACCGAACCACATGCTGAGCAGTTCAGGGCCCTTGACGGAGATGAAGTTGGCGGCGCACTCGTTGGCGACAGCCTTGGCCAACATTGTCTTACCGGTACCGGGGGGGCCATAGAATAGCACACCGCGGGACGGGGACATGCCAAACTTGAGGAACTTCTCGGGGTGGTCGACGGGGTACTGGACGCTCTCGCGGAGGTCCTGCTTGACACCCTCGAGGCCACCAATGTCCTCCCAGCGGACGTTGGGCACCTCCACAACGGCCACCTCGCGGAGCGCGGAGGGGTTGGAGACACCGAGCGCGAAGCGGAAGTTCTCCATGGTGACGCCGAGCGAGTCGAGGACCTCGGCATCGATTGTGTCCTCGTCGAGGTCGATGAGGTCCATCTTCTCGCGAATCTGCTGCATGGCGGCCTCGGAGCAAAGAGCGGCAACGTCGGAACCGACATAACCGTGGGTCTCGGCGGCAATCTGCTCCAGGTCGACGTCGTCACCAAGCTTCATGTTCTTGGTGTGGATCTGAAGAATCTCGAGACGGCCGGTAGGGTCGGGAATGCCAATGTCGACTTCGCGGTCGAAGCGGCCGAATCGTCGCAGGGCCGGGTCAATCGAGTTCGGTCGGTTGGTGGCGGCCATGACGACAACGTTGGAACGAGCCTTCATGCCGTCCATGAGCGTCAGAAGCTGAGAGACGACACGTCGCTCGACCTCGCCGTTGGTCTTCTCACGCTTGGGGGCAATAGAGTCGATCTCGTCGATGAAGATGATGGCAGGGGAGTTCTTCTCGGCCTCCTCGAAAGCCTTGCGCAGGTTGGACTCGGACTCGCCGGCCATCTTGGACATGATCTCGGGACCGTTGATGAGGAAGAAGAAGGCACCCGTCTCGTTGGCCACAGCTCTGGCCATGAGCGTCTTACCGGTACCGGGAGGTCCGTACAGCAAGACACCACGGGGAGGCTTGATGCCGATGGACTTGAAGAGCTGGGGGTGACGGAGGGGAAGCTCGACCATTTCGCGGATCTGAGCCATCTGCTTGCGGCAGCCTCCGATATCATCATAGCCAACCTCGTTGAGGTTGTTCTCCTCCTCGTCTCTCTGGATCGGGTCGCCCTCGCAGTGGATGACGGTATCTTGGGCGACGATGCCATACTCGGGGGGGTCGACCTCAACGACCTTGAACTCGACTTGCCGCATGCCACCTCTGACGATGAAGAGGTCGCCCTGGCGGACTGGCCGGTAGGCCTCACGGAAGTAGGGGGCGAGGAAGACGTCGAAGAGAGAGCCGGTAATACCCTCGACGGTGTCGGCAATGGGCAGAACGGCGATTCTCTTGGCCTGTTGGGGGTCAGCGTCATGTCATTGCTGACGTGATTGCGAGCTTGGGGTGCCGAAACTTACGTATTTGATATCGGGACACGGGTGGATGGTGATCATATCACCATGCTTGACACGGAGGTTGTGGCGAACGACGCGGTTGATGCGGGCACTGCCGTCATCGAGCTCCTCGTCGGCGAGAACGATGAGGACGGTGTCCTTCCGCTTCTTACCCCGTACCAGGACGGTGTCACCTCGGAAAAGCTGGAGAGAGTCCATGGTAGCCTCGGACAGGGCAATGATGCTGTTGTCATCGTTGACGGCATCGGTGACCCTATGACGGCGTTAGACGGGCCAGATAAGCCAAAGCGGGGCAGCTGGTCACCTACATCAGCTGGTTGGGCTTCTTCTTCTTCTTGAGGATCGCGGTCGCGGTGTCATCTTCCTGCACGTCGGTCAGCTCTGGCGATGGTCCTCGGGGTGTTTGCGGCAAACGAACGTTCTTGACCTCGGCGCCGGAGGGGTCACTGTGCGAAGCGAGTCAGCGTCATTGTTGGACCAGCGGTAGGAGCATTCGCCGTCTCGCGAGGAGCGGGATGGCCGGGAATACGTACGTCAAGTTGACCTTCTTCTTGTGCTCGTCGGGATGGGGAGCCATCTCGTCGGATTCGCTTCACAGAAGCTGTGCCTTGGTTCCGAGAGGGTGGAAACGTGGCCGAGAGTGCGGGCTGGTATCGGGTGCAGAGAGGCGCACGACGTCTGCGTTGATGTCGACGAAGTGCGCAGGCGCGTAGAGCGAGATGAGTATGCGGAGGGAGAGGAAGAGTTTCCGGGAAGAGAGGGGGGGATGGGGATGTAAAATGGAGAGAGTTGTGGTTATGATGGCGAGTGCAGAGAGGAAGGAGAGGCAATGATGAGGTAGTGGCCGGAGAGGTACAAGCTCCAGGTTCCGACTGCATTACTCACTCACCTGGGCGACAGCGCGGCGCGAGCCAATGATATCACCGACTGCCCTGAGCCGGAGCGGAAGATTGATGATGCACGGGCGTGGGTAGCTCGGGCCTCCACCAACAGGGGCCATCTGGCCGTGGCCTCCCGCCGCAAGGCAGTGAACGCTAGGCGGAAGCCAGTGAGGTGGCCGCCACCTGGCACCACCCACTCACTGTAGGGAGCAGCCAGAAGCATCAGTGGGTGGCGGCAAAACAGTGGAAGCTTCTGCGACCTTCCACCGCGCTGACGCAGGCCGCGCGCACCTAATCTGAGGCGCGACGCTGCAGGGCCAGGCAGCTGGAGGGACGCGCAGCCACCTCATCCGGCAGCGCGGGCACGTAGGTACCCGCCAAAAGTCACTGACCCATTGTGCAACCGCCCACCTTGGGAAGCACCCGGAGTCGTCACTCCGTCAGCCAGGTGCCCCGCAGCTGGCAAGCGGGTGGCACAAGCTGCTCTCCCAAACGCGGACCATCACCAGCAGCGCCATGGACGATCTGTATTCAAAGACAGAGCAGTCACTACTAGGTACCTCATCGCCAGTCCCCCTTTAGCACCATGTACGCCGCCACTCTCTGAGGCGATCCACCCGGCATGGCGTGGCCGTTCTTGCGCCTGGTCATCCATGAGGTGTGCTCCCTGCAATGCACCCTCGCCGTTCCCCGTCCCTCCATCTGCATGAAGCTCTGGCCCTGTGCATACATGGACTCCTTGGGTATTCTTTTAACTCTTGGCCAGGACTGCGCTTTACGGCGTTGGCTCTGACTAATCAGCCCGTTTGCACTCAACTAGAGCACAATATGATCGGTCGGAGTTGGTGATTGCAAGTCGACCCAGTACGTGAACCGTGGATTCAGATGGTTTGTCCTCAACTTCACCCAGTGTCCCTGACGTGAAAATGGCGTACATCATTCACGCGGAGGAGCGTCGGCGTATCGAAACCGCATTGAAGCGGCCACGAGTGGCTTGGCGGATAGATCATAGATCCGCCGCAAGCCGGACCATCCTCCATGCCACCTCTTTGCGCGTGCGCAGACCATGAGTTCCACCGGGAATGAAGACAGCCTCGCAGATACAGATGGTAAGAAGGCGTCTCTGATCGTCAACGACTGGCCTGCGCGACGGCGCTCGGGTCAACCATGTCTGCAACAAGACTAGCGAAACGCGGGGTCAACGGCTTCATGTGCGTGCGATGCCGGCATCGACAGCCTAGGCTCTCCACTATTAGCCGCGGCCGACTTACACGGCAGCTGATATAAAGTACAAGCCACGACAACAACACGTTGCATGCTCATCCATCGTCATCACCGTCAGTATCGCCGTACCGCGGATACCTCGGACTCCAAATTGCCCACCATGGCCGACGCCGTGCTTGTGAGCAAGACGGACGAGGGCATCACCACCATCACCATCAACCGCCCGCACCGCCGAAACGCCGTCGACCCGCCCACGGCGAAGCTGCTCGCCGTCGCCTTTGCCGACTTTGACCGCGACGAGAGCCAGAAGGTGTGCGTGCTGCACGGTGCGGGGGACACCTTTTGCGCCGGCTTTGACCTGCATGCGCTCTCCTCGGGACGGGCCCAGCAGCAACAGCAGGGACAGTCCGGCGATGATGCAGCAGAGCCGCGCGTGCTGGACGAGTACACGCCCGACGCAGACGCCCACCGTCGCGGCCACAACACGGCGCCCATGGGCCCCTCGCGCATGCAAACCTCCAAGCCCATCATCGCCGCCGTCGCCGGCCACGCCGTCGCGGGCGGGCTCGAGCTCTCCCTGCTGGCGGACCTGCGCGTGGCCGAGGAGGACGCCGTCTTCGGCGTCTTCTGCCGGCGCTGGGGCGTGCCGCTCATCGACGGCGGCACGGTGCGCCTGCAGGCCGTCGTGGGCCTGGGCCGCGCCCTCGACATGGTGCTGACGGGCCGGCCCGTGGGCGCGCGCGAGGCGCTGCAGTTTGGGCTCGCAAACCGCGTCGTCGCCCGGGGTGAGGCCGTGCGGGAGGCGCACGCGCTGGCGAGGCAGCTGCTGCGCTTCCCGCAGGGCTGCATGCGCGTCGACCGCGCGAGCTGCTACTACGCGGCGTACGGCGCGCGGTCCTTCGAGGATGCGATGCGTTTCGAGTTCGAGAACGGGGTCCAGGTCGTGGCGTCGGAGAGCGTCGACGGCGCGGCCCGGTTCAGTGGGGGGGCTGGCCGGCATGGCGACTTTGGCGACGGCGCGTCCAAGATTTGACGACTGAGTGCGCGGGCAGACGATGTCATTTAAGTTTGCGTTCCGGGCGAAAAACGGCCGGCTCGACTATCTCGAGCAAGAAGAGTCTTGACTCTGAAGTCCAGCAAACTCTTATGTGACAACACGTCACGGAGCATCTCTCTGTAGAACTCTAGTGAATTGTGACTGACACCTGCTGATAGCCGGAGTTTGGGCCCAAGCCAGGCCCTAGGCACTCAAAGTTTATACCAACGGTATCCGACTTCGGACTACAGTTGCCATGCGAGCCACCTCGTCTTTGGTCTTAAGAACCCCTTGCCCTACCCGTCCACGCCTTCGGTTTTGCCTACACTGCACTTTGCGTGAAGGTTTGCCTAAAGGGATAGTAGCACCTCGATATTTCTGTAGCATCCGCACAGCAGCGAGGACGTCTTCGGCATACAAAATGGACTCTTTCTCTCTCTCTCATATTTTCGCGGACATCCGCCACCAGATCTCCTCGGCCACTCCCGGAAAAGGGTTCCAATACGAAGACTTTCCAGCCATCTGCTTGGCTCCATTTCTTGCCGCAGGGACAGCTCATTCACCTTCAGAATCTCCTGTTCTTCCATCGCGCTGTCCAGATGATGAGATGCCTCCGAAACCCACGACGTTCGAGCTCTTCCCGCGCTTGCCACCGGAAATTCAGAACCTCATATGGGACTTCGCCGCCGCCGCGCACCCCGACCCGACCGATCAACCCGGAGCACACTTCTTCTCCATCTACAAAGCGGGCATAGACAATGTCCTCGTTGATGGGAACTTAGTGGACCCATCCCTGACGAGGCCGTACCGCCTCGGATTGCCGTTGACTACCGTCAACCCCCGCGCCGCCAGGATGTCGGCCTACCTCATCGACGCTGGTCTTCGATTGGGGTGCCATGACTCGGCCAGGGCGCTGAAAGGCTGCCATAAATCGCTTATGCGTTGGCTCGAACGCCAGGAGAGCGAAATCTCTACGTCCCCCGAGTCGGAGGAGTACCACGAAGAAAGGGAGGTGACGTGGGGTACGCGGATCGTGTTCAAAAGGCATTCCACACACGTCGGACTTTGGTGCTGGATGTGTCCGCTCTCCGACCTCATCGTCTTTCAGCCGGTCGACTTCAACTCGATCGACCTTGGCGGGCTTGGCTCCTTCCTCCGTTCCATATTCAACCTTCCGCGATGGATGCGGACTCTGAGGTGCAGGAACATCGCTTTTGAGCTTCACCCGACGTGGATCCAAGATGGGCGCACGGGAAACGAGGGCGCGTTTAGGCTCCTCCAACACGCCGCGAGGTGGCGAGGGGCCAGCTGGGCTGACAACATCTGGCTCATCGACTATGGGATCAAGCACATCGTAGGCGCGCCACTTCGTAAAGATAGGCGACTGTTCGTCGGCAACAGATGCAGGTTCATCGAGGTGCTGCTCAAGGACGCGCAATGGGAGTTCTCGACAGTCGTGGACTCATACAACTTTGTCAGGCGGTTGGCGATCCCGAATCTCGAATGGCCGCACCGGCTCCGTCACACACAGGAGCCTTTTTATTCCCAGAGGATATGGGGCGTCCTCGCTTGCTTGATGGACGACGATGAGTAGAGACCGCAGGCCTTTGTTGGTGTGCACACCGTGATATGCTGGTGAGGTTGGGTGGGCAAGAAGACGACGTCTTCGACATGGGAATCGAAAGAGGACTTCCAGACGAGACAAGAGGGTAGATCAAGGCATAGCGTGGCGGCAAGAGGAGTTCCATGGCGTTCAGAGGATATTCGATAGTCGCCTGGGGTGATATCAATGGTGCGCGACTTTTTGGTGGGGCATTGCCAAATTGACCTTGGGCATCACTCACTTCACGTTTGACCGTATCAGAGCTTGTCGTTGTCCGTCTTATTCGTCATTTTCAAACGCATCGTTGAGATACTTCACAAACGTCTCCCTCAGGCCGTCCGCCGCCATGTTGGCCACCGAGTCGAGACCAATTCCACCGCGGTTCAGAGCTACAAAGGCTCTCCGCAGGCGTTGGAGCTGCGGCACGCCCAACTTCTTGCCCGGCGGCAGCTCGATGATCAGGTCCGGTTTCCCCGGCGCGCTCAGCGGTACGGCGACCTCTCCACTGCTGCCGTCGGCGGCTTGCTGGTCGAGTATCCTCTTGACGATGTCCTGCGTCTCTCGCTCGAGGATGTAGAGGTAGTCGCCGCCCGCATCCCGACCGCGGCGCTCGGTGGACTGGTTTGGTCGCACCACGGGCTTCGCATCGCCAGCCATGGTGTCCCATAGCGAGTCAAACGTCTTGCGCGTCTGGGCCTCGTCGTCTTCCCATATGATTGTGAATAGGGGGCTGTCCCATCGCGTCATGGGGTTGGGTTCCTCGTAGCGGAAGACAAGATTGTCCCAGTTTCCCGGCTCGTAGGCCTCTGTAGTGTCACCCTCTTGTATCACGTCGTCATCTTGCCTCTCGGCGCCAGGTTGTTGCAGCTTCCGCAGGCGCTCCTGGTTGACCCCACGGGCCCTGTCAGGGGTGCATCCGATTTGCAGGACGCAGTTGGGGGTGCGCATGGCCTTGGCCTCGCAATGCAGCTGGTACCGCCAGCCCTTTATGTAGTTCAAGCCATCGAGGATGACAAAGTCCCGGTCGGAAAGGACGCGCTTGACGGCGCCGTAGAGGGCGGCGCGGGCGTCCTTTTCAGAGGCATTGGCGGAGCGGGTGTGGGCGGGGACTTTGGAAGGGGAGAGGTCGTACACGGTGCGAGAGATGGAGAGGGAGTCGTCGGATATCAGATGCAGGCGGTATTTTGCGGGAGTGGAAGAGTCGGCCGGGGCGATGCGCTGGGCCAGGTAGTCGTAGAGCTGCTTTGCGCGCGTGGACTTGCCCGAGGACGGGAGGCCTGTGACGATGATGAGCTGGGCTCGGCGTTAGCTGTCATACAGCTTCAAATCCCAGGAATTCAGAGAGGCGTTTCGGCCTGAGGAGCATGGGGCGGGCTTACTGGCATTGCGACCAGCGCAAGTATGGGAGACGGGGGAGGTTGAGTCTGGACTTTTTTGGCGGGGGTTTGGACATGTCGTCGTTGTGATAGTGGGGAATCGAACAGTGGAGGACGGGAGGCAGTGGAACGTGCATGGGCTGCCCGGCCCGTAGAGCCGCCAGCCTGCAGTGGAGCGGCTCACCAAGCGCCCGTCCAATCGGCCTGGGCTGTGAACCAGCATGTAGCCCTGCACATCGCCTGGCACTTCAGCACGACTGCCAGTCCTTCATCATCGTCACAATCCAGGACGCCCTGCGACTTGCATTGCAACTTCTGCTCCCTCACGTGGCCAATCCCTCGAGTGGATGAATTGGCCTGCCGTGCCGACCCTCGACCACCAGCAACGGAGCGGAACGATGGCCGAGACGGGGTCCGACCCAAATTGAGGATGGGCACGTTTGAACAACGCATCCCACACCGACTCTCGTGATGGGTCACCGAAGTGGGACTTTGAATGGGAAGGATTGCCCCATCGCCGGGTGATGTGTTTCATCTCGGCGTCTCCTTAACATACAAAAAAATCTGCCGGGACTCGGGAGCCTCACGACACGAAGGTATTGTGGCTTCCTGTGCGAGGGGATGGAGCCATCTCCTGAGGAGAAACTGGCCCAGCGGATCCTTGAGTTGCCTGCCTGGATGTGGTGAAACGGCTCAGCCATCGACGTGGCAGTCGAAGCTGTCGTCAGATATCCAGGCGACACGGAAAGTCCCGCCACGGGCCGCTCCCATCAGGCAGCTCTACAGCGTTGATGGCACGGTGCCGAGATCGATGGAGAGCCGCGCGGCAGAATTCATGGCCTCGCCCCATGGCTGATAAAGTTTGCCTGTCCTTGTCAGCCCGGGGCCAGACTCGGGGCTGGTCAGGGCGGAGAGTATCCCGTTCTGGACGCGGCCGCTATAAAATGCCGTCGGCACCGTCGACATGCTCTCTTCAAACCTGGCGTCAAAAGCATCGAGGCATCAATATATGAAAGTCGTCTGACCTTGGAATCCAACAATGGCCATTGGGTTATTGCTGCTCGGTGTCTTCGCCGCGGCCCTCGCCGCGCCGTCGACAGGCACGGCTCCTCGAACTGCTTGCACCTTTACCGACGCCGCGAGCGCCATCAAGCAAAAGACCAGCTGCGCCGTCATTACTCTCAACAACATTGCTGTTCCCGCTGGCATGCCATTGGACTTGACAGGTCTCAACGATAGAACCCATGTAAGGCTCTGTCCACGACGTCGCCACGCTTTCGTACTAACGCCGCAGCAAAGGTAACATTCGCGGGAAAGACAACTTTCGGATATAAAGAGTGGACCGGACCGCTCATTTCCATCTCAGGCAAGGATATTGTTGTCGAAGGCGCCGCCGGTCACTCCATCGATTGTCAGGGACAGCGATGGTGGGACGGCATGGGAGGAAACAGGGGCAAGGTCAAGCCCAAGTTCTTTAGCGCCCACAAACTCACCAACTCGCGGATTCAAGGCCTTAACATCATCAACACCCCCGTGCAGGCTTTCAGCATCAACGGGGCCACGAACTTGGAGGTCCATAACGTTCATATAGACAACTCCTTGGGTGATACGAAAGGTGGCCATAATACGGACGCCTTCGACGTTGGCGCCTCAAATGGGGTGTACATCTCTGGTGCCGTGGTAAAGAACCAGGACGACTGCATCGCCATAAATTCGGGGACCAATATTACCTTTACGGGCGGTGACTGCTCAGGCGGCCATGGCTTGTCTATCGGTTCGGTCGGCGGCGGTGACGCGGTCAGAGGGGTTCGCATTCTCAACTCCAAGGTTTCCAACTCGGCCAATGGCGTCCGCATCAAAACCAGGCTCAATGAGGTCGGGTCGGTTTCGGATGTCATTTACGACAACATTGCCCTGACGAACATCGCCAATTATGGCATCGTGATTCAGCAGGACTACGAGAACGGCGGATCCAAAGGCTACCCTTCTGCCGGAGTGCCTGTCACCGGCCTTACTGTGAATCGGGTTGTTGGCAATGTCAAGCCCACTGGCACCAATGTCTACATTATCTGCGCCGCCTGCCGAAACTGGATCTGGACGAACAATAGAGTCACGGGCGGCACCAAGGTGATGCAAAACAAGGGAGTGCCCCCGGGGGTCGTCACCAGGTTCGCAGACGTGTCGGCGCATCCTTCTGTCTCCCACATGCACGGTCAATCCTGGTCGTTGATGCGTCCGGGGAGGGTGTAGTAGCACCGTTGTTGATTGAGACTTCTGTACTGTCGTGGCTTTCTCCATGGCTCCTAGTGGAAATTGACTCCCCACTACCGGCTGTATCTGCACTTGCCAAGAAAACGCTGCCATTGCAATGAGAGCTAGTCGGTCTGATGCTCGACAACACAGCCAAACAAATATCAGGCAGACACCATGGCCCGGCTATCCGGCCAGCGGTCTGCGAATTGCGCAGGAGGCGGCCTCCCAAAGAGGCAAGAAAGCGACGCTGAGACTGTTGGAGCCCCGGGAACGCCAGCCGTGACACGTATCGGCTTGCGCAATGGATCAACAGCGTCAGCTTCGCCTCGCTCGCATCGATTTCCATCAACTGCCAGGTTCCACTCAGGATTCAGGAACGCCATGCCTGCCCTGCCCTGCCCTGCCCTGCTTTCGAGCCCGCCCGCCCGGCAGTAACAGCCCCAGCCACGCACCAAACAGACGCCGAACCAGCACCGAAAGGCACCCGCCCGCTCAGCCCTACGATGATGACGATGCAGCAGCGCTTGTGCAGCAGCCATCGCCCGTTGCCCGATCGGGAAAGCCTTTCGACGAGACGGAGGCCCCCCTTGCCCCCCGTTTTTTGCTGGTTTCGGCACTGCCGCGACGTCGCCATTGGCGGAATCGTCCCGGTGGGAACGCGCCCGAGCGACTCCCGCAGCGAGGCGTCAGCTCTGCGCGTGCCGTGAGCCGAGCGAGACAGAGGAAGCGGTTTTCCACGAGTGTGCTTTGCAGCGGGCTTGCTTACCAGTCAGGCTTTTTGCCCTTTGCGACGCGATGGGGCATGGGTGATGCAGGGCGTTATTGACGCCCCGTTGATCGATGGACGAGGAAGACAATCCATTCGAGCTGAGATTCTGAGGCGGATGTGTGTGTAAGCTGGTGTATAAAGATTGTCGGTTGTCCTGGCTTCAGTTGCGAGCTGGAGTCTTATGTGCATTATAGACATTGCGATACAGTCACAGCCTGCAATATCACATACCAACCAGTATTTGCTGCTTCGTTTTTGATAGAGACTGAACGACTCGCTGCCATCATCACCACCCAACTCGGCAGACTGATCTACCCTCACCCACAACTTACACAACACCGTCCGAACATTGACATACAACACAAAAAACACTCGCCACCATGGGCCGCCCCCTCGACACCTACGACCACATCGCCATCGCCTCCCTCGCGATCTACTCCTTCTTCCTCATCGGCGCCGTCTACCTCTGCATCAAGCACGGCTTCAAGCGCTCCAGCGGGTGGCGCTTCCTCATCATCCTCGCGCTCGCGCGCATCATCGGCGACGCGCTGCGCCTGGCCACCATCTCGGACCCGACCAACGAGAGCCTCTACATCGGCTGGATGACGCTCAACGGCCTGGGGCTCGGCCCGCTGATCCTCGTGCTGCTGGGCCTGCTCGACCGCGTCTTCGACTCCATCAACCGCCAGGGCCACGTCGTCGTCAAGCCCATGTACCAGCGCATCCTCAACCTCCTCATGCTCGTCGGCATCATCCTCCTCATCGTCGGCGGCACGCAGTCTGATTTCCACGTCGGCGCCGACGGCCAGCCCAAGATTGACTACTCTGCGGCCAGCAAGGCCGGCACGGGCATCTTCGTCGCCGCCACCGCCCTACTGTGCCTCGAGACGCTGCTGGCGTTTCAGAACCAGGGATACGTCTCCGAGGGCGAGCACCGCATTATCCTCGGCGTCGTGGCGTCGCTGCCGTTTGTGATCGTGCGGCTCGCGTACTCGTGCCTCTTGGTCTTTGGCGGCAAGACGTCCACCGTCTGGCTGTACCTGGGGCTGCTCGTCATCATGGAGATGGTCGTCGTGCTCATCTGCGAGGTGCTTGGCTTCACGCTTGACAAGGCGCCGCCGAAGCCGCCCAAGGACGACCAGGAGATGCAGCTGCGCGAGCGCGAGCTCCGCGAGACTGGCTCCTACACTCGCAAGTAGAGAAGAAGGACCAAAAGGTGCCGACATGAGTGAGGGTCATGTCGAGTGTACGTACATAGATGAGCTGCCTGGGCTGGCGTCAGGGTGAGGACTGGAGGCTCCGCATATCATCGCAGCTAGCGATCTTGTTATACCCCCATTGTATTTGTTTGTCTAGAGCGCAATGCATAGATCTCTCTCTCTCTCTCTCTGATCAGGTATCGAAAAATTCCAAAGTCGGCATCTATCCTTGTAGATATGTCCAGGGCCCCTTTGCTGTGTCGTAAGAGAACACGCAAATCCCACGAGTACGCCTCGTCGAGGGAGTCAATGCCCGCAAGTCCCGTCGTTTCCCATGTCCCGCAAAATACACCATGAGCGTCATGCATAAATCCAGAATCGGATCCTGCCAGCCACCGGAGGCAGCGCAGCGTCCAATTCCACCTCTCACATGACGACGCAGCACGCCTTCTCCAGCTTGCGCAGGATCCGCGGCAGCGCCTTTTCCACGAGCTGCGCAATCTCGTCCTGCTGCTGGTTCTGCCCGCCATGGTGCTGCTGCTGCCCGCCGTGCTGGCCACCGTGATGCTGCTGCTGCTGCTGGCCACCGGGGTAGCCGTGCTGGCCGCCGCCGCCGCCGCCACCGTGATGCTGCTGCGGCGGAACCGGCTCGCCGCCCTGCAGGTTAATGTATATCCGCCCGGCATTGTCCTCGGTGGTGTACTTGAGGCCGAGCTCGCGGCACAGCTCCTCGACCTTGGGCTTGATCTTTTGCACGTGGCCCGTCGAGTGGTTGCCCTTGCCGACGATGGCGTGCAGGTGCGTCTGGCCGCGGGCCTGGTCGGCGCGGATGCGCTGCTCGAGGATGCGCTCCGCCTCCTCGACGAAGAGCCCGTGCAGGTCGATCTGGTCGCCGCCGACCTTTCCGGCGGCGTTGTTCTCGCGGAAGATGTAGTCGGCCGCCTGCTGGTTGAGTTCGTCCATCTTGCGGTCGTGCATCTTGCCCTGGTTGGAGAGCTCCTTGGCGGCGGCGCCGTCGCCAGAGTTGTACGCCTGCTTGGACTGAAGGAGACTATCGTCAGCACCTGTGTGATCCGTCTCCTATGTGCTTCCTTCCGCGAACACAGAAGAGGGCGAGGGTCGCATACCCGCTCGTAGCACGAGTTGCGCTTCGCCGCCTCGGCGCGCGCCGCATCGCGCAGGCGGTCGTACTCGCGCTCGACGTCGTCATTGTCGCCAGAGTGCAGGGCTGCGTGGTGATTCAATGGTCAGCGACTCAGTCGAGCGCACGTCGTCCCCGTTCCTTCCGCGCCACCAAGAGGGCGACAAACCTCGGCCGCCCAGTCTTGTCATGGGAATCGACATGGTGATGGTTGGTCGCGCCGCGCGGGCGTCTTGGGCAGATCAATTGGGCGTCGGGCGCGCTGCGGCGAAAAGGGTCCCAATGGCGACGAACACCAGCGGCAGTCCGAGCAGAGCGTGCGTGGTGTTGAGGACAAGCGCCAATGGTTGACGATGCACGACGGGATCGACTATTTTACTTGTACTACCGTGGGCGCGGCGCGGTGCCGTTCCGTCGTCGAGGGCGCTCGTTGGGCGGCGTGTGAGTTTGGGGGTGAAGTGGGCCCTCTGGACGATCTCTCAGGGCGGGCTCTCGGTCCCAGGGCCCGCTCGGCATCGCCGCGGAGGGGCAGCCGCAGCGCTGCAGCGGCATTGGAGCCGCCCACGTCCCATTTCTTTGGCGCCTCCAGGGCTCCGTTCAGCGCAAGTTCGGCCTGCACCGCCGGGTCGATCCAGCTGAGGTGGTGGACTGGACCCGTAATTACTGCGGCCTCCGGGCGGGCAGCAACCAAAGGCGCCCACCAGCCGAGGGGACGCGGAGAGCCACACATCCTACCGTGGAAAGCCACATTGCGCAGCGCAGGTGGGAGCAAACTCCAGAGTCTGGACCATCGTGGGTGCAAAGAGGAGCGATCAACCAAGCACGCTGGCCCAAAAAGCAACGCCAACTGGCCCCTGTCTGGCACCTCGGGCGACATGTCAACTGCCTCTCAGCGCCAATGTCACACACAGACGCGTGCGGACACCATCGTGAGCGACCAACACCGGCGCATCATCACGATCCATGGAGTCATCCATCATCCTCATCATCCTTCCTTCATCCAGCTGACCAAAAAAGCAACCTGGACCAGTTGCCCAGAGGCGCAAAAAAAAAGAAACGACACCTGCAGGATTCGAACCTGCGCGTACGAATACAATGCCTTGGTAACTGCTCGCAGTACTGGTAGATGTTAGAAGATGCACGGTGTTGATGTTCATTCGGTTATGACTTACGCAGGGCATCGCCTTAACCACTCGGCCAAAGTGTCTGAGTTGGTTATTTGCACGGTGCTTAAAATGTCTCATCTACTAGGGGCGGCCTCAGTCGGCAAAAGCACGGCACGTCCTCGACAGGGCTCATCAAGGACGTGGTCAAGCATCAGTTAGGATGGCAAAAGAGCAAAAAAGAACGACACCTGCAGGATTCGAACCTGCGCGGGCGAACCCAATGCCTTGGAACTGTGTGCAGTACTGGTTTGGATGTTAGACGACTGAAGGCTAGCCTTGTTTTGCTCGTTGGAACTTACGCAGGGCATCGCCTTAACCACTCGGCCAAAGTGTCTTGGCTGGTTGGGGAATGGAGTGTTTGTTTTTCTTTATGTAGCCAGATAGCGGGGCTCTCACCCTCCTGTGCGCCCCCCACCGCGGGCATCCAGGCACCAGGTCCCCGACTCCCCGAGCCTGATGAAGAGCGACACGATCACCGCCAATTTGCAGGCTGCAGCGTCAGAGCGCTTCAGCTCAATGAGATCTTCGCAATTCTCCGTCCGGCGAACATTTCGCCTTGCCAATGACGTGCAGTGGCGCCCATTACGTACGACCCCGTACTCGCCGTTCCGTGGACTGCAGTCCCTCCCAGCTGCTGCGCATCGCCGCACAGAAGACGGGACCATCCGAGGTTACAGAGCACGGAAGAGTACGAAGTACATTTCACACTTCTGTGCACGCCGAAGCAAGCACCAACCTGTGACGAGAGCCCGCCCGGGCACCCTGCACGCCGTCCGCCCATCTGAGACCCTTTCTACAGGCCCTTCGAGGCCCCGATGGCAGCCGTCTGAAATCTGACGGCGCGCTGGTTCCCCCTTGCGAGCGCCGTGAGCCCCTCACATGACCGGAAGCTGGCGTCAATAATAAAGCGGAGGAGGCGCCACTGGTCCGGCGGAACCCCTGGGAAAATCACCGCCAAGCCATGTGGCATGGCGGCCCCTGTCGCCGCCCAGTCAATGTCCGAGGGGGGCCTCGTCTCTCTCGAGAAAACACCCCGAAGCCCTGGGGGGTCCAAGAGATTGCATCATTTGCTGGCCATCGTGTGGCCAATTTCGGCTCTGTTCCCATGACGCCGGTTCTGACAGCTCGGCATCGATCACCAAGTACTCGTACTCACATACAAAATGGCTACCCTGCACTCGCAGTGTTCGACCGCCGGACGGACGCGGGCACGTGTCGTGTCTGAGCAGTTCTCGATCGTTCAAGTGCGCCATCCGTGTTTACTTGCCCGTCTGGATCTATCCAGATGGAGGCCAGCGACGAATTGCCAACCTTATCTGACATGTGCGTGGAGTACCTGTCGTCAGTGCGGGCTGCCCCGGGTTCGTACACGACTGTGCTACAGAGCTGGGGTCTCCTCCACGGACCAGCCGTAATATGCAGAACCAGAACCACGGGACAAGGCTGCAAAGCACAGACGCTCTGGAAGCCGCAGAATTCAAACAGCCGTTGGTGATTGCCATCTCTTCTTCGGCGATGCGCCTCGTATCTACGGCCCCTGGACTGAGGTCATCCGGTCAGGGAATCAAAGCTTGTTCGCCGTCCAGACGGAGTTTTGCGTCATGTCCTCCAGGGGCCACATTACACAGGAGCGACGGGCCAACACGTCGTGTGGGAAGGCCCAAGCTCGCATGCCGATGGCATACACGGTTGCATATACGGACTAAGTTTGAGCACGTCGCTTACAGCTGTCGATGTGCGATACTGAAGGACATCCTCGCTGCCATGACGCGGGATCTGTCTTTTATCGGTCCTTCCGGTTACCAGGCCACGCGGTGCCTATAAACATGACTTCCTCTGGACAGTCCCTTGGCCCCCACCGGGAACGTCAAGGAAGCGGCACAGGCTGACGCGAGGCATGTCGCGATATTGGACGTCTCACGCAGTGCCTGTGCGAAGCACGGGGCCTGCTTCTAGATGCCTTCCATCGTAGGGGTCCCCCGGCGCTTGGCGAGCCATGGCTCTCGGGAGGCGTGATACGCGGGTTTCAGCATGACGACGGAGCGAGCGGACGGGCTGCCGCTCCCGTCCGTCTGCCGTCCAAGTTGTAACGAGCCAATACTTCCAGGTTGATGCGAAGCGTTGTACCCTCTGGCGCGGGGTTCTTGGCACTTGCTACTCCGTGGAAAGCATCACGACCCCTGACGGTCCCCGAGCTTCCACATCGTCAAGGACAGACTCGTGCGCCTGAACGGCAACCGCAACCAATATTCGCTGAGCCGAGAGACCCGTTCCCTGTACGAAGTGCTGTATTACACGACCGCATTGGGGGGGTGAGATGAGCGCTGGCGGAGTTTGGGGGCGACAGGGCACGAGTAAGCCGGGAAATTGCAGGTCTCGCAGCCAAGTGCCGCATGACGACCCATGGGGGGCGGGCAGGCATGGCTTGCTGCCCGGCAATCGGTGATGTCTCGCCGCGCCCACGCAAGGTGCGAAGACGGGGGCGCGCTGAGTTGCTTGCTTGCCTGCATGCCTCCTTGGTCGCCGGGGGGTGTTTCTCCCCTGCCGGGTGAGTAAGGTCCGTACGTTCTTTGCACGAAGTACGAAATCATGCATGGACGTCCGAGTATGTACGAGCAGGCATGCATGTACTCCGTTCTTGTATGTTCGTAGTAGTACGGAGTAGTAGTAGTACAGGGAATTGCGCGAGCGTGCAGCAGCGTTCGTACGAGACATCGCGTGTCTTCGCTTGCGCGGACAGGGTTCTCATTTCGCAATGTTTCGCGATCTGACCACTGCTGGGCGGCCATGGGCCATGGGGGCCAGATTGCTTGCTTGCCTTGCTTGCTTGCCTTGCTTGCTTGCTTGCGGGCGGTGGATCCTGCAGCGGCGGCGCGGCGGCGAGGCGACATGGACCTGGGCGCAGGCTTGCGCTCGTCGCCCGCTGGCAACAAAGAAAAGGAGCCTGCACTGCAGAGACACGCAGCAGAGAAAGGGCCAAACACGGCCGAAACAGTGTGACACCCTCGATGAGACGATTGCCGTGTGCGCAGGCGCTCTCACGAGTTATGCTCTGGTCGTCTCGTGCTTGCAGTCGTTGTCGATGGGTTGTGCGACTTCAGCGACTGATGGAGGGCAGCAAAAGGTGAATGCGCGGCAGGGGACAAACCGGAGTATTGTACGTATTGCACGTATTGCACTATAGAAAGGCTGACATTGCATCTATTCAGTTTATTATTGCAGAAAGAACGACCATGAACCGGAGCCGTGGTTCAGCGAGTGTCCAGCGGCGGGCCATGTGCCCACTGTCTGAGCCCTGCAGGTACCTAAGGCACAGGCCCGCTAGGCGCTCGAGTCTCCGTGCGCCGACGCTGACACTGCCGGCGATCAACACCACTCTCGTCAGCATTGGCTCGCCCCGACGCGGCTCGCCTTCGTATTCATTCACTGCCTGCGCCCGCATCAAGTGCTGGTGCTGCGCCTTCATGCCCTGCACGATCAGCCGGCCGGGCTCATCAACCGCCGGGCGTCGAAATGCATGAGCTCGGCGCAGCCCTCCACGACGGCCCGGCCGAGCCCAAACTGTCCACCTCACCTCACGGGACTCTGGACGGAATGGGACGCGCTGTCGACGATGGCTGGCAGGCACACGAGTAAGGCGCCGGTAGGGGTTTCAGGTCCCCCCTCCACTGTACGGAGCCGAGGAGCGGCCAATACCCACCCGTCCCAAGAGAAGCTCGCTGCTAGCCGGCGACGGTTGAGCCCGCAATCCCCCTTAGCTCGCCCCTAGACATGGTTGCCCAGGCACGCCAGGGGAACTGCGAGACCTCCAGCAAGCTCAGACGGCGAACGGCCTACCTAGTACCCCCCCGGCCCATTTCAGGTTCCTGTCCGGGGTGGCCGCCTTCAGTTCGCCGCGTGTGGCCAGTCTGCGACCCCCATCCCGCACCGCCGTCTCGCACTCTCTGGCGGGTGGGCGTCATCTCGGTCGGAGCAGGGCCTGCACGAGCTTCTTTGTCGTCGCGGCGGCGGCAGCCGTCGTCCATTGTCGTCGCGGTGGAGGCGCAAAGACCCGGCCCCTCCGTTTAAGCTGAATGGCCGGCGGGCCCCCGACCCGCCGACCAACAGGGCAGAGAGCTGCGCGCGGACGTGCATGAAGAAGCAACCTCTCTGCTCGTCCCTCTCCTTTGTTGGGCGGAGGTTGCTGCTGACCGTGCTTGGTTGTCGACGGACAGACAGACAGACGGGCTGCCATTTTCTCACCCCCTCCCTCCTCGTCCTCCCCGTTAGCCGCCACTGCGTGCACCGTGGTGGCAGCGGGAGGGGAGGGTCACCTCAGGTACGGACGACCAAGTACCGGGGATCGCTGCTGAGACGGTGCCGCTGGTGCGACTGGACTGGGGTGAGGGACTGGCGGCCCGGCGCCATGCAAGCTGCAACTCCTGGCTGCTCTGTTGTGTACCTTGTGGAAGGTGCACTGTGTCCGGGTACTTGGGGGTCAGGGGCCCGCCGCAGCCTTATTTCGCTGCAAAATCCCCGTGGGACCGCCCGCCTCGGCAAGGCGGCTGTGCGTGCGCTCGCGGTACCGTTCCACCGTGCGGATCGCGTCTCCCCCCCGCCGGACCCCAGTGGGGCTCTGCCATCCAGTCGGGCCACCTGCGGCTGGTCGCCGTAGCTCCCCCCAGCCAGTGGCCTTGCACGGTCCCGCCCGCGATGCGCTGCTCCCAGGAGCTCTGGGCACAGTGCAGCACAGGGCAGCGCCAGCGCGGGCGCGTGCAGCAGCTTGCCCGGCCTGGGGATGGATTGGATTTGAGGATGGCCCTCTCTCCCCCCCAGTTCCCTGCCTCCACCGTACCAAGTAAAGGTACCTGGCCAGGCCACCAAAGCGCGCCGCAGCCCCAGGTACCTGCCCCGGCGTTCAGTGCACGCCCGCCCGTTGTTAGCACAACCGTCGCGCTCGACACCCGCCAGACACCTGAAGAGCCCGCCCCCCCCGGCGGGTGAATTGGACTGAAGTGAGGGTGCAGGGCAGTCCAAGCTAATAACCCAATGAGCGCCGCCGCCTGCGGTTTGGCTGGCCTGGCTCCCTATCCCGCCATTCTCCTTCCATCACTGGCTAGAGAGAGGTCCAGGCTCCCCCAGCCAGCCCTTCCTCTTTTCCCACCTCCTCCTCCCATCTCTTCCCCCCCCCAATCTCCGTCCAGGTTCTCCAATCCAGTCGCGAAGCACTGTTCTTCGACGAGACCAGCCGATTCAACCTCTCGCCCATCGAGCGCGCCTGGCATCTCGCCCTTCCCGACCGTCCCTATACTCGAGTCCATCTGTCGATTGGCAGCCTTCGACGCGAGTGCCACCGCCGTCCGGACCGGTAAGTTCTTGTGCTGCCCAGCTCAGCTGCTGTTTACCCCCGTTTTTGGCGGAGCCCCCGACCGCTGCTCCTGTCGCCAGGAGGCGGCGCGAACCCATTTCCATTGCGTCTGGCACGATTCATGCGTCTGCCGGACATGCAATCTAGCATTTCCAATCTCAACTCGACGTGGAAATATCCCGACTTCCACTCCTTCATCTCTTTTCTCCTTTTTTTTCTTTGCTGTTCTCCGGCGCAGTCAACCCTCACGCCCGCTGCGACGCCATCAAGCGCCTTCTGGACTGGACCCCTTTTGCTGACCCGCCTGCCCTGCTGCAGTTCTGCCGAGCGTCTCTGGTCCATTCATTTCGTCAACGAGTCCCTTTCCAGTCCCTCCTCTTCGAATCGAATCGATTTAAAAGACACGTCGCGGCAGCCGTCGACGAAGCGTCAAGATGGGTTGCGGCATGAGCACCGAGGAAAAGGAGGGCAAGGCCCGGAACGAGGAGATTGAGAACCAGTTGAAGAGAGACAAGATGATGCAGCGCAACGAGATCAAGATGCTGCTTCTCGGTATGTACCCCGGGCTTCTATCCGCCGTGGCCATTTGGGACCGTCCGGTGCACCCGCATTGGTCACCCAGCCAGCTCAGCCGACCCGAATCACTGACTGATGAATCGCAGGCGCTGGTGAATCCGGCAAGTCGACCATCCTGAAGCAGATGAAGCTCATCCACGAGGGTGGCTACTCCCGCGATGAGCGCGAGTCCTTTAAGGAAATCATCTTCAGCAACACGGTGCAGTCGATGCGTGTCATCCTCGAGGCCATGGAGTCGCTCGAGCTGCCCCTCGAGGACCAGCGCATGGAGTACCACGTCCAGACCATCTTCATGCAGCCGGCCCAGATTGAGGGCGATGTTCTTCCCCCGGAAGTCGGCGGTGCCATCGAGGCCCTGTGGAAGGACCGAGGCGTGCAGGAGTGCTTCAAGCGCTCGCGCGAATACCAGCTCAACGACTCGGCTAGATAGTAAGTTCACTCGCGCGTGTGGGCGTTGACCCATAGCTGGATACCGTCGCGCTAACCTTTGTGCAGCTACTTTGACAACATCGCGCGCATCGCTGCCCCCGACTACATGCCCAATGACCAGGACGTTCTGCGCTCGCGAGTCAAGACGACGGGTATCACTGAGACCACCTTTATCATTGGTGATTTGACGTACCGGATGTTCGACGTCGGTGGCCAGCGATCCGAGCGAAAGAAGTGGATTCACTGCTTTGAGAACGTCACCACCATCCTGTTCCTCGTTGCCATTTCCGAGTACGACCAGCTGCTGTTTGAGGACGAGACGGTCAACCGCATGCAGGAGGCCCTGACGCTGTTCGACTCCATCTGCAACTCGCGGTGGTTCATCAAGACATCCATCATTCTCTTCCTGAACAAGATCGATCGGTTCAAGGAGAAGCTGCCCGTCAGCCCGATGAAGAACTACTTCCCCGACTACGAGGGCGGCGACGACTATGCGGCGGCCTGCGACTACATCCTCAACCGCTTCGTCAGCCTCAACCAGCACGAGACCAAGCAAATCTACACTCACTTCACCTGCGCCACCGACACCACGCAGATCCGATTCGTCATGGCTGCCGTTAACGGTACGTGCTCCTGAATGGCCACAGGAGAAAGCGACAATGTTTACTGACGGTGCTTGTTAGACATTATCATCCAGGAGAACCTCCGGCTGTGCGGCCTGATCTAAACGACTGCACCATTTCTCGATTTGCTTGTTTTAAAACACGAATACCCTCCGACTCGATTACGACCACCCGAAGGGCCACGGAGAGACGGCTCATGATTTCTTTTTCATTGTACTCGTAACAGCGCTTCGAAAGATCTGGAAAGATCCCGCAACCCGCTCTATTGGTCGCCCTTTTCTCCTTGACGGATCGAAACGCGGACGCTGCGTCTTGCTCGAGTGCAGATGATACCCGGCGTCTCGCGGAGCTGCGCAAGTGTAGGGAGTGCGCGTGACCGCGAGACGACATGCCGCAGGGGCAAGCAATGCGCCCCTGCGCAGGAACGGGCGAGGAAATAGAGACGCAGTAGCGAGGTTTTCGGGCGAACGGACTCCTGCATCTGGCAAGACGATGCGACGGTGGCGGTCATCTACTTTGTTTAATTACGAAATCCCCTTTTCCCTACCTTTTCTTTCGCATTCTTCTGCCCTGTTGCGTGCGCTCCTTTCTGTCGGTGAGTCGAATTTATACTCGTGGGTCGAAGTCGCGGGAGGATGAATTGCGGCGGCCGCGGCGAGCGGAGAGATGAGATGCAGGCATTGTCTAGAGAAGAGGACGGGAGGGCGTCGGCCATGGTCGGGTGGATGAGCCGGCCCGGATTGAGGATAACGCTCCACAAGGTCACACTATCCTGGTTCCAGCTCCTCGTGCGACTAAACACATACCGCCTCAGTCTCTTGGTCACTGCAGCGGCGCATAAACGCGCCGTTGCACCAGCGTGAAAGTATATTCTGTGAAGCATCGCTCGCGAGTCAGACTGATGCTCGCGCGGCTTACCAATAGTCCTATGCGACCTTCGGTGAAACGACATAGCAGTCTCTGGCGTTACATACATGCCTAGGCTCGTATTCCGAACGAGAAGAGCTATTTGGGCCCCGGGTCTTTTCCAGTCGGCCGCCACGGGGAAGGGTATCGTGAGGCAGCGACAGCAACGGTAGCAATGATAGCAGCGGTGGTAGTCAAACCGAGAAGAATGATTGGTCTCCAATGAGCTTCTCGCTTCCATGTCACCGTCCACGGGAAAAGCGCACTTCCCAGTTAAGATACACTCGTCTCCTCCTACTCCTGCGGCGGCCATGGTCTCCGGGAAGCGCGCGCGTGGCGTGCGGAAACGGCCGGGGCGCGGGCGGCCCATGAATAAGGCCGGCCGAGCACTTTGAAACGGTCTGAAGATCGAAACCAAACCAAACCAAACCACCACCCGATGACTGAGGCGTGATGGTACGTAGGCGAAAAGGGCGGCCGGACTTGGAGCAGGCCGAGGATCGAAACGACTTCGTCGCCCTCGGCCACGGTCTGAGACGCGGCGGGCTCACAAGTGCCTCGCGTTTTGGAAACCAAGGCTCTCCGCGGGCGCCTCGAAACGGCGTCTGACGACCGAGTCGGTGCCCGAGCCACTGGCGCTGCTGCGATGTTGAGACGCAGACATGCCGAAGCAGCGGGCTTCGCGAGGGGGCATGTATCCATCCTGCGCTGTACTGTACATGCACCACCGTCGCCGCAAGAGGTTGCTAGCGGCTGGCTGGCCGTACGACGCCACGGCGGTGCTTGCCTCGGAGGGAGTTTGACGATTGAAACGCAGCCGGGGCTCTCTCGGAAGCGGTCTGGTGATGTGTGTGTGGTCCATCGTCGTTTCCTGGACACCCGGACGCCAGGCGGAACGGGCGTCGCTGCTCGCCTCGGAACCGTTTGACGATCGAAACCAAACGTTGGTCGATCCAGCAGCACCCCTGAGAAGAGGCTGGAGGATCAAGCGCGAGGGAACCTCGCCATCTTCCGGATCGGCGGTCATGTCGGCATCCGGGTGCCTCGTGACATGGGACCGTGGAGGATGAAATGTATAAAGACCGTCTGGCTTCTCTCCTGGATAGGGTCTCGTTTCTCCAAGCTCTAGCAGTGGTTGACTCACCTTCAGTTCTTCAGTCTTCATCGTGCCGGGTTCTCACACGATACGCTGGGTCGTATCTCTTTTGTATATTCCGACGTCGGGTTAAATATCTTTCTCTCTCTTCTCTTCGTTTCTTGTCAAAGATGCGGTATTCGTACAACACCGTGCTCGCAGCGGCGCTGGCTGCCGTCTCTCCGCTGGTCGAGGGCCATGGCTTTCCTCAGAGTGCCGTAAGTATCCCCCATCCGCCCCATGTCTCTTCCTCTGCGAGAGATGTACGTCTCGGGCGGCGATGGTGGTCACGTAGACGAAGAGAATCGTCGGCGAGTCCATCGTCTGTTTTTCACCTCGTCTCCCACCCTCCCCCTTCTCCAGCCCGCACCTCGCTGACGGTCGGGCGACGCAGCGAGGCGACCTAACGCCCGACGAGATGCCGCCGCTCAACTATATCCGCACCGCCGCGACCGAAGGCCCTGTCGCCCGGACGGAAATCGGTTCGCCCGTCCAAAAGGCAAACCTTAAGAGCGTGGGTCTGGGCGTCACCACCGCCTACGGCCGGACGCAGATGGAGAGCGGGTTCGCGAGGGCCATGACCTACGCGGGCGCCAGCGTGCCCAAGGTGCGGACCAACGGGGAGGGCTGGATCGGCGGCGAGTGGCATGTCGTCACTTCGGTGAGCCTTTTTCTATCTCTGTTTTTCTCCCTTCGTCTCTTTCCCTTCCCTAGCCCTCGTCTCGGCTGCGCAACGCGTGTGCGAGATTTCGCGATCTTCTTTGCCTAACATCTGTGTCTGAGCCCTGACGCTGACCTTGGTCCTCCCTCGCGCTTGAAAGGATGGCGGCGGCCCAGTCAGGGCCATTGTCGACACCACCGCGAAGGGCGATTTCAGGCAAGGCATCGAGCTTGAGAACCTCGTGCAGGTTCCCGGCCAGCGGGGCGAGATTCGAAAGCAGGCCGATGGCGCCGGCGGCAACGGTGGTGGTGGGAATGCCGGCCGGAACAACATCGTCTCGAAGCTTTTTGCCCGCTTTGCCCTCCAAAAGCGCGCCGACAACATCAACCAGAACTTTGTACGTCTCTCAGGTCTCGAGATCCCCCTCGCAGCACCCTGAGGCAGGCAGACACGCAGGCACTGACAGCAACGCAGGAATACAAGTTCAGGGTCCCCCGCGGACTGAGCTGCACCGGGACAGTGGGCAACGCGACAAACGTCTGCGTCATGAATGTTGTCAATACCAGCCCTGCCGGGCCCTTTGGCAACGCTGTCGTCTTCCAATCGGGGACCGAAGGGCAGAACTCCACCAGCGGGACGGCTCCCGGCGACAACAACAACGGCGGCAGCACCGACGACAACTCGCTGACCGGCCCCGCCAAGGACACCAAGGGACCTGCCTCTCCCGCTCCCGGCGCCGACAACGGCTCCCCCAACGGCGGCAACAAGAGCGGCGGCACCGATGACAACACCATCGACGGCGGCGGCAACAACAACAAGAACGGCAACGACAAGTTGCGTGTCCGGGCCGCTCGTCGCGCTCTACCCGTCGTCGCCGCCTCTGGTCACCACAGCGAGGGCAAGGGCCACAGCAAGGACAAGGTCCGCCGGTTCTTCACGGCCTAGGCCGGGGGAAACGAACAAAAAAGAGCAAGCTCTCTCATTTCTTTTTTTGTATCTAACCGTCTCTCGTTTTCGTGGTCGTCTTAGGAGCTGGCTTCCTACCCCTTGGAATTTAATCCGTACGTCGTCGGCGGTGGAATGACTAGCAGTTTTTTTTTGTATTTGCCAGCCGTACAGGTTACAGAGTATCTTTAGTTTCAAGCCTAGCCTGCAACCCCCCTTGCTGACCTCGTATCGCCGGTGACGTTGAGACCCTCATAAGACTTGCCTCGCCACGTAGCCCGAGCTGCGAGCAACCGCCACGCGAGCAAGGACAACGTAACCTTGTGCATGTTCGGGTGAGCCAGCCGTCGTGCCGCGAGGCTGCCCGGGAGCTCAGGGCCTTAACTTACCTGCGAGCCTGCTCTGCTCTTCTCTGCTCTGGCATTCAAGACATGTTACGTGATTCACCTGTGCAGCTGCGAGCCGCCACGAAATCAAGAGACAAACTTGCTGTTCGAATGTACGAGAAAAGAATTATAGAGACGCCCAAGCCCCTTCAAGTAGCCCCCAATTCCATCCTCCTTGACCGGTGGCCGACCGAGACAGACACAGAGCGTTGCCCACGGGCGTGCTCGATGCCTGGTCAGCAAAAACCAGAAGTACTAATGTACAGGACAATTTCCTTTCCGGGATGAACGAACTCATGAAAGAAATGAAAGGAGACAAAGGGCACTGGCCTTGAAAGATCCAGAGCGAAAGAACCCAGCCACAGAAGGCGTCTCCCGTGCAGAACCACGCCAACAGCCGATTCCCTCACATACAACGCCCCAACATCCTTCGATCGACGGCCCGTGTGGTCCGCAGAGGTGGTGTCGGAATGCCGCAGAATCAATCAAGCCCGAGGCAGACTAGGAAAAAAGGACAAAACGCGAAACCCGCGGTATTCTCGACAAGGACGCGTTGGCCTTGTTGATGCATCATCCCACAGGTGGGGGAGCAAAACGTAGCCACTCGGAAATGCGCAAATGGGGTATCGCAGCAATGGCAATGCATCGCAATGTTCTGTTTGTAGGCACACGTTAGCAGGCATCCAGCAGAATTGTCTGCCAAAGGCAGGAGAGGAGGGTGGTAGCGTACCATGACGTCGTAACGCGAAGTTCATCTAGCGTGCAGCTGCCAGGAAGCTGCAGGCAGGCAGGTATCGGTAGAGTTGCCTCAGACAAGGGAGAAGAGTCGGCGGCTTGCAAGATGTGGCTTAGTACTCGCCCGGTTCGGGGGTGGGGTCGTAATACTGAGCATTGCGTTGCTGGAGCCAGCGGAGGAGTAGCTCGTCAGCGCTGCCGGGGTTGTTGGGGCCGGCAGCACCACCAGAGCCGTTCTACTGCTGCTGCTGATTCTGGGCCGACGACGCGGGGGCACCGGTGGGCGCGGTCGGGTTATGGATGGTCCTGAGGTATTCGTCATACTCGGCGATCCGCATGCCGAGCTCCTGAGCAGCGGATTCGATCCTCGCGAGCATACGTTCTTCGTGGGTGGCGACAACAGCGCCGTTGAGGCCACGAGACATGGCACGGTGGACGCCTTCGTTCATGCGATACTGGCCAGCGCTGCCGCCGGAGAGGTTGCGGAAACCGACTGGCTGGGTGGCGGTCTGCACAGGAGCTTGTTGCTGCCGAGGGAGATACGGCGGAGGGGCAGGGATTGACTGGCGCTGCTGCATCTGACCCTGGGCCGCGACGGGGGCGCCTTGAGGGACGCCATGGCCTTGCTGGCGGTTGCCGCTATTGTCGGGAACTGCGAGGGTTAGTCCCATGACGTCTCGTGATAGGTGATGAGGATATGGTGCGAATAGGAGGGCAAGTTTGCGAGTGTGGCTGAGGATTCCGGAGTGAAGAATGAAAAGAAGATGTTGAGGAGAGAGAAAGGTGAGGGGGTGAGAATGGGACCGGGATGGGCAATTTATAGGCGGAGCCCGCAGCTGCGCACAGCTGCGAGGACTAGAGGAATGAACAGAACTTACCATGGAAGGTGCACCGGGCACCGCTAGCGTTGAACCAGCAGTTGGAGCAGCTGTTGCACATGAGTCCCTCGTGGACGACGCAGCTGTTCCAGGGACCGTGGCCCTTGCGGCAGTTCTTGCACTGCTGCTCGGCAGGGGTTCCGACGACATGGCATAGAAGGGCCTCGACGTTGCTGCGACGGTCGAGGTTGAGTTTCTGTCCGGGGCGGCGCTGGACGGGCTCGCGGCGAGCCGGTTCGCCGGCGAGCTTGACGCACTGGGCGCTTTCGATCTTGGGTCTGTCGCCATAGGTGCGACGGACCATCTCTTCGGCGGTCATGGGCTGGTCGTCATCCTCCTCGTTGCTGTCGACAGAACTGTTGTGAGTTTCGTCGTTCTCGTATGAGGAGGAAGAGGTGGGTTGGGCCTCATGTGGACCTTCAGAGGATTCGTCGTGACGAAGAGGCGGAAGGTTGTCCGCGCTGTTGTCCGAGGTTCGGTACGCCCCGTCCGTGATGGCGTCGGCGACCATGTGGGCCACGTCGGCCATCTGGGCGACTGGCGCATTCACGGCTTTGAAGGTGTTGGTACGTGGCTGGGTCTGGCTGGACTCTCGCGCACTTCCGGCGGTGGCAGGAGGGCTGCTTGCGAGGGACGAGGATCGGGACAGCTGGGTCATGGCCCGGCCCTTGGGAAGCTTGGTACGGCCCTGCTGGGCACCGACAGCCTCTTCGAGGCGCTGCTGCACCCGAGGCGAGTTTGAACGAGACCGCTGGCGGGAGCGGGTGGCTCTCGCCGGCGAAGCCGTCTTGTTGACGCGGTTGGGGCTCTTGAGGCCCCTGCCGCCTCTTGCTCCCTTGGCAGGCATTGGGCTGACGGTTTCAGGCAAGGAACTCGAATGAGTCGAAGGAGGTAAAAGAGGAAGGGGCGTGTAGTCTGTTCACGCGGCGGGATCGTCTGTTGGGGTGCTGGTGCAAAGGCAAGATGGCCCGAGTGCCCGAGTGCCTGAGTGTGGAAGAGTCGAGGAGAGTGTGCAGAGCGAATACTCAAGAGTTGCGCGAAGCCAAGTCTATCAACACCAAAAAGGAGCCTCAAGAAGAGAGTGAGGCAAGGTGTGAACAGCGTCGTGGCTCAGATGGTGGTGGAGTATGAGTGAGGCAGTTGGTGATAGTTGAGTGATGGTGAGGTGAAGAGTGCGAGAGGGGCAGCTGGAGGCACCTGGCGCGCGGTGGGGGGGAGCGGCAGGTATTTATACTCTGCAGCAGGGTCGGCGAGGGTGCGAGTGATCGGGTTGCATCAGGCGCAGCAATTGTCTTCAGCGGGAGCACAATGGCCGTGAACAGAGCGGCATTGTCGTCGAGCACAGCGCACAATGATAGTGGGCGAGGTTGACAATCAGATCTATTGAGGTTGAGGAAGGGCGATTTTGGGCAGTTGGCAGGGTTTCGCGTGCCAGGCAGGCAGCCTTATGTCAGCCTGCCCCTTCTGCTTTTGGGCAGCTTTTTTTTCTCGCCCGGCACGCGTTTCGAGGCAACGCGCTCGCGCGTGACTCCACCCACTGTTTTAACACTGTGCCGGTCACGTTTCCGACTTACACGCCGCAAAGAAACGGCCGCTCGACCTGAAATGCGACATGAACCGCCCCTGTGTGCGGCTTGCGGTCCCGTTTTCTGTTCTTTCGTCTCGTCTTTGGCGCCAGTGGTCAATCAACCCCGGATCACTCGCGAGAGCCTCGATCACCCGTTCATCGGCCTCCCCCCTCCCCCCGTTCCCCCCGCGAGCACCCGCCTTCCCTCTCGCTCTTTTGTTTCAACAGGCAAAGAGAGGCCGTGAAAGGGCAGCTGGCGATGCGTTTTCACTTGGGCCCTTTACCCGTCACCCCGATCAGCTCAGACCAACGGAACAAAGGCAGCCTGCGTAGTAGGGCCCTAGCCCAAACTCGCCGCCTGCCACCCTCCGCTCCCGCCTGCTCACATGCGCACACAATAGCCGCTCAAGAAATCTGACGGATCTATTGGATATGCCTCCTTGATCGAGCCGGCTGTTCCCCCATCACCCCAGTCTACGACCGCTGTTCACATCCCCACGCACTCCTCGTGGCGGTTCCAAACTTAGCGCTAGCTCGCACGGGCAAACAATAGCTTTTCAACGGTATATTAGAGATTTCTTCTCAACGAGTCTCTAGCCCGTCTCCCCAATCACTCTGCTCACGTTGAATCCGGCGTCCCCCCTCCCTCACGCACCCGAACCCCCGGGCCGGTTCCACATGTCTCCTCCCCGGCCCTCCGTGATGTCCTTCCACTGCTGCGCGAACTCGCGGAGCCCGCCTTCACCACCCATGCTTGCGTCCACCACTTCCTTGGGTAGCTTGTGCGCCGAGTACTGCGACGTGCTGAAGTTAAACGCAGCGGGGTCGTTCTTCTCTATGAGACGCAGCTCCGGCGCCACGTCGGGGCTGTACTCGACCTGGTCCTCCTCGTCGTCGCTTACGTCTGCTGCGGCCTCACCTGAAGGGACTGATCCGTACAGCGGATCTTTGACCTCGGCGTCTAGCAGCTCCTGCCACGAAAAGAGCAACGAGTCCGTCCGCGGCGCCCAGGGGTTAATGTCCATTAGCCGCACGTTACCCAAGCCATCCTCCGCCAGTGAGCTCTCCGGGAGGTAGACGTCAAAGGTGAAGCTGGCGTCCGGGAAGGTGAGGCGCAGCTTGTCATGGAAGAAGCGGCGAATCTTACGCCAGATACTGGGCCTCCGGCGCTCGAGGAAGGCGTAGTAGTTGAGGTCGCGCTGGGCGATGCCGATGAGGGCGCGGTGCTTGACGAAGCAGCGGAACTCGAGCGCCACGTGGGGGTTGAAGAAGGGCCGCAGCACGAGAATCGGGGCGAGCGGACGGGAGGGAGGCGCGGCGGTACAACCGTCAAAGGCGTGCGTCAAGTCGTGCGAGACAAAGGAGGACGACTTGAGCAGGAGATAGATGTCGTTGGGGGTCGTGCACTTGAGTGTATTCTGATGCGGTGAGATCCATTTGGCGTCCTTGGGCGATGACCAGTTGAGCTTGGGCGCCACCGCGCCGCCCAGCTCTGCGATCTTGTCCTTGATGAGTTGGTGCGTCTCGGGGAACCTCTTGTTCGGGGGCAGGCGCTCTGGCTCGTCGGCCTCATCATCATCCGAGTCGTCCGCACGGTCAAGTTGCGGCCGCTGTGCCGCTCCCGTGGCCCATGAAGAATGCCACTCCTCCTCTACCTCTCCTCCCTCGGCCTCATCGTCGTCTGCCAGGACGATGCCGTCCTCTTGGAGGTATGACACCGCGCTCTGCGGGAGCGGGATGATGCGTGACTTGATACATGAGCTGCGGTAGCGCGGGAACCAGGAGTCGTAGGAGCAGTTCTGGATGTGGTCTTTGGTGACGGGAGGGAAGACCAAGTCTTCGAGGTTGCCGGGCTCGGCGTCCACGGATGGGAGATGGGGCATTGTGAATTCGTGTCTGTTGACTGGTTTGATGAAAAGGGTGGGCACTGGACTGGGTGACGACTGAAAGATGGATGAAAGGGCGTATTTATATAGAATATGTCTGGATGACACTTTGATAGAGTTTAACTGTCAGGAAACCCAGAGCCCGCCATTGCGACTTGAGTCATCGTCTCGACGCCTGGCCGCCACTATGAATTTGTACGACTCGAACTAACGAGACGCCGCAGCGACCCCACGTTTATCGATTCTGCCACTCGTTATCGTCGCAACCCGCCTCACCGCCTGCCAGAATTGTCACGGCCCTCTACCGCTGGCGTCACCTCCATCATCCGCATCTTCAGCGTGGTTGCCCTTTTGCGACACGACACTTACGAATCCATGCGCCATAATGTCTGACAACGTTGGCCTGTCCACGCCCCGCGGCAGCGGCACCTCGGGCTACGTCCAGCGCAACCTCGCGCACATCAGGCCCCGCGACCAAGCCGCGCCCTACCCCAAGGACCTCGACAGCCTGCGGCACCGACAGCGCCAGCCCGACAAGGGCATCCTCGAGCACGACCGCAAGCGCCAGATCGAGGTCAAGGTGTTTGAGCTGCGGGACAAGCTGGAGGACGACGAGTACAGGCCCCGGCCATCATGCCTTCGCCACCATGCCTTCGTACTCGATTTACTGACAGACCTGTCTAGGGTCGACGAAGAGGAGATTGACCGCCGATGCGACGAGCTGCGGCAAAAGCTGACCGCGGAAGCCGAAGTGGGAAAGAAGACCGGCGGCCCGAGAAAGACGTTCAAGGAGCACCAAGTCCATGAGATGGCCGACGCCAAGATCAAGGAGAGCGAGCGGTTGCGAAGGGCCCTCAAAATCAGCTCCGACTACGAGGAGGGCAGCCACTGGAAGCGACAAGAGGAGAGGCTGCGGACAGCCCTCGACAGGGAACCGGATGCAAAGGAGTAGGGCTTCTCCGCTCGAGGGACAACGAGCGTATCACCTTGCAATGCGCTCTCGATGGACGAATACACCACGATACCCACGACCACTGCGCGGCCTGCAGTACCTTGAGTACTCAAATCAGTCGACGGACTGTAGAGGCTATGACAGTGTCCGCTCATTATTTGTCGGGAAAAGACTCTGGCTCGCTAAGAACCCCTCTGCCTCACCCTTGATCGCACCCGAGCTGGGACATTACCACAGGAAACGGATGGCGAGCTATATTTGGACGAGCCGCTTTGGGAGGTTTTCCGAGAACAGGAATGTTACTGTAGTGTGCAGTGCAGGGCTGTAGTACTAGACACAAGCTCGGCCAGAGATGAACGGCAGCTATTGGGAAAGTTTGACCAAAGCGTCGCGACTATTTGCTTCGCGAAAGACGGGGCAGCCGCAGACAGTCTATACGAAAACGCACTGACCGCTTCGTCTACCAACTTGCATGATTGGCTTATATCCTATGTCATGACCACACCTGTCCTCGCGGGTAGCCAGGTGAGAGAGCAATGAGTCCATTCAGTCTGTGTGGGGAGTACGGTCGTGGTCTGTATTAAGACTGAAGTTTGCAAGTCCAGTCTTTAAGGTACTCCTGCGGAACGGGCTGTTTTACTCCTCCGGCCGGCCGGGTCGTGTGGCCGCGCCTGTCGCTTGGTTCCCATAGCCAGAACCGTTACACTCTCAGACTGGCCTTAGCAACGCAGAAACTTTACTGACTCGGCTGTCTGAATCGAACTCGAAATGCAAATAACGCTTATTAACCTCGTACCGGTCGAAGTTCGGTCCGACGCGTTCCGGATTGCCTAGGAGGGCCGCGACATCGGCACGGAGCGCCGTGGGCGACAACCCGTCTATTAGCGCCGTTGGTCGTGGATATAGTCCGTAGGTCTCATCTTGGCCGTCACGCTGCGTCCGCACCATGATCATCTCCAAGACGCCGTTCTCGAAAAGCAGGTCTGTTCCGGCCGGCTTGAATGTAAAGTATGTCGACTGCTCGCCGTCGAAGTCGAACTCTGATACCTCCATTTTGGGACCCACCAGGACAATTGTTCTGAGGATTCGGCTGTCGGACTGGAGGCACCCCAGCGCGTCCAGCATCACAGCCATTTCTCCAGTGATAATGGTTATTTCCTCTTCTTCCGGGTTGTCTCGCGCATTTGTCGGGGACGATGCCGGCTCCCTCGGGTGGGTGGCCATGGCCGGGGATTAAAGTGTCTGGAAGCTTTGTCGATAGAAATGACAGGGAGGAGGGAGAAAAGAAAGCTCTGAAACGAAGGCATCAATGGCACCGGCGCAATAGCAATGACTTGCTGACAGGACCTTCATATTGAGGTGAGTCGTCAGGAGGTGCCCCGCTCTCAATCGATGCACTATATTCAGCCTCACAGATGACCCAGACCTTAGCGGCAGCACCCAAAATTGGCGTTGCTACAATGATTTTCTAGATTAACGAGGGTGAGGCTGAAACCGGTCGGTCAGGAGTGTACAAGTTGGCCCCGGTCAAGACTCAAGAGATGGCACGACCCGCGTTCAGCCAATATTGGACGCTGTTCTAAACTTCTGTTGATTGGAAAAAGGGACGCTCAATACTGTACGGACACCACGGTACAGTAACGCATTATTGCCATTCGCAGCCGCTATTCCGCTCTCGTGTACGGTGGGCAAAAGTAGAGCACCGGATGGAAACTCACATATCACATGAGGACTGTGAAAGCTGCCTGGCCCGAGCCTCGCATGACGCAAGTCTCGCCTCTTGCCGACGCCACGCCAGGACGAGTGCCGTTGATCTGTGTGACTGCTGCAAGGGCATGAGCACTCTCACCACTAATGTACTGTACAGTACAGTACTGTACTGTAAGTACAACATCCCGGGAATGAAAGTTGTTTGCGCACGGAAGAGTCCGTGCATCTCTCGCGCGATAGGACTATGGATTGACCTGAGCGTTCTATCTAGCAGCCATACCCGAAGCCGCATTGCACCAGTCTCACCGCTTCGCTGCCAGCGCTGCTCAGGCCTGAGCGAATAAGCTGGCCACGAGAACGGTACCGTCGTCGCTCCCCGGCACGGCGACGTCTAGCCGAGAAATTTCGCCGAACGGCTGGCCGATCATGGTATTCGCTGGCTGTCTTGCGAACGGCCGGGCCGACTGCTCCATGCAGGTCATGGGCATGCCGGACGGCAGTTACGCCCTATACCTTGGGATCGAAGATGGTACTGAATGTTACGCCAAGAAATTCGTCTAGTCTGGGGTTGTTAGCGATCCGACGTAGTTTGGTTCCTCGAAGCTAAACAGGGTTGTCTCTGTTGTCATCACATGCCACCTTCGTAGATGACTTATACATAGCTAGTTTCGAAAGATGAAAGCCATAGCTACGACAAGACGCAATAATGGTCGGAAGTACAATGCCGCCGAGCGCATGTCGACACTCGGTAGTGGCCTTGAGCCGTTGGCAAGCTCGGTCGCTGAAGAGGCCCGCGCAAACACAGTTCTAGGCTGTATGCCCCAGCCTCGAGCTGACCTATGTATATGCCGAGATATAAGTGGCGAACTCGAGGAGAGTATAAGAGCGTGGAGCTCCAGTCCGTATCTATCTGCCGGAATCCATCGACTTCCATTCATCGCTACGGCATAGGAACACGCAGGTCCTCACATCAGACGTCAAAATGCAACTGTCTTGGGTCACGCTCCTTGCCTTTGGCACCCTCACACTCGCCACCCCGATTGCGAATGGCAACACGGACATTTCGGAACAGGCAGACGAATCTTTCCTCACCGCCGACGTTTATGAGCAGTCTCTCGTAGACAGCATTTCTGATGCGGCCGACGTGGAGGACAGCAAGCTGCAAGGCGACGATGACGAGGACGACGACGGCTTGTTGCCCGGCGACCCGGCTGACGCCAGTGCCGAGCTCGACGGCAAGGGTGGCGGCGGCAAGGGTGCCAGGTCCGGCAAGGGCGGCAAGCCCAAGGCCGGCCGCAAGAACAGAGTGACGTGCAAGGGAGGCATGTTTCCGAACTTTGAGAAGTGCCACACGCCTCTGTCCTACTGCTCCGACGGGCATTATCACCCGTACAAGGACGTCCAGGACACTTGCCACCAGCACTGCTCTTGCGTGGAGAGCGCCGACTAGAGAGACGTTTCGACACATGTTCGAGACGTAAGTCGACATGAGAATGAGGCCCATCCTTGACGAGGTTGCGAGTGGCCGCTGACCGGCTTCAAGGCACATTCACAGAATAGTCGACCTGGCTGCACTGAAGGTTGATGAGCACATGCTGCAGGCGGCTGGTATAGCGCATAAACGCGTAGACTATTGCTCGAGCTATAGACGGGAATAAGAGCTTAATACATTATATAATATCGATCTCTAGTAAAAGTAGATAACCGTATAGTCCAGCCTAGTGAGTCGTATAATTAAATCGGTGCCGGGTTGTAACTGTCTTTTAGGTGTGTTTTATAGATAGTGTATACTGTACATAAGTACCTCGCCGTCTGAATGCTACCCGCCCAGGTGAGATTTAAACGCATGTGCCGTGTAAGCTCCAGCTGCTACGAGCGCAGTGGCTACAGTGCATTATAGCGATGTGGCTACTGCAGGGTCGCATCCGACCTTCCATAGGTTGGTAGGTGACTGCCCGGGCGGCACGCTGCCCCCCGCATCGGGCCGCCAGCACTCACCTGCACGCGAACCAGCCAGCAGCACAGAACCCGAGGTAGACCTTAGTTCCACCCACGTCATTGCTCCCCGATGCCACCTGGACCCTTCAACTTCATCGACGTCCACAACCACAACGCGACACCATGGCGCGCCTGTCGTATAGCCCTGCGGCGGCGCAGGCGACCGCAAGCGACTCCCAACAGATAGCCGTCGTTCAGCTGTCGCAGCTGCTGTCCCGACTTCAGCAGAGCGTGCTGCATCCCACACCCGAGCGAGAGCATCGACTACGGACGAGCGAGTACGAGAGGGCCAGGCTGGAAGCTGTAGGTGTTTTGCCCTCCCTATCCAAGGCCGCCGCCATGTAATAGCCGGGACACGCTGACGCGCGACGTCCAGAACCTCGAGTATGCGCGGGCGCAGCTGTTCAAGCTTGAGCAGGATGCCCTGGCTCTCAAGGCGCCCACGCGGAGGCTGGAGCTACAAGGTGCTCTCACCGCGCACAGGGACACGTTGGACACTCTGTTAGACAGGCTGGAGGACCTCAAGCAGGTGAGTCTGGGCGTACCATGCGCTGCCGCGCCCACGAAGAGCGCACTGTGGCTGACCATGGTGACACGTCGACAGATTGCTGCAGATGAAGAAGCCGATGACAGCTCCGATGAAGAGGACCTGCTGGGAGATATCGTGCCGACACCCAGCGAAAGCATGGACTCGACGTCCGCGGAGGCGACGGAAGACCGTTCTGTCCGCGAAGCGACTCCCGATCCGCCGTCCCCGACCCCGGGCGCAGTCCCGGAACCTCCTCCCGCCCCAAGTGCTGCTCCTCCCCTGCCCATAGACGTCTCGCCGACGACTACGACGCCACCCGCATCCCTCCCGACTCAGACATCCCAGACCCTACGCTCACGAACGGGCACACAAACACCGACCTCACACACCACTGCGCGGGCAACCCTCTTCGCCAACCGTCGACGAGGCGAGGCAACCAGTCCGCAGACGTCGACCGCCACCGCCGAGGCCATCCTCGACCATCAACGCGTCGAGCAGGACGCCCTGTCCGATTCGATCCTCAAGATGGCGGGCGCCCTCAAGGCCAGCTCGCAGCGCTTCTCGACAACGCTCGAGGCGGACAAGGAGGCGCTCGGCCGCGCAGGGGAAGGCATGGACCGCACTGAGCGCGGTATGGACGCGACGAGGGGTGGCATGGGCGCGCTGCGGCGCATGACCGAGGGCAAGGGCTGGTGGGGGCGCATGATTCTGTACGCGTGGGTGTACGGGCTCATGCTCTCGCTGGTGCTCTTGGTGTTTGTGATGCCCAAGCTGCGGTTCTGAGGCATCACTGTTCTTGGCATGGCGTTACGAAGGTGGATCTTTTCACGACGAGATATCACATGTATGCGTATTGAGCGAGAGAGATTGATAATGCTGATTTACATGACGGGGTTCCAGCCCTTCAAGTCCACTCGTCCCCGACTCATCGAACGTGGCCTTGGGACCTGTGATGAGCTCCCATCATTCGACTGCACTTTCGACCAATATCGGCGAAGCGTCTCTGTTCGGCTCATCGCTGATGTCGTCCGGCGGAGTGGGCATTTCAAAGTTCTGGTCCATCATGCGGGCGTTGGGCGTGGTTGCTGACGGGGATTCCGCGTCAACCATCTCAACGTCCACGTCAGTTGGATGCTCAGCAGCCAGGCTCTTAGGAGTGAGTGGCGTGGCCAGCTCCAGGGTGAGCTCTGCTTCGGCCGTCGACGAAGAGACATCATCTCCATCGCCTGCCTCATGTTCATCAGGGTCAGGCAGGGGCCTCGGACCATCTTCTTCGCCGGGTTCGACCTCCGTCAACGTTTGTCGCTGGGTTTCCTCCGGCGGCGGCCATGGCAAACCGCGCAGCTCGGCATTCTTCTGGAGGCAGTCCTCGTACGGCAAGCTCAGTCTTCGTCCAACAGACTTTCCTCCAGCCTGCCAATACACAACACCGTCAGCACAATTCTCTCTATGCGCGCCAGGCCTTCCACAGCTGGAAAAGGGGGGCCGGATCAGAAATTGGGGCAACCTTACCGGCGGCGTGTACTGAAAGAAGGAGCCCGGCGTCGTCTTCTGCAGCAGCACCCTGTCCTCCCACGCTATACCCGTCTTCTTGCGGAAGAAATCGGTCATTAGGTCCATCTCGTGCCGCCACTTGCCCGAGTGCGCGCTCGGCCGGTGGTACGTCGGCTGGCTGTCGCCCTTGCGCTTGAGGAACTTGGCCGTGAACCAGTACAGGTGCGGTTTGGCGTTGCTCTCCCACAGCTGAAATCCCTCGCATGCGGTTTTGCCGCCCGCCGTTAGCAGTCATACCTTTCGCGGATCCGAGGATAGTAAAGTAACGAGACATTCATCGTTGGGCATGGGAATGGGAGGATATGTGGGAGCTGCGTTGCGCACACACTTACACAGAGCTGGTAGCGCTGGCCCTGCTGGCCTGAAGACTCGTCGTCGCGCCTGATGTCGAACTGGTAGTAGAAGTTTGTCCTGTCGCTGTAGATGTGGTAAAGGTCTAGAGAGAGAAACGCGATGAGGGAACGTTAGCTGATCTTGCTCGCTTCTCATCTAGAGGAAGGGGAAGCGAGGGGTTGACGCACTCGTGTTGACAAACCTCTCGCCCTCCCGCTTGCCCCTCTCGACGCGCTCCCTCTCCCGCCTGGCGGCGTTCTTCTTGGCGAGCACATCGCGCATGGAGTACTCGCTCTCGCGCTGCCTCTTCTCGTTGACGGCCGAGACCTCGAACCAGTCAAAGTGCACAATGTGGGCGCGGTTGCCGCGCTTGAGCGCCTCCTTGACTGCGACAACATCCCTTTGTCAGTATATAGTCATTGAATCGAGCTGCGGACACAATAACGTTACTGGCGAGAGAGCGAGAGAGCCAGAGTGACGAAGAGGAGGATAGAAAGAAGGGAAACATCTCGAGGTTGGGGAGTGTAAACGCACCTCGAGGGACTCGCTTGTTGAACTGCTCCTCTGTGCAGAGCAGGTGCGTCACCGTCTCGTCAAAGCCGTCGACGAACTGGCCCCGGCGGATGGACGTCCATCGCTTCAGGTTCTCGACCGTCAGGCTGCCTGGCAGCGGCCCGGCCGCGGCGATGACCTTGTTCTTGAAGATCTGGCGAGGCATGGTGAGTTGGAAGTGCCCTTGGTGGCACGGAGGGCAGCGATATGAGAGAAAGTGAGCTTCCGCTGCCCCAATCAAGGTTCTGTGTTGCGCTGTGGAAGTGGTCGAGAGACCCGAGGATGCTACAAGAGAGAGGAAACAGAAGATGGAAACGAGGGTGGTGTGCATCGGGGCCTGTATTAACTCGCAACGTTGAGGGCGCTGCGAGAAGCCGAGGAGCACGGCAGGAGTCTCTTCCCATGCATTGCGGTGGTCCGTCTCGGCATCGAGAAAGCCAGGGGTACCGCCGGGACACTGTCGTGGGAGTTCAGAACAGCGCGCTGAACAGCATTCAGACGCCCAAACGGTGCAGCAAAGCCCAGGATGTATTTTCCTTTGAATAATGCTATTCGAAGAGCAGACTTTTGCTAGTTATAGAGCCTGCTGCAGCAACGACAGCAACGACAGCAACGCAGGAATAGGCAGCGCGCCGCTGCCGTCCCATCCAGCGCAGGAACACTCGCTGGCGCAGCATAGGAGTAGGGCGCGGTCGAGGAAAATGTAGGACGGTTCTACACCTAGCAAAATATGGCTCTATGAATAGCACCCTTCTCTATCTAATGTTTTTCGCCGCCTTGACAAACGCAGAAATCCTTGCCATGCTTTGCTTGCCGCCCTCCTCAACACCGCTGCTGACATCCACGCCTAGTACTCGGCTACCCAAGCTGCCCAGCGCGTTGACGGCCTCAGCCACATTCTCCGGGTTCAAGCCACCCGCGAGGAAGACCCTCAGGTCAGGGTCTCTCTCCAAGGCAGCCTTCACGCTGGATACGTCCAGCAGCTTTCCGGATCCCGCGCCAGAGTCGAGAAGAGGGATGGTGTGGTAGCCCCTGAGTCCCAGACCGGCTTGCCCGGGCTTGAAGCAACGGATGACGGGGACCGGGATGAGTTTGGCCCACTCGATCGGCTCATCGCCATGAAGCTGGACAAGGTCTAGGTTGTAGAGTCGCTGCTTCTCAAGGACCTCACTCAGTGGTTGATTCTGAAAGATACCAACCAGACGAGTCCGTGACCCATCCAGCCTCGCACCAGCAGCGGCAAAATAGTCGGTGGCCCCGGCGGGCGAGACTTGCCGGTCGCCCTTGGGTTCAAGCGACTCGGACGCGGAGTGAATTGCTCTTGATATAGCAAGCGCCGTCTCATGGGAGATGCACCTCTTGGCACTAGGTACCAGGCAGATACCAACAAAGTCTGCCTTGTCGCTCATGGCCTGCTGCGCGGCCTCCACGCTGCGGGTTCCGCAAATCTTGACGCGAAGCGGAGTTGCAGCCTGCTGCTCAGCTGGGGGCTTGGACCCGGAGCATAGCTCGCTGATGAACACACTAGCGTCGGGCGCTCGCATGATCGCTTCTCCCACGAGAACGGCGTTGACGCCATCCTTCTTGTTCATGAGAACATCCTGGTAAGTGTTGATTCCACTCAGCGCGCAAATCAGCGTGTTGTCTGGGACCATGCTCCGCAATCGGCCTGTTGTGTTCAGATCAACCTCGAAGCTCTCCAGGTTGCGGTTGTTCACGCCGATGACCTTCGAGCCGAGCTGTACCGCAGTCGTCATCTCCTCGACGTTCTGGACTTCCACCAAAGGCTCCATTCCCAAGCTGACAGAGTACTTGTACAAGCGCTCCAGGAGCGCCTGGTCGAGCATCTTGACAATCAGGAGAACCGTATCTGCTCCAGCCAACCTGGCCTCCAGGATCTGGTACTCATCAAAGATGAACTCCTTTCGCAGAATAGCTGGCCTGTTTGGCATGCCATCGAGGACCTGGCGAACTGCCCTGAGATCCTCGATGCTTCCCTTGAACCACTCCGGTTCTGTGAGCACAGAGATGACACTCGCACCGGCCAGAGCGTATTTCCTGGCCTGCGTAGGGGCGTTGATGTCGAGGGCGAAAATTCCCTTCGACGGCGATCCACGCTTGATCTCGGCCATGAGTGCCACATCAAACGGGGTCTGTCGCAGTCGGTTGACGAATGGAACCAGCGGAGGGGCGGCGTTGAGGTCGTAGGCAGCTTGGAGATCGGCCATTCTCTGCGAGGGGATCTCCTTTTGGATGGCGACGGCAGCCTTACGGCTGGCGTATATCCTCTGCAGAATATTGTTGCTCTTAGGCTTGGCCTGCGCCGTGGCTGAGGCTTTCTCGGCGGAAGCCTTCTGCAGCAGGTCATTCTCCTCCCAAGTGCCACCCTGCATGTGCAAGAAGTTCCTGAACATCTTGCGGCCGCCGGCGGTAAGGATACTCTCAGGATGGAACTGAACACCCTCCATGGTGTACTGCTTATGGCGGACACCCTGAATGATTCCCGGGGAGCCGTCAGGGTTCGCCACCCATGCCGTAACCTCGAGACATTCCGGCAGCGTGAGGTGAGTTCCGGCCAGGGAGTGATATCTGGTCACCGGAAGGCCCTGTTCCAGGCCCCCAAAAACTCTCTTGGAGTCGTGAGTCAAGGGAGACGTCTTGCCATGCAGCCACTCGCCAGCGGATGTCACCTCGCCTCCGTAGACGTCGAACATGCACTGCCTGCGATGGAGTCAGTTTGAAATGGCGTGGCTGTTACGGGTTAATACTCACAGGCCCATGCAAACACCGAATATGGGGATCTTGCCAGCAAAGTGCCGGATGGCATCTCTGCTGATACCGGAGTCGGTAGTGGGGTGCCCAGGGCCAGGGCTTATAATGAGCTGTGTGGGATTCTTCTGGATGAGTTCCTCGATGCTGATCTGGTCATTTCGGAAGACATGAACGGTGGCGCCCTCGAGCACGAGATACTGGTAAATGTTCCAGGTGAACGAATCGTAGTTGTCAATCAGAACAAGATTAGAGGCCGTCGGGATCGGCGGCGACGGTTCGGGTTGGTGGGGTGAGTGATCGATGATGTCCAGGGACGGCATGGTGAAAGACAGACGAGGCGATGGGACGAATTTGGACTTGGTCGGTGAGGGCGATGAGCGGGAGATTGCAAGCTGGAACTTGGGATTGGGATTCAGCAGCACGACCCAGAGAACCAACAGAGGCGAGAGAATGCTTCCGGGCGTGACGCTGCGAGGCCGACAGCTTTATGTCGAGGGGGCTTCCGCGCCGGTTAATACGTGACAGGTCTGACCAAAGCTGACAGTCTGACAAGATCAGGCTCGAGAAAATGAGACGGTTCGCTCTTCAATTCATAAGCATTGCGCACTGTGCCCGAGAATGTGTGGCCCGTGGGCAGCACAGTTTTTGCGTACAGTGCGGGCGTTTGGATTATGACTGATGGAGCTCCGGCGTCGGCAAGCACTGCCGGAGGTGCCCTGGCCGGCTGAAACCCGGCTATTCACCAGGGCAGTGGAGCGGGAGCTCCATCCAAAAAGTTGGCCTGCAGCGAGCCACTCGATCCAGGTTGGTGAGCTCCAAAGCAAACAGTCGCTGGCGTTTGGGGCTGGGAAGCGCGTCAAGACCAGCTTCTCCAAAGCCTTCACGCTCGCGACCATTGCACCCACCCACGCCAGGTGATGCATCGCCCATCGCTGTCGCTATACTGACCGTCGCGGCAATGGCGCCTGTGTCCGACAGCAATTACTTTGCCTCCCTGGAAGAATGCCTCTCTGGGGAGCGGATGCTTCTGTGAGCACGCTTCATCTCAAACCGACATCCGCGACTTCGCTGACCCTGCACCCTAGGTCCTGGAAGCATGTCGCCACTGCGCTCTCAGACGACTCCGGCAGGCGACAGACCAGCGCAGCCGTAGTCGACTTTCTGGCTGACGAATACGTCCACTCGCTTTTGAAAGACCCTGCAGCCGCCTTTGCGCCGCCCAGCGATTCTACCCGGAAAGACTTCGAAACAAAGACAGCGCCAATCAACGTCGCATCTGCCTCTGCAGACAAGAACGATGTCAAAGCTGTCAAGGAAGATGCCGAATGGCTGAGCAAGAACGCCAGGGTCAATCTGGTTGCTGCTCTTCGCGTCGCCGTTGTCGAATTCCAGTCGCGCGCTTCGCAACACTTGACCGGTCCGCTCTCTACACAAGACGCCACCAACTTGCAGGAAGCTGCCGGGCTGCAGAATGGGCAGGGCGGCTCCTTGCTGGCTGATCTGGGCGCCGCTCCGGCGCTTGACTCCGACGAAATATCTGCCGAATTTGCCAAGGTCGATTCGAGGCACCGTCGCCTCTTCGACACACTCCTGACCGAACGTCGGTCGTTTATGATGACGATGGACTACATATACTCGATCAAACTCTACGGTCGACTACCAATCTTCACAGCAACAAGGGTCACGAAGCTCGCCACGCTCTATAAGCTGAAAGAGACCACACGGGCAAAAGAGGAGGCGACCACGTTGCTGCCGGCATACCTGAAGATCGTCAGCGGTTGCATGGGGGCCATTGAATCCGGCCTCGGGTCGTTGACCGACGATAAAGCAATCTTGGCGGAAGCAATCGAACTCGAGTGGTTCCGGAGCCTCCTGACGGAGATTGTGCATGCTCTTTCGGTCGTCTTTCAGCTCGTGGACCACCTGGGGAGCGACTTCCCACCTTCCGGCTCCATAAACCAGTGGTTCTCCCTGATGGACACATACACCTTCTTCGACTCGATCCAGCCAATCCACCCGAAGATCAATGAGCTGATTCCCCCGCTCAAGTCTCTCGCCGTGGCCGTCTCCATCGGCCTTCTGAAGCCTGCCCGGTCACTGACTTTCCTCGCCGAGCGAGAAGAGGACCCCACCTTGCCCGAGGACTCATACGATGCTTACCCGCTTCTCTCGGACGTCTTAGAGCAGGTGCACAAGTGCATCATCGATGCGGCAAGCGCAGATTGCGAGGCTGCAACACCGGCCGTCTTTGCTTGGACCCTGCTGCTTCACCGCATGAACGTGTCGTATCAAAACCGGACCGAGAAGCGCGATAATCTGTTGCAGCAGAACGCGCGGGAGAACTTTGAATCCGGAGGCGTCATTCGGCCTACAGGGAGACGCAACTCGGCCGGAAGCATCTTCTCCATCGAGTCTTCCAAATTTGACGGCTTCCTCGAAAACGCCACTGCGTCCAAGGACCTCCAAGTAGTGGAGCAACTTGCGTCAAGCGTCACTGCCCATGGCAAAGTCTTCGACATCATGTCAAGCATGGCAACTGGATTGGGACCCTCCGTTGAAGGAAGCATGTCGCCTCTGCTTAGCTCCCGCATCCGGGCTGCGCTTTTGGAGCTCTTGAAGGTCTCATATCCGATTGTAGGATATCAGTCTGAGCCCCTCGGCACCTTGCTCTCAGTACTTTCGACAGGGAGAGACTACTGGGACCTTTCATCTGAAGACGCGCTCTCCGCATCGCACGATGTCCTCACATCCATGACCCACGACGACTACCTGATGCAGTTCTACTTCCAACAAGCTCTGGATCGCTTTCCATACGAGTTCATGCCGTTCATTTCACTGTGCAAGAGCCTCTGTACGGCGGCAACGTCTGACGATGAGGAGCAGCCCGATTTGATACTCGACCTCCTGCGCAAGACCCCGTCCCTGACGTTTGTCTTGCCGGACGACTTTCAGGGATACGAGTTGGTGCAAGAGGACGAGAACACCAACTCCTTCTGCATCCTTGAAGACATCCCGTTGATCACGCTATCATCGTCTTGGAAGCGAAGGTACATCGAGGACGACGCTTATAGAATACCCGCCGGGGCATACGGGCGGTTCATTACGGACACAGGTCGAGTGGTTCTGATGGATTTCCCACACTCGACACTGTCTCTCCTTGGCCGACAGCTCGAAATCAACCTCATGAAGGAAGGCTACCGCTCGGAGCTAAATATGCTGCAGCCTGAAGAGGTTGTCGAAGTCATTTCGTTGCTGGCAACTCTACTGCGCATGGAGTATCTGAGGTCAACTAAAACGAACAGCAACACCGCCGTCGTTCAGAAGGACAGTGACCTATTGCACGAGATGAGCAAGCACATCAGCGGTGGCAGGGACATCGTAACCGTTGTCTGCGAGACCATGGACTACTTCATGCAGGATGAACTGGCAATGGCCGAAGAGGCCGCTGTCAATGTTGTCACTGCCTGTGTGAAGTTCCTGGACGCGATCGTGCCGGTGCAACCCAGTCGTGTGTGGTCATATTTGGCCCGAAGCGAGTTGCTCAGCTCTGACTCGCGAGCCGGAAAGCTGGCCAAGATCACCGGCACTCTCGATCTGGTCTCCGAACGATTCAACTTTCTCATGTCTTCATTGTCGTTCTTTTCGGGGCTCATTGACACAGCGATGCATTCGGCTGTCCAGCGACGGGCAGGGAACAAGTTTACCGGACGGCAAAAAGCCGAATCCAATCCTTGGTTGGGTACGGCCGACAAAGTGCTCTCGAGAGTAAGCGTTTCAATTGCACACGCCTCTATCGATGTCTTCGAAAGCTCTTCTACTTGGCGATTTGAATCCGATGTTAACCGACTCTCGTTGCTGGATGCCGTCGTACCTGTGCTGGACAAGCTGGTCCTTTACAGCTACAATATGGGAGAATCGGCCAGCGCAGAGAACTTAACATCATGCCTTCGAGCGGCGGCCTCTTACATCGTCGACTGCTTCATGTCTCCGGCTACCGGCACTCTTAGGTTCCAACCTATTCTCAGTTCTCTTATTGCGGGGTTCGTCGCCGGCAACTCGACATTGTATCCTACACGGACTAGGACCATTCGTGGACAGCTGACCTCCACCCTCAAGCTGTCCACCACTCTGCTTCGAGCAGCCAACTACACGGAACAATCGACTGCCATGTTCGAGACGTACCTTTTCAAGAGCTCAACGCTGTTGGCAAGGATATGTGCCGTTTCGGACTTGCTTCGCAGTCCTGCCATCGTGCTTTTGGAGGCTCTCGTGGTCAACGCTGGCAAGTCTGCGTCAGAGCCGCCGTCTCTGCTTGGTTATCTCGGCCCCGAGTTTTCCAAGTCGTTCCTGCAGCTGCTGTCCAGCCTGGGTAGACCCCTTGCCTTGACGCAGGATGCCCAAGTGACTTGGCGCTTCTTCTCATCCATCCTGAGGAATCGGCAACAGTGGATGTCTAATTGCCTTCTCACTGGCCAGACACCTCGGGAAGCCATGAAACAAGGAAGCAAGGCGAGTGAGCTCTCTGCCGACTCCGTCTTTGCGGATGCCTTGGCGAAGCTGCGGGCACTCAAGGACCTTGACGGAGCTGAGGCCCTGGCAATCTTGGATTTTGTCGCCTCGGCGCAGAATTACTGGCCGTGGACGGTCTTTACACTTCTCAAAGACACGACCTATGTGGATGGCCTGCGAGCGTACGTGCGCAAGCTGAAGCCATCTCACCTGACCGTCAAAACGGACGCTGTCGGCACTAGCATTGATGCTAGAATAGCGGCGTACGTCGCGGAGACCTTGGCTATGCAGCTGTATCACTCGCGGCACCAAGGCAACGCTGACGCGCTGGCGAAAGCCCTCGTCACTGACCTCGATTACTTCCTACGCGATGGTGTTGAGGTCGCCGGCTACAACAAGTCGCTTCACGGAAACTTTGCCAAGAACTTCGCCAACAAATACTTCGGCTGCGCCGTGGAGAATTTCAAGCGCACGGGGCTCGAACCTGGGGAGCTGGGCAACAACTATTACTACGATTTGGATCGTGCGGACGACATGCTTAAGTTCGATCCTGGCTGGCTGGGCAGAAGGGACAATGGCTTCAAGAATGAGATGGAGCTTGCAAACGCGAACCTCTCCCTGGTCGACGCCCAAATAGTGAGTTGATTCCTCATTCTTTACCCCTTTGCACACTACTAACTGTGGCCCAGGCCCTCTTCCACGCATGGGAGTTCCTGCTTCTGGAGCTTAGCACGTGCCTGCCGGCAAACGAGACGGTTGTGCGACAGATGCTTCAGGTTGCGCAACAATGCCTGAATGCGAACCAAAGCGCGACAGGGCCGGAGAGCATTTTTGTCAAACTGGTCGCCGCAAGAGCTGACTTGGCTCTCGTCCTGGTGCAGCGGCTTGTCAAGTCATCCATTGCGGTCAAGGACATCAACCAGCTCTTGGTCACCTTGGTGGCGACGATACGCGGCGTCGAGGAGCCGCTGGCAAAGGAATCCGCGGCGTATTATCGCACCCTGTTGAAGTGCCTATTCGTCACCCTGAGGGCCTATCAACTGACAGACCAGAAGGCCGCGTCTGATTCATCAGCCGAATTGGAGAGCTCAGCAGCAGATGTCACGCAAACCATTCTGAACATCCTGGACCACGTCGTCTGCAAAGGTTTCCGGGCTCTGGTCAGCCTCATCCATGATAACGACGCAGAAGTGGTCCCGGAAGACCTGGCACTCTTGACGGCCATATTGCAGGCAAGCCTGGGCCTCCCCACCATCGAACAGTCGCAAACTCAGGTCATGAACATCGTGGCTTCTCACGATGCCGTTCACGCGGCGACAGCATTGTTCTCGTGGGCCGACAAGCTCGCTCACCAAGGCGATCCGGTCTACGGAGAACTCAGCATCTTGTTCCTTTTGGAACTGTCGACCCTGCCGCTGATTGCAGAGCAGCTGGCTTGTGACGGCGTCCTCAGCAGCTTGCTGTCTGCGAACCTTGCCAAGTACATGCTCAAGGCCGAAATCTCTCCCTACGCCGACGCCCCAGTGGCGCAGCGCTGCTATGCGATCTGGGCAAAGGGTTTGCTGCCGTTCATGCTCAATCTGCTCGCCTCCTTGGGCGCTACCATCGCACCAGAGGTCGCTTATGTTTTGAACCAGTTCTCACACCTACTCGAGTCCAGCGTGGATCGGTTTGAAGCACCGGGCCTGAATCGGACGGCGTCCAGATCTAGGCCCCATTATGTCACGCTGGTGGCAACATCAGAGATTCACTCCCTGGCACTGCTGACTCGCATTCTGGCGGTCTTGCGTATTAACAACACGCGCGACATTCCTGCCGTCGAGTGGGACACGACGGGCCTCTTAGAAAACGTCGACTTTTGGCTCTCCGGCAGGCGGCTGCTGAGAGAGCGGCTGCTACCTCTGGGAGCCCGAGAGGTGGAGTGGAGGAACACCAAGGCATCCAACGCGGCGGGGGGCAACGACAACGTGCTCGAGCAGAAGGTCGTGTCGCAGCTGGAGACGGTGAGGGATGTTTTGAGCGAAGCGCTCGAATCATGAGCAGAGGGGTTTCGTTTTGGAGATGTAAAGAAGCTCAGCACAACAGCTGGATAGAGGGACTCAAACGGGAAAAGGCGTTGAGGAGCAGAGGGTGGCGTACATAGCACGACCATGTTGAGAGGCATACGGAATCTATCGGCATTGCGCATTGCCATACTCGCTGGCCCACATAGGGGGAACATGCATGATGAGGGTGTGCCGCTGAACATGATTTATGATGCGCACCGCCGTGAGGAAACAGTGCTTTCTGTATTCATACCCGCCAGTCCTTCTCTTTCGTTCGTGTGGTGATGATATAAATACAAGCACAGGCTCCACGGCAAAACAGCCGGAGCCTTTGCACATACGTCTCCGACAGCACCGTCTTTGGATGTCCCGGTGCAACAAGCGCATAGTTATCGTACATGATCCAGGCGCCGCGGCCGACTCACGCGTCGAGCCCCTGCGGCACCCAGACCGAGGGTGGCAGCCGTATCATATTCTCAGGGGCACATTGCCTGTGTAACGCCGACTCCTCCACGCCGCCCAGCCGCCTAATCTTCTCACGGGCGCCTGGTGAATTCCGCGGCACGCGCCGCACGCTTATTTCTGCATCTGCTGGGTGATCTGGGCGTTGTGCTCCTGGAAGCGCTCGCTGACGCGCTGCTGCGTGGCCATCCACTTGAGGACGCAGCGGTTGATGCAGCCGTTCTCGCGCGACGACAGCGCCTTGGACGTGAAGTCGTCGACGCACGAGTTGAAGCAGTGCTCGACGAGGCCGCCGAAAGCCTATGCATCGTTGAGTTAGCAGCTGCAGGCCCCCGACGGCGCGCCCGAAGTCGGCAACGCCGGTGGATAAGGGTTGTTGCGGAGGAGGAGAGAAACGTACGCCCATGAACTCCTTGACCTGGCGCTTCTGCATGCGCTGCTCCAGCTGGCGCTGCTCGGTTGCTGTTAACCTGAGTATTGTTAGCGATGAACGCGCCGTTTGCCAATGGAGACATGGGTCGTTCGTACATGTCCATTGTGGCTGTGGTCGGGTGGGCGGGCTTGAGTGTGTCGGTTGGGAGTGGTAGCTTGGCGGATGTGACGAAGGTGTCGTCGGCTCGGCCAGCTCTGGGCTTGAAATTTCGATACCGGCCGGCGGTTGTCGCGATAAGCAAGACCAAGCGTGGCTTATCGGGCAGAGCGACGCATTATCGTTTTTGCACGGGCCGAATGACTAAGCCGGCAATCGAGATGCCCACTGCACGTGAGGGAGGGGCAGCCCAGCAAGCTCCCAGCCAAGCCAGCTTGCGCCCGCTGGTCGCAAACGACATAGCGCAGTGGCAGCCGTCACCAGCCAAGCAACTCAGCCACAGCCGCGAGGAGGGTCTGTTCTCTCGTGCCCTGGCTCCTGGATATCCTGGCGCTAGCCACCAACACCTCGTATCTCTCACGGATGGAGGCGACTGCTCGTATCAAGACCGTCTTTGCATGGCATTACCCCTCACTCGCCAGCTGAAAGCTCGCGGAAGCTCTGCGCTCGTGCGTGGCATGGCATCCCATCGTGGATGCATGCCCTCCACGTTTGCCCCCCGGCGGCGACGGGAGCGGGCGCCATGATCTTCGCTTGTTTCCAAAAATGGATCCGGCAGGGTTTCGAGATGCAGCATTCGCCGCCCAACACGTCAGAGGCCTCAGCTCACGCTTTTTGTCTTGCCCTTGTCGTCTGTATTCCGGCCCCCGCGCCCTCGGCCGTGGCCCGCCTCTCCATGCCGATCCAGAGGGGGAGGGGCGAGATGCCCTGAAGATCGTCGTGGACTTTGCGCGCGTGATGGAGACCGGGCAGCCGAGCCTTGCACGTAGGGACGCACATGATGTTCCTCACACCTGGCGTCTGCGATTTGCAAAGGCGGCATGGCGGCCCGCGCCGGAGTATGTATGGATGGGCGGAGAGAGGGAAGGATGCGGCCAATGCCCGCTTGCCATGACTGACGTCGCAGAATACGACAGTCGTCGTCTACGATTCGCATGCGTGGCAGCACTGGGGAAGCAGCATGGCAAAAAGCATGCGGGGCCAGACAGACGATCGGCAATGACCGCGTGGCATGGAATCTGCTGTTTGCCACGGGCCATTTGCACCAGGTCAGCGGAGTAGGGCCATGATGTCGAACATGCAGGGCGCAAAACATGGTTTTCGACAACATGGCAAAGCCTGCCGACACGAGAATCCGCATGGCTGGTGCTGGTGCCTGCAGGCTGACGCATCGCCGCCCACTCCAGCAGATGAGCAGCCGGTACCGTAGCCAGTTGGGTAGGTACTGTATTTTCACCTCGGATGACAAGATGGATACCGCCTGGCATGAGCTCGTAACCACTGATGAGGAACCGTGGGCAGTTTTTAGGGCCGACGGGCTGGGATAAGCTTCGGAGCACTGGTCGATGGCATTCGCTAGAATCATGCCACTGGCTGGGACTCGGATCCCAACACGAAGGCAGCGAAGCGGCGTGCTTGGTCCCGTCATGGATGCGGTTGCGCGGTTCGCGGGCGCCGTTCCCATCAACAGGCTGTGGCGTTCAGCCTGTCCCGCGCCGTCCTCTTCAAGCCAGGCACTGAGCGTCTCTAGCGTTGCGGATCTGCTTGGAGTGGTAAAGTTGGTGATAGCCGTGGGCTCGCTTACGATGGGTACGACGACTGCTGCATCCGGCCATCAGCTCGCATCGACGCCAGCGTCCACCGAACCCGTGGGCCCGGCGCCCTTTGGCGTGCTTTGCATACCCGCAGCGTCTGTTGGTGGCTTCTTTCGCCCCGTAGTTATCGCTGTGTCGTCCGCTCAGAGCGTGGTCAGGCTCGGAGCAATTGATCTCGGAACAGCGCTGTACCTTACCACCATGTGCCGTTTTAGCTCCCGCCTGGGATATCCCTCGTAAAGAAAAAAAAAAAAGTGGCTTGTCTGCCGCCTTGTCTTTGATTAAGCAGCCCGCCATTGGCCCCAGACAGTGCCAGGTGACGGGATGTGAACAGGGCTGCCCTGCGGCGGGCGACGATACCCGAGCGAAACGGACGAGGATCCAGGTTCGGGCAGGCTGTCGAGGGAGGGAGACGGAAGGCTCCACTGGAAGGAAGGGCAGACGAAGGAGGGTCGAGGGACGCGGTTCGACGGGCAGTGCTCGAGGGACGGGAGCCTGTACTGGAAAGGTACCTACTTAGGTACTCCGTACGACAGGCACACGATACACGTTACTGCAGTAGCTTCGATGCTCGCCCAGGCATGGCAGGAACGAGACCGACTTTCCGGGCCCCTGGGCTGGGCTGGGCCGGGCTGCACTGCACTGTGGTGGGCTGCACACTGCCCGCCCTGCGCTGCCCTGACGCGCTGCTGCATTCGCACTGCACTGCACACGGCGTGCTGCACCCACCTGCACTGCGCTGCACCTTGGCCATCCATCCTGCAATCCCTCCCTCGCCCAGGCCCGTCGTCCAATTGGCTTTCATGGACCCCAGGTAGCACCGGCGAGCGAATCCCTGCCCGAGGGGCCTCGATGGACGGCCCTCAAACAAGCTCGTCTGCCTGTGTTGCGCCGATCCTGGGCTGGCCCCCCAAAATTACATCGTCGCAGCCTGGTTTCAACGTCATTCGCCCGGGCCCTGTCGAGTGTGTTTCCTTGCGCCGCCCCCAGACCAGACCAGACCAGGGCATGGCCGCCGGGTGCCCACGAGGGAAGGGGCAGCAAAACAATCAAAAGTGAAAAACACACACGACAAAGACTGAATCGTCGTCTGGACGACACGACACGAAAGGGAGAGCAGGAAAGCGACGGACGGACGGACGGAGAGGGAGGGAGAAAGAGGCCGCCGCAACTTCCCGGTTCCCAGCGAGACAAGCCAAGCAAGGCCCGTCCAGCTCCATGGGAGGGAGGGATTTGTCCTGCGACTGCTGCTGGCACCGCCTCCCGCCTCTGCAGGAACCACCGTCACTGCCACCGTCTCTGTAATACCGAGAGCACAGGCTTCCAGCAAAAACTTGGAACGGCCGTCTCCTGGCCGGCCATGGCGTACGAGCAATCCCAGCTCGCCCCATGGATGCGTCAGGTTCTGCCTCTCGCAAGGTAGCCCAGCCCCTCCCCACCAGGCTGTGGCCCAAGAGTCCCATCAGGCTGGGACTCAAAGGGGTGTAATACAGTGGAAAGCAGCCGCAGAGCTCCATGTTACTAAGGTTCCATGTCGCTGGCTTGCCTTTGCTGCCGCCACCGGCCGCCACCAACAGCGCCTGAGCTTTACGCATCATGACAACGCGATTGGCATGCCGGCGAATAACATCCAGATGGACTGAACTGCATGGCGTGGCACAGCACAGCAAAGCACAGCAAACACCCCAGGCACCGGGCTACTAGCAGGGCCTTTCCACGGTCCAGACGGTGGTACTGTAGACTTGGTGAAGAGCCCTGGAGCCGTAGGTCCGCTCCCCACCCTACCGCCAGGCCAACCTGAGGTGAGCCGGGCCAGGCGGCCAGGCCGCCCAAGCCTCCACCAGCTAGGGACATAGGTTGTAGGCCGGCCTCCACACTCCACTGCCCCAGCGCCAGCGCCAGACGGCACCCGACCAGACAGCACCAGACGGGCAGTGGAGTGGAGCGCCAGACCCGACAGCGCCTGCACCCCCGTCACCCGCTGTCTGCCGCGCCGCCTGCGGGCTACGACCGGGCAGCCCTGGAGGGGAGCCCCAGGCGGGCGACCCGCTGCCGCCTCTCACCTAACCACCCGACCCAACCTGCGCGGCCTCGCACAGCAACCTTCGCACCTCACCTCGCCGCCTGCTGCTTTCATCACCGGCCTCCTCCCTCTCACAGAGGCGCCCACGCACGACGCTCTGCCTCCCGCTCCTCGCGCCGCTCCTTTTGTCGCCGCCGACACCGCGCTCTCCGACGCAATCGCTCCCTCTCCATGCCGCTCGTCCGTGGAACAGACGCCCGCCTGCCTCTTCGACCCTAGACGCTAGCTGCTCTCCTCCGACTGCCGCCCGACGTGGGTTGGAGATCCGACACAGTTCACGATCACTCGCTGGGCCTGGCACAGACGTCGCCGCGCTCGCTCCTCGCGCACGACGCTACTCAGTTCCGTTGCACTCGCCCCCGCGACTCGCTGTCCTTCCGTCTCTGCCTCGGGACCCCCCGTCCGTTAGCGACAGCTCGCCCATGACGGATTGATTGTCCAGCAGTCATCGCACCCGCAGCCACTCCCGGAATTGCCTCAGCGTCCAGCTCCGTCGCCGCGCCCACCTGGCGTCGAGTCGGCTCGTGGCAGGTACCCTGAGCCGGGTTATCAACCAACTGCCCGCAGTCGTGTGTCCCGTACTGCGTCCCGTCCTTGCTCGAGCCCCGACGACCGACAGACAACATGGCGTCTGCCGTCCCCACGGCCAACCAGGCTGGCCAGTCGAGCCAGCCTCCGCCCGGTGCGACGCCTGCCTCGCCGCCAAACAAGCGCGACCTCAAGTCATGGTGGAAGGGATTCAAGCTGCCTTCCAAACACCAGGAACCTACAGGTACAGTCCCACGACTCGTTTGTATTGCGCCGTACGTAGGCTGGTTGGGCTCTGCCGCGCTCTCCCGGTGTGGAGTCCGCGCCCTGGTGTCCTGCTCACGGCCAGGGACGAGGCATGATCTATCGGCAGTCGCCGACGCAACGTCTCGCCCTTGAGGCGCGTTCTACCGTCGCAGCACGGCTTTGCGACACGAAGACTAGTGTCTTCATTTGTGTTGCACTTGTGGCTTGTGGCATCGGCCTGCGAGCCTTCGGCTGGAATCATTGTCATTTCATCGTCTGTCCACGCCCGGATGCTGACCAGGGCCGTAGAGACAAAAGCTCCAGGCATCTTTGGGGTGCCTCTGCGACAAAGCATAACCTACGCCAACGTCGCCATTTCGCTCATCGATGAGAACGGCCAGAGCTACATCTACGGATATGTTCCGATTGTTGTTGCCAAGTGCGGTGTCTTTTTGAAGGAGAAAGGTGCGTTCCAGCCCTGCACGTTCTTGCGTGTTGCGAATAGTATTGACCGCCATGGCAGCCACTGGTGTCGAAGGCATCTTTCGCTTGAGTGGTTCCGAGAAGCGCATCAAGGAACTCAAGTCCATATTTGACTCCCCGGATCGATATGGCAAGGGTCTTGTCTGGGATGGTTACACCGTGCACGATGCGGCCAACGTGCTCCGTCGATACCTCAACGACCTCCCGGAGCCTGTCGTACCCTTGGACCTCTACGAGAAGTTTCGCGATCCCCTTCGCGGAGCGACCAAGCAGGCTGTCGGCGATCTTGAGGGGCCACAGTTTGTGGACAACTTCGACGAGAACGCGGCCATCCAAAAGTACCAACAGCTCATTACCGAGCTGCCGCCGCTGAACAGACAGCTGCTCCTCTACATCCTCGATCTTCTAGCCGTCTTCGCTGCCAAGTCGGACGAGAACCGGATGAACTCGCAAAACCTTGCTGCCATCTTCCAACCCGGCATGCTGTCGCACCCGGCACATGCCATGGCGCCCGAAGAGTACAGGCTGAACCAATGCGTGCTCATCTTCTTAATCGAGAACCAGGATCACTTCCTCATCGGCATGCAAGGCACGGCTGCAGACGAGGAGACCAAGAAGGAGGTCGAATTGGGGACGCCGACTGGACCATTGACACCCAACCCCAACAAGACGTCAGGCGGCCTCGACAGATCATCATCCAATGCCAGCGCGGGTGCAACAAGCGTTCGTCGAGATGGCAAGGTCCGGAGAAATCGGTCCGTGTCGTCACGACACTCTCGGCAGGAGGACAACACGACCCCCAACAGCCCATCCCTGGTCGCGACCACACCCACGGGCGGATTAGGTAGGAGCAATACCGTACCGTCGAAAAAGTCGCCGGCACTGGCTGGGGGCAAGTTCAAGAGGGGCGACAACACCGGCCATCAGTCTCCTGCTCGCGTGGAGCCCATGACTCCCGTGCGCGCAACCATCGTCGAGAATGAGCAATTATACAGCCAAAGCCCCGTGCCAGCGACGATGGGGGCTGCAAACCCTTCCGTGGAGCGAAGTGCGGCCGCGGGTTTCAGTCAAGAGCGACTGCTGGAGGTGCCCCAGGGCGGCGCAACGCCGCCGCCGAAGGAGAGGAACCTGCCGAGCCTGTTCCAAAGATCGTCGCCGGCTGATGTGGCTGAGAAGAGGCAGCCAAACAAGCTGAAGAAGAAGCGCATACCTGGCGCCCTCAACCTAAGCGCCCAGAGCTCGGCAGCTTCCCTGACACACTCCAACACGGCGTCACCAGGCCAGGAGACTCCCAACCCTGTAGACTCACTGCAGCATCTCTCTGAAGCTTCACCGCCGCCTACCTCCAATCCGACATCTCACCCGACTTCCAATCCCATCGCCTCTACTTCGCCTCTTCCTTTCCCGACACCGATACCACAGAGCCAAGCCCAGCAAACCACCGAAACAGGCCAATCTCACCCCACCCTCTTGCAACAGCCGAGCGACATATCATCTGAGGGCACGCCACGTCCTTCGAACCTCGCATCAAGCAGCAGTTTGCACCCTGACAACCCTCGCGGGAGAAAGTCTCCCCCGACATCTATTCACTCCTCGTCATTCAACGAGGGCTCAGATTTGGACCAAGCAATCGATGAACAGATTGCACCACCGCCGGATAGCGCAGACAAGGAGAAGAAGAAGCGCTGGCGGCTGTCGCGGACAAAGAAAGACGACAACGGCGGCTCGACAAGTTCAATGGCCACACCACCGCAGGCGAATATCGGCTCTAACGATCATGCAGAGGTGAGCACCACGTCGATTGGCAGTGGAGCAAGCAAGCCACGAAAGAGCTTCACCAACGAGGGCTCGGAACCCACAACCCTGGCCAGCCTCGAGGGACACGGGGGACAGGACAACAAAGACAGTAACAGCACCAAAGAAGAGTCCAAAGGCCCCATAGGGTGGATACGAAACAAGTACCGCGAGGCCAAGGAGAATGCCGAGCAGCGACGAAACAAGTCCCCACCGGCAGCCCCTGATCGCCAGGGGATCGGAGCAGTCCTGTCGCGCGGCAAGAGTCTGGACCTGAAGCGCGAAAAGCGCGATGACGAGAAGCAGCCGGAGAAGAGTTCTGAAGACTTGTCAGCCCCCAAACCGACGGCCGCATCTGCAGAGGGCTCTGCGAAAGAGGCGCCCAAAGAGGTCTTGCAGCCTGCACTCGATGCTACCCCGGCGCCGGCTGGCTCACACACAGCCGAGGTGCCAGCTGAGGCGCCAAGCACGGCCCCTGCTCCGGAATCAAAGATCGAGACCAAGTCAGTTGCGCCGCCGGAGGGACAATTGGAGCCGGTGCCCGAGTCCCAGCTTGAAGAACCCGTCGCCATTGAGACGAAGACGGAGCCCCAAGAAGCTCCTACCAAGCAAAATTAGGCCTGTCAGCAGCCCATCGGTCAGCGCAAGTCCCCGCTGACCGTGTATGCGACGTTTGTTTTGGTCTTGTTGCCCGGCATGCTCAGTCCGCGGCTATGGCTTGGGCGTTTATTCTCGTTTGAAGACAACACAGTTGTTTGGCGTTGAGTGCAGAAGGGGACTGCCTGGTCTGCTGCTTCTTTTTGTCGATAGTGCGCGACAGGCAGCCCCATGATCTGGTTTCTATGGACCTCTCGGATCGAGTCCGTCGCGTGACCGCCCTCTTGCGGTATCTGGAATTCGGGATCGCGGCCGAGTCATCCCCCTTTCCCTGCTTCTTCGTTTTTAATAGCCCCTTTTATTCGCTCACGAAACACTACACTGCAGCACACATATACACAACACTTGCGCGCGCAACCTTTTCTTCTTCTTCATCCTCCTCCTCCTCCGCTTCTTTTGTTTTCGATATCATACACACGCGCTCTCTCTCACACACACCCTCGCACCGCCCTAACTAAGACCACGGAGATGGGAAATGGAGATGGAGGGAGGGGCGAAGTTACACCCCACAGAGGGGAAGTCATTGAAGGGACGGCGAGTGGTGGTGGTGGTGGTGTATCTGGGGCTGGGGACCGGGTGCTTGGCGAGAGTGAGGATTGATTGGACGGGACGGAAATGGATATCTTTGCGTAATGTACGGGACACTAAAGAGATACTCTATGGAAACGCTTTTCTTCCCCGGACGCGAGCCACGGTTGGGTTGGCCCTGCCTTGACGCTGTGAACTGCATGACGCTTTGACGGGAGTGATAAGGGGAGGGGAGTTGAGACGTGTCCTGACGCGAGTTGACGTCTTTGACTGCGATAGCCTCGAGGCGCGCAGCGAGGGATCCCTCAATACAGCATGTGGAACAAGGAGATTAACAGGGAATTATTACGAGTTGATTAAATTCTATCAAGATGTGTCAGGCTTCAGGCCTTGCTGTTAGCCTCGGGAGCATCATCATAGATGCCCGTGTCCCACACCAGCATCCTGCCCGACCGGCGCCAGTCCTCATTGACAAAGCCGTTGAACCCACCCCAGACCCGCCTTATTCTGAGTCCCAGCTGCTTGCCGCGCGGAGTCTCGAGGAACTCGCGTAGCCAGGGCTCGATACCCTCGAAGCCGATAATGTAGCGCGGGAGAGGCAGGCCGCGGTCCGGGGCGAAGAGCTCGCCGGCGAGGAAGCCGACGGGGTCGTCGTAGAAGCGGTCGGCCTCGTCGCGGTAGTTGTCCCTCTCGGGGGTGTTTGGCTGGGTGTGGAGCGGGGGCTCGCAGGTAAGCGCGTATGCGTCTAGGCCAGGGTAGACGAGGTGCGACCGCCACGGCGTGGAGTGGCAGGGCATGAGAAACACGGCGAAGAGTTCATCCCTGGGCTGTGGCGGGCGGTGCGTCGCGTGGGCGAGCTGCGCGGAGGCGGGGTGGATTCGTTCGTACTCCTTCCGGAGATAGGACAGGACGGTGAGCGGCGCCGGTTGGTGCAGGAAGGTGAGGAACCCGGCCAAGACGAGATTGATGCCGAGAGCGGCGAAGAGGTAAGGCTTGTGGCGGAGGCCGGGGCGTGAGCTGGGGCTTGGCTTTGATGTGGAGGCGGCGGCTGGGGATCGAGGGTCTGAGGTGAAAAACGACGCTGCGAACGGCGCCGCCAGGATACTCAGCGCCGGGAGGAGCGGGTAGATGAAGCGCACCTCCTTGTGCGAGATGAGCGATAGTGCGCCGACAGTGGCGAATACAGTATAAGAGAGCGTTCGCAGCGTGTTCGCCTGGTCAGGCGACGAAGCGGAAGGGCTGTAGAGTCCGGCGATGGCGAAGGGCAGGCTGGTGGTGCAGAGGAGCGGGATGCCCTGGAGAAGATAGTAATGCCAGGGGTTTCGGCCGTAGAAGACCGCGAGCGACTTGGAGATGTTGAAGTTGAGCCAGTTGTATGGCGGGAAAGTCCAGAATCCAAAGTACAGACGGTCGGACACAAACGACGCGCCGAGAACCAGTGCGCCGCAGAGGACGGCTTCTCTCACGAGGGTGAAGATGATCGCCCAAGACAACGGCGATGATCCCTTCATGGTGACCCTCGTGAGAGCTACACCCACGATGGTGATCCAAATCAACACGTTCGTAGGGCGAAGAACCACGGCAAGAGCCGCCAGACTCAGGGAAGCACGTAGCGGCCAGAGGCTGCGGAGAGGTCCCGGGGCTCTTGGGTTCTCTTTGGCCGGTTTGGCTGACCCGAGCAGCTCCCACGGCCAGTAGTAGAGGGCCATGATGGTGAGGGTCGTCTCCAGGGAGTTTGAAAAGGTGCGTGTGGAGACATACCACTGCCAAGGGCTGAATATCTGGAGGAAGAGCTGCGGATGGGTGTTAGTGAGATCTATGAGGTTGGGGGACAGGCGCGCATACGGCAAAGAAGGAGGCGAGTGAGCCGGGGCCGTATATCGTAACGGCGAGCCGCCAGGCATACCAGTCTCCGAGGGCTGCGATGACGGCCTGCAGGGTCTTGGGGGCGGCCATAACCACGAAGGTTCGGAAGACATTGCCGGCGGGGATAAGGCTAGAGAGCTTGTCGGCCACCAGATACGCGGCGGAGAACAGCGCGGGGTGAAGCGACGAGCGCAACTGATAATGCCATTCCTGAAAAAATGGTCAGCTTTGGTCGAAGACGCGTCACGACAGTGAATCCAGTCCTGTCTCGACACGCGTATACTGTACAGATAAACTTTACATACCCAAGTCAACCACGCGCCGCTCTCAGACCCGAAAGCGAGGCGCCAAGCGGGCTCGAGCGACTGGAAGAACTCATCCGGCTGGAAGAAGGTGGCGATCCACCACGCATTGATAAGACGGATGACGACAATGTCGCGCAGGAAGTTGGGCCGCTTCCGTGCATTGCGGGCCGTGGAGGCTGTGGCCATGGCCGGCGATAGGTGGCCTTTCAGGGCGAACAGAGAAAAGGGGGGGCCTGATGCCCGTCAGGCCATTGAGGCCGACGTGTGGTTCAGGAACGAAAGCGAAAGCGAAAGCAAAGAAGCACTGGCAGCAAACGAACTGAGAATGGCGAGCCCGCAACGAACCCGGCCGGCACTCGGTCCGTCACTTGTGGTGGTGGACCGTCGTGGTGGTTGTGGTGGTGCACGTTGAACGCTCTGGTCGAATACGTACCTTGGTTATCGCGGGTGAGAGTCTCACAGGGGGGCGTGATTGGCCCATGCAAGCCATGGCACCAGCGGGCTGCGTCCCAGTGGAGCGAACACTGACGTGCCAGGGCCCCCCCGGAGCATCGGCGGCCGTGCCTTCCCTCCGTGCCTGGTGCCACCACGGTGTGGATCGCCGACGACTCAACGGGGCCCGGTCTCGGCGCCAGTTGCAGATGATGGAGGGCCCCTCCCCGTGCCCGCTGGCCCCTCTCTCCAGCGCTGTAGCTGCTGTACCTCAGGTGCTCGTATGGGTGGGTGCTGCGCCATGGTACTGGACGATAGTGGGAGCACTCCAGGTGGCCCTACTCTGCCCGGCCCGGATGCCTCTGCCCCGTCTGGACTCTAGACCACCGACCGACCGACTCTCAAACGCTGGAAGCCATCCGGCTGGCCCATCTGGCCCATCTGGTCGAGTTGCCACCCTCCTCCTCAGCCCTCGCCTCAGCGCGCCCGCGAGACAACTGGAGCCAGATCACGCCAGACGCCGCGCCGCCCGGGGTGTCGGGGGGCCTGTCAGGCGTCGGTGCGACGCTGCCGTGTGCAGGCGCTCACCGCAGCATCGTGGCTCGTGGCCGGGCGGCGGCATTGACACCATGTCACAGGAGGCTCGGAGCGCGCCCTTGCGAGCTGCACGGCCACGGCACGACTGGAACGGAACGGAAGAGGAGAGAGAGACTGGTGGGCCGCGAGTGCACCGCCGGCCGCATCCATCATCCACGTCGCCGGACTGCCTGCCTGCTGCTGGACGCACGACGACCCGCCCCTCGGGTGGCCGCTGGCCGTGGTTGGCGGGGGGCTGGCAGCGTCTGCGTCGCATCCCGCCTGTGCTGACGCAGCGCAGAGCCGCCCGCGTCCAACAGCGCCCGCCGCCGCCGCCGCTGCTGCAGATTGGATTGGCAGCGACGTCGGGCGGGCGTGGTGCATTTACATACTACTACAGGTATGTGTGGTGGATGATGACTTCATCGTCACCTCCTTCCAGGGATGACGGCGCCATCGCCAGATTGCATCTCGCAACGGCCTCGGCGATGGGGGCCGGCCGGTACGTAATGGCGGCCGCGCCATTGGCCGGCCAAGTCATGTGAGCCATGCTTTCTCAACACCAGCAACGCCTTGGACGGCGCGGGGTGGATGGACGGATGGGCAGACGACGGGTCCAGCGACGGGTGGTGTCTGTGTGGAGCTCGAAACCGAACGCCTCGTCGCCGTGTCTCGCCGCCGTTTCCTGCCCTTTTCTCGCCGTTGCTGCCCTTTGGGATCGTTCGCGTTCGCCCCGGCCCCCCGTCACCGCGGTCACCTCCGTCCGGGGAGGGCGTCACCCGTCGTGAGTGGCCGGTTGGCTTCGGCAATCCGAGTTGCTCGCCGGGACGGACTGACACAGACACCACCAGCATCCCTGCGCCAAGGTGCAGTGGCACCGCGGGCGTTCATCTACAACCAACGCTTTCGCGACGCCGGGCCCTCCGCTGTGCGTCCACTTGCACTTAGGGGTATAGCGGCGGACAAACTTCGTCGAACGAGTTTTTCGTCGCCAGGTATAAATGGGGAGCCCGCGTGGGCAGGCATTCCCACGCCCGAGACGGATTCCCTCCTCCTCTTCTCTTTCTTTCCCCACGCGTCCAACAGTCGATCCGAGAGCGTTTCGTCCCTGCATCTCTTCCAGAAGCATTTAATTGCCCAAACAAGCAACTGCCTAGCCGACAGCAGCCTGAGCCGGTTAGTACAGTGCCCCTACCGTCCGCGCGCCCAGGCCTTACCGCCCTGCCGGTCCCCCGAACCCCGGCCTGGCCCCCCCTCTTCTGCCCCCCCTTCCGCCTGTCCTCCCCGCCATTTGCGCTGCCCGTCATTCGGCTGGCGGCCAAGGCGCTGCGGATGACGCTGGCGCTGATGCCGGTCCCGGTGCCGCTCGCGATACGTCACGTTGGGTGGTGGTGGCCCCTCCTCCCCCATTGGCGACCGCCTGCATCTGCCTTGCATCTTAGATTTTACAAGTTACAAGATACAACATCGTCATCGTCGTTTTATCGCCGTTGACCCGGTCCCGCTGACAAGCCACCCAGACACAGCAGCTCTCCCGCAGTTACCACCTCGTCAACAGGCCCAATTGTAGCGGCCCAGAACCGACTCGCCAGAAACTGGACTCATTCAAGAAAAAGACATTCCCCAGCTCTCACAATGGCCCCCCACGCCAACGACGTCGCCGCCGGTAACGGCGTCAACTCGCGCTTCCACGCCACCTCGACCGAGGCCGCCATCGCGTCGGAGAACGAGCACGCCGCCCACAACTACCACCCCCTGCCCGTCGTCTTCGCCAAGGCCCAGGGCGTCAACGTCTGGGACCCCGAGGGCCGCCAGTACATCGACTTCCTCTCCGCCTACAGCGCCGTCAACCAGGGCCACTGCCACCCGGAGCTCGTCAAGGCCCTGACCGAGCAGGCCAGCCGCCTGACCCTCAGCTCCCGCGCCTTCCACAACGATGTCTTCCCCAAGTGGGCCGAGAAGATCCGCGAGGTCTTTGGCTACGAGATGGTCCTGCCCATGAACACGGGCGTCGAGGCCACCGAGACCGCCGTCAAGATTGCTCGCAAGTGGGCCTACAAGGTCAAGGGCGTCGAGCAGGGCAAGGCTCTCGTCTTCTGCGTCACCGATAACTTCCACGGCCGATCCGTACGTGCTCCGGGCTCGAGGATAGCCGTTCCCCGAGACTTTTTCGTCCTTGCTGACCGAGACCGCAGATGACCGCCATCACCCTGTCGACCGACCCCGAGTCCAAGGACAACTACGGGCCGTACGTCCCCAACATTGGTGCTGCCAACCCCTCCACCGGCAAGCCCATTCGCTTCAACAACGTCGCCGACCTCGAGGAGGTGCTCGAGGCCCACGGCAAGGACACCGCCGCCTTCCTCGTCGAGCCCATCCAGGGCGAGGCCGGTGTTGTGGTCCCCGACGAGGACTACCTCAAGAAGGTCCATGCCCTGTGCAAGAAGCACAACGTCCTTCTCATCTGTGACGAGATCCAGACTGGCATCGGCCGCACGGGCCGCATGCTGTGCTCCGAGTGGTCTGGCATCAAGCCCGACATGGTGACCCTGGGCAAGGCCATCTCGGGTGGCATGTACCCCGTCAGCGCCGTCATGAGCAGCAAGGAGGTGATGCTGGTGGTCGAGCCCGGCACGCACGGCTCCACGTACGGCGGCAACCCCCTGGGCTGCGCCGTCTCCATCCGCGCCCTGGAGCTCGTGCAGGAGGAGAACATGATTGCCAACGCCGAGCGGCTGGGCAACATCTTCCGTGAGAGCCTGGCGGCGCTCAACTCGCCCATCATCAAGACGATCCGCGGCAAGGGCCTCCTGAACGCCATGGTCATCGACGAGTCTGCGGCGTCGGGTCGCACCGCCTGGGACCTGTGCATCCTGCTCAAGAACAAGGGCCTGCTGGTAAGTTTTCGGAGAGGGCGTACCTGCTCTGGTGACGCATGCTGACCGCCTTTCCCTCGTACAGGCCAAGCCGACTCACGGCGACATTATCCGGTTCGCGCCTCCCCTGGTCATCACGGAGACGGAGCTGCGCAAGGGCATCTCCATCATCACCGAGGCCATCAAGGAGCTGCCAACCGTCAAGAAGGCCGCGGGCCACTAAAGGACGACCTCGAAAGGTCGTATCCGGACACACGTGAGCGCACGTGAGCACAAGATCCGGGATGTGATGATGAATGACAACCGATACTTCGTACACAAGACAGCGTTTTCGTCGTAACACAGATACCCCTGGGAATATTGGGCTGGTCGGCCTCATGTGCTACCGGGCATTTTGCACCGGCGCAACGGAGCAAAAGAGACATGGGAACTTGATAGAACAGAACGGGTCGAGGAGCTGGGTTAGAAAGGCGGCTGCGCGCGCAGTGGCGGCGCGGGAAGCTCAGGCTTCTGGTCCCCGGGCGCGGGCGGTTGTTTTCTTGAAATCTGCTTGACTCTGGTGGTCTATCGGCGCAGTAGCACAGGATGAAATTTAAAGAATGAGAAATGTGCCCTTTGAGGCCTTTATGAGGCGGGACGGAGGCTGTGCCACTTTTTGCGTGATTTGCGCGAGACTGATCGGGCGGGGTGCATATGACGGCGAACATGCGGTACAGTAATATTAGGCTGTGCGTGCCGCCGCAATTCAGTACGTAGTAATTAGAGGTGGCATGGTGATGAGACATTTACGGTTCAAAAGGGTAGTATCAATTACATGTTGATGCTTTGGTTGTAACTGTTGGGGGTCCGAATACTATATCACGATGCACGTTGTTCTTGTAATGGCGGCTGTTTGTTGTCGTTGAAGCGGCTACTTTTGACTGGCCAACACGTCGGACGGCCTCGTATATGCCGACAAGTGTATAGTGTATATCACACGGGCTCACATAGGCGATCCCCGCGAGCGAGGACGACTCCTCGATTCCACATAGGGTATGTTCTTACCTAACGTCCGTGGCGTCGCCCGTGCCTCCATTGGGCTCTGGATGCCACGCCGCTCTCCTGGGCGCTTGGCTTCCGGATATGCACCTCTGCATGGCCGGTCTCAAGGCGTGACGGCTTTCTGAGAGCCTGCTGCGAAGTTCGTACGTACGTACATGACGGGACACGCACACGTCAATGGCGGTTTCAGCGCGGTGGGCGTCTCGTCGCAGGTGAGTGCGGATCCCAAGACGCCAATACACGTGGGATTGAGAGGCAGAAGGGGGGGGGG